TCTAGTGCCCTTCACAACAAGTTGTCACAGAAAGCATTTGCAGTTATTTACACAGATACAGTTAATTAAATTCAGGTACAGATTAAGATGCAGCACTACTTTCAATTCTGTTTTTACAGCCATGGTCTCTGGTAATGACCCTGAAATCTGCAGTATTAAAAATTCAATTTTAAAGTCATAGAAGTTTAACAAGCTCACTTATTGTTTTCAGTGAATGCTGAATTCAAGGGAAATGGCATGTGAAAAATGAAATTCTTAACAGAGGTTGTTGGGGAGAAACAGGAAATGTAACAAAAAGGTTTCCGGTTCTCTGGATTTTAATACCAGTAAAATTCTTCATGATCAAATTGAGTTAATTATTGGTTTAACTGTAGCAGGCTAACAGATTTACAAGTCTTGAGATGCTGCTTATTCAATGAAACCAATATATATTTCAAGATGGTGGCTCTCCAGGACTGGAGTTAGGAAACAATAGTTTAGGATACATTCTTGCAACAAGAAATAATTCCTTTAAATTTCTTCTGTACTTTGTTTGGCATCAGTGTCCTACATTTGTTTTGTTATGGCCAATGTTTGTTATGCTAGTTTTTCAGTTTCCATTCAGGGATATTTGTAACATTTTTTTTAGCATCACAGTTTCATATTGTTCCACATACATTGTTTTATTTGGGAACCAAAAGGAAGCAGAACAATGCAGCTAACCTTTCAACTTCCTTGTCTGTAGCATATGCTTAAAAACAACGTTTTTTAAACACATACAGTACAGTAGTTCACATTCCAAACTTTTTTGGTACGATGGGTGTTCCTTCAATATCACTTCAACATAATACCTCAAACTGAATTTGCTTCACGATAGTTTCCTGTTTAATCATCTCTTCCCATACAATACTTTTTTAACTTTTCTATTCATGCTGTTACACTTTTACGATCTTACATTAATTAAGGGTATGGAATGAGAAACTCTGCAAGGCTTATTTTTAATTAATAGTTATTAATAATAATATTAGTCATTTAGTGTTTGCCTTAAACTTTAGTAGAACTTTAGTAAACTAACCTACATAGTCTACATATAACTAGATTATTTCCATCTGGTCCTATTCCATTTCTAACAGTGATGTTTCAAAGGATCTAAAAACCTTTCTAACTTCTGAACTACAACATGTATTGTATATACAGTAGAAGGTAGGGAATGAATGAATCCTGGTAAACAATGGAGTGAAATCTCATCCTTAACGTTGACAATTTTAAGACTTTCTTTGCTGACAACATAAAACAAGACAGGTTACAAACTAGATAAGACCATTAAACCCATCTAGCTTAGTTACGTTGTTGTAGCGAATTAATTCAGGGATCTCATCCAGACCTTGTTGAAAGAAGCTAGGGTATCGGCTTCAACACCATGTTTGCGCAGCTTGTTCCATACAGTACTTTCGCAGCCCTGTGGGCACAGCCAGCAGCCATATCACCCTGCAACTCACAACTGGTAACCCACTGAAGCTAAGCAGGTGGGAGACCTCCTGGGAAAAACTAAGGTTGCTGCTGGAAGAGGTGTTAGTGGGGCCAGCAGGGGGCGCTCACCCTGCGGTCCATGTGGGATCTAATGCCCCAGTATAGTGACGGGGACACTGGACTGTAAACAGGCGCCGTCGTTTGGATGAGACGTAAAACCGAGGTCCGGACTCTCTGTGGTCATTAAAAATCCCAGGGCGTTTCTCGAAAAGAGTAGGGGTGTAACCCCGGCGTCCTGGCCAAATTTCCCATTGGCCCTTACCAATCATGGCCTCCTAATAATCCCCATCTATGAATTGGCTACATTACTCTGCTCTCCTCCCCACTGATAGCTGATGTGTGGTGAGCGTTCTGGCGCACTATGGCTGCTGTCGCATCATCCAGGTGGGGCTGCACATTGGTGGTGTTGGAGGGGAGTCCCCACTACCTGTAAAGTGCTTTGAGTGGAGTGTTCAGAAAAGCGCTATATAAGTGTAAGCAATTATTAATTATTATTATTAATTATAGAAATGCCTCTTGTCCTGGGTTAAAAGCACTGCTGTGTAGTTTTCACTTGCAACTTCTGGTTCATGTTTCACTTGCATTCTGTGGAAGTATATAGGGTTGACTCATGCCAGTTGCCTTTGAGGATTGTGAATATGTAGATCAGGACGCCTTGTATAGTATTTTTTTCTGTTCAACAATAAAAAAGGTTCAGTTCCTTTAGCCTGTCAGGGCAGGAATTTGTAGGTCCTGCAGGTAAATGACTGGTACAGTCATCCGACAATTGTGTTTGTATGAAAAGGGCTGACTGACTTGTACTTCTTTGTTTGCAAAAACATATTTTTCCTTAAATAGGTTTTACTTTCCTCATAACATATTTGACAAATTGTGTAATTATATTATTACTCCTAAATTGTCAGAAAGTATAGCTTCATCGCTCTTAAAGAGAACTGATGAACCTAACTTATTGCGAGCATAATCTCCTCTTGTGATACCAATGTTCAGTGAATGAAATGAAAAAGACTATTGTGTCCTCCAGTATACATGATCAACATTTATACATCTATTAACTATAATCATTTAATGCCAGCTCAAAATACAATTTCAAAACCTGAAGCAGCCTCTTCAGGCATAAAAACCTTAAGAAGCATTTTAATAATACATTTTTAACATATTGCAACCTTATGTCTGCATTCTTAAAAAAGCTTTTAGAATATATAATACATAACTCAATTTTATAGATATTATTTTCTTATTGGAAATGAAATTTATAGTAACTTTTAAAAAAGTTAAAACTGCACCAAATCTCAAAGAGCCAATCTGCACATATTGAGGCATTTTTATATGATTTTACTGAGATGTGTAACATCAAGCATTCAGAACTGTTTTATGAAGGTTTAAAAGTCCCTGATTTCACTGACTTTGTTTAATTAAGCATCTCTACTTTCTGTTTTATTCTACTATTAGATGCAGTGTAGTGGATTGTCAAAGTACTGGTAGTACAAATTTGTATATCTTGTCTAGTTAAATTATCTTTCTGCTTTTAATATATTTTCAAACAGAAAGGTTAAAAGCCCTTAAAGGGGGAAATATGCAGAAAAAAGACTGGCAATTAAAAAAAGACCTCATACTGAATGGAAATGAAGGGCGCAGTAAAAAAAAGCAGTCAGAAAGGCCAGTCTCACTGTGCTTTCAAGTGTAAATCAGTTATATGCACAAGGATGTAAATACACAATGCTGTTTGAAGCAAAGCAGATGACACAGGATGACTCATTCTGTTTGGCAAGGCTTTTAACTGGAAAATGTTACCATTTCTTTGACTGCAGAAGCAATCCTGTGAGAAGGAGGACAGTTAATTAATCAAGGAAAAGGGTAACCAAAAAATGAAAAGTGTAAAAATGTTTAAAATAAATAAATCTGTACAAGCTATACTCTTAACACCCAGAGAGAGGCAATCGCATGTAATGCTGTGCTGAACAATAAATAGCCCAGACTAAACTGAATGTATTGTATATCCTTTTTGTGAAAGTTAACTTTGACCTCAAAACACAATAATAGTTCAGAAAATAGTACTTTGTGTATAAGATAAGCTAATATTGGATTACAGAAAACCTAATGCCTCTAAGAAACATGGGTTAAGAAATACAACTCCTAAAATGTGCATCTTGGATAAAACAAAACCAATCCTAGCAAAATGATCTAATGCAAAGATTTATGAATGTTTTTTTTATAACTTCTGCAACATGATGGGAAACTCAAATATTGTAACAACATTCTTATTTTTTAACATATTGGAGAAGAAATTTCTTGTGAATTTACAAACAGAAAATAAAACTTCAGATAAGAATTTGACCTTAGTATGAAGCATTTTAATATTGAAACTGGACTCCAAGGTAACCCCTGTAGATCCGCCAATTCCAGTTTTTATTATGAAGTTTCTAGCAACATATTAAAAGTATCTTGGAGACAATTTAAATAGAAATTTGAGAAAAATATCTCCTTGTACTTTAGCTGATTCTAAGACTAGGATGTACTTCCTGTGTGTTTTTATTTTTCTGACAAAGTGAGCCCAGATCAATTACAAGTCTCTCCCAGGAGTCATAAAACGTTTCAATGCAGTTTAACATTCCTCTCCTTGTCATCCTCACAATACTATTATTTTCATCCATGCAAATTATTGGAGTATATGTTTGTTCTTTGCTTCTCTTCACATGTTCCTCATCAGTTCAGCTCTACAGGTAATAATTTCAAAAGACCCAGAAAGACCTTACAGATCACAGCCTCTGAACGACTGGTCCATTGAGTTCAAAGGCAGAGATGTATTCTGGAGGGTAACATTCCCATGTTCCCTTAGCTTCTTGAGGTGTACATTTCTTACAGTTACTTGCTAGTTAGACAAACCATTATTTCAATTAAATAACTGAGTGCAAAGTGGGAACAATAAAACTCTTCTGACCTTGAGCAAGACCTTGAAGTCCTGAGGGTATCTGGTCACGCATTCTGTAAAAAGAGAAGCTCCCTGCATTCTTTATTCTCTCTTGTGAATGACTTTGCCCAAATTTTAATTTATCCAAAATTTAACTTGACACTTGAAAATGTGACCAAATGTAGCTTTGTTCACCCCCTTAGGGCTTGTGCCTAAGGATCTGTGCCTGTGGCTGGAAGGTTGCCGGTTCGTATCCCGCGGCTGGGAGAGGAATCCTACTCCGTTGGGCCCCTGAGCAAGGCCCTTAACCCCATCTGCTCCAGGGGTGCCATATAAAAGGCTGACCCTGTGCTCTGACCCCAAGTTTCACTCCCTGTCTGTGTGTCTAACGGAGAGCAAGTTGGGGTATGTGAAAAGACAAATTCCTAATACAAGAAATCATATATAGCCAATAAAGTGATCTCTCTTATCTTGTAACACTAAAGATGTTGCTAAAACTGAATTAATGAACAAACTCTTATATAACCTAAAAGCAATCATTCAGCTGCCACTTGCTCTACTAGAAGAAAAGGGGAAGACTTGGTAAATTCTCATTATTCATTACAACACTTTATTCAATTCCTACAGCCATCTACCAACTTACAGTACATGTCTTTGAGCTCTCTGCATGAGCAACTACTAGCGTTACAAATCTGCCCCTTGTGGCGCACACACGTTTCAGCAGTCTCTAGTAACACTTACAAGTTTGCATTTTCCTTAAAAAAAGAAGAAGCTTTTATTTCACTTGGCAAAAGTGAAAGTAAAATACATTTTAAATAATGATTTTCAATATATATATATACAGCCCATCATTTCAAAATATTTACACAATGAAAACAAACTATATGCGTGGACATCAGCACAGCACAATTAACACTTTTTTTTAAATTACATACTTTTTTTTTTCAAGTGATTCCAGGCTAACGGTTACGCGTTTCAACTGCTAAAAGCTACAAAGAAAACAGCGGGGTGTTCCCGAAGACGTGTATTATGCTGCCCAACGGTATCAACACCAGTTCTCTTCTGGAGCAGCCCCGGTTTAGGAAGGCCCGGAGTTGAGACCTCTCACCCTGCGCCGTGAGTTTTCTTTTGAGTGCCGTTCCTAGTTACCCGTGGCATCACGAGGATTCATCCAGAATCTTCAAAGACTCGTCGCTGTTCTCCTTTTCCACCTCGGAGGCCTCCCCCTTCCCGCTGTCCGACTCCTCTTCGATGGCGAAGTGGACGTCCGCGGAGGAGCACAGGGAGCTGACGCTGCTCTGCTCCACGGAGCACGCGGCGCACGAGAACGCCGCGGCCACGCTTCTGTCGGCCAGGACGCTGAAGGGCGGCGGCACCTGGACAGCTCTCAGTCCTGAAGCGGTGGGCAGCGGCAGGCTGTGCTTCTTCACAATACCCCCCCATTCCCTCTGCTCTTCCTCGTAGAGCAAGTGCGTGAAGACGTTGGATCTCTTCTCCCTCTTCTTCGACCTCACGTAGCCAAACATAATCCCCAGCAGGAAGATCCCGTAGAAGCACATGACGATTAAAATGTACAGATACTCGTTGCCGTCTTCCTTGGACTTGACGGCAGTTGTAGGCTCCAGCTTGCCTGGAAGGTGGGCTGTGGTGGCGTTCGCTCCGTCCATATTTAGCATTTGCTCCGGACTTCAAATATATCCCTAAAAAAGAAATGTATTTTTTTTTTCCCATTAGGAGAGGAGGTGCAAAGCTAACATCGGACACGAGGCTTCAAATGCAGTGCATGACTTTTTTTTTTTCACCCAATGAAGAAAGAATGCTTATACTTACTTGAGAGTTGTAGAAGAAAGTTAACGGTAATCTCCTGTGAAGAACGATCACAAACTGCTGGAGCCGAGCAACTCTGTTCAAACCCCAGCCGTCTCCAGTTTAAATAGGCCCGCATCCTTGGAATGTTCTGGGTCACGTGTGGGATATGTGCCGGAAAACTTCGTCTGGAATCTTTCCAGCTGTAAGTTGATGCTTCATGGAAACCCAGAGTGCGAAACGACCTTCAGGCTTCTCTTGCTGTATCTTAAACCAGCTGGCCATGTGGAGAAGAAAACCGCCACTTTTGAGTACTTTGATTTCCCTGCGGAATGATGTACCCCGATGAAAAAGACAAATCCGAGCAAAAAAAAAAACTAAATTTGCAACGAGTATATTGTACTTCGGCACAGACCTTAAAGCTGTCGCGAACAGCGTCGCAGGCAGACTTAATTTGTTTTTTATCATGATTGATTGAAAACGCTCGAAAGGTTTACTCGTTAATTTTAAGTTTGGTGTGGCAGTGTAAAAAAACAGCTGCAATACGAATTCTTGATGCAGCAAGGCGGGACAGAAGAAACAGGCACACTGAGATGGCCAGTTTTACGAATGTGTGTGTGTTTGAATTTACTGGAAAAGAAACTCGCCGGTTTTGGTTAAAGCAGTACAGTTTGTAAGCTGTAGGGCTCAGACAGTCCTGCAGTTTGAGACTGTTCCTTTTTCGAGCTGCTTATAACCTGCATATTAACTTAAAGTAAATAGTACAGCAGCCTCACACTTCTCAGCGGGCAGCAAATCAAATCCAAATACGTTCCAGCACTACAACGTCAAACTGTTGTGCTCTGGGTGCATTATGAGTGTAAATCAAGTGACCGAGGTAGGGAGCCTGCACACAAGCTCATTGCAAAACATCGAGCTTCGTCCTCGCAATGGAAAGTGCGGTGAAATCATTTACCGCACTCCAGTTGCGCACGACCTTAACATAAACGACAACCATAAAGTCTGTTTAATGTCGCCCAAATCGTGATCAAAGGCCAGCGCCAAATGTTTTTGCCAGCTTTAAGGGCAAACAGGTTTGAATCTTACAAGGCAAAACTTTTAAAATGCTATAGCACGTACAGTGGGAGCGTTCACCCCCTACAAGCGGCGGATGATGAATAGAGCAGGTCGCTTCAGTTTAATACCAACTTGAAACCCGTTGATGCCGGGAACAAACTAACCGGATCTGGAGTATTCATTTAAGTTTTAGTCATCTGATTTAGTGGTTATTAGCTCAATCTCGTGTTTATGGGAATTACAGAGGTTTATGTAAAAACCATGATGCCCGAGCACATTCAGAAAGGTCTGCAGCACCATTACAATTCAAAAGCCTTACACATCGCAAGAAGATGCATTCCAGCACAAACTTGTCTGTGCTGAAGCAGTCTTTCCTCATAGATGCAGCTGCAGTAGTATCATATAAAAGGATTCATAAGCATTTACTGTAGGTTTAAGATGGAACACTCGTTTTTATTTTTTTTCCCCCATTATCAAGGCCAATTACAAATAAATAAGTCGGATACACTTGCAATAACCTATGTTACAGATCAGTTTCCCCATAAGAAACATGGAGGAAAACCTTAAAATGCTCATCATAACAAAGATTAAATAGATTTAAAATAGATATTATACATCTGGTCATGAACTTTGATCACTGCCCCCACTTATTTACAGTAAAAGAAAAAGAGCTTTAAACATTTCAAAGGCGCAATCTATACATTTTCCCTACATATCTTCAGTAGTTCAAATGCACATTAATATTGGAAAATGTACAACATACTTCAATTGGATCTGGCTACCCTTTTTTACACATTTGCAGTAGATTTTAATATTCCTATTAACCATTTAAAACAACATAAAAGGCAATCAAAACTCATTAACCATATATAGCAACAGAAAGACCTCTCAACTTTTCACATCATTTGGGAAAATGGTTGGTTTTTCTGATGGAAAAACGAAGCTCCTTCAGGGTTGGTCTTAGTTCTTTTAGTTATGGTGTGTACAGATAACATTGAACGGTTTCAAGCCATTTAAAAACTGTGAAGGGAAACGGTATAAAACTGGGTTGAAAATATTCCCACAAAACATACACACTCATTGCAACATGAATATCTCTCTATAGCAGGACAATAAAACACCAGTTACATCACCAGATCAATTTTCAACCACATAACACAAAATGAATGAAAGAATTTAAGCAAAACTTAAAAAAAAACTTCCAGTTTCTAAAAGACTGATCTGGATTTCTACTTTTTAAATCATGCAACATAAACTTTTAAACTTATCAAAATACAAAGTACAAATGATACCTTTTATTATTGTTACAAACACAGAATGAAAACAGTTGCAATAAATAGTTTAAACCTGTGAGTGCTAAGCATATCATTTTGCACATTTCCTTTTCAAAAACTTGCCAAGTAAACATTCATGCACTGTGGGGAAATATGTGTCCATTTCAGAATGAAGAAATGGTATATATTGCACATTCAGCTTATATTCCTATTGGATCAGAAGATTACAAAACTTAAGTGTATTACAAGCACAGACTGTTTTCTTAAATGTTGATGTATTACAGAATAATGCCTTAAGATCGTTTCTGTGTGACAAGCATTTAACATATATGCTAGGTATCTGCTTTCCCTCAGATCTCCTTATAATTATTATGGTCATCCATGTGTGGTGATGGGTTAAGTTTTTGGAAATCTGTAACAAGCAAAACTGATTTTAAAGATCTTACAATTTCACATTTTCTAAGGGACCAATCTTTTGTAACGTATACCTCAGGGAACTGGGTTAGTACCTGATTAGGTTAGAAAGTTTGAAAACTAAATCATACCAATGAACACAGGATTTTGTTTCCCAGTTGTTTCCTGTCCTGCAGGCTAGGTGGATTTTGTGGAAATAAGACCAGCTTATGCAAGAATAATCAAATATTGAAAATATTTAAGAGGCAACTAACAATAGTTTCTGGACAATAGATACTGAAATTGTATGAGGTATTTGTTGCCAAATAACTTATATGAAGTACATTTAATATTTTACTTAAACCCATCACTATTGCATTATGCATTCAATCTTGCTTAGTTTTCACATCAATGCAACATAAACCAATTCAGCTAATACCTACATTACAGGTATACTATAGGGTAATTCTTTGCTTTAGGCACATGAAACATTAGGGTAAAAAAAACATTATGTTGATTTTTTAAGATAGTAAACCATAAAACCTGGAGACATTATTTTGGACACACAAACCCACAACACAAAGAAACATTTATCTGTTTTTTTTTTAAATAAAAAGAATATCAGCATTCGATCTCATGGCTAAAATACTGATGTTCAAACAGACATTCAGGGAGGGGTTCAAAATGAGCTAAAACCTAATGTATAATTCACCCCTGCTAATAACCAGCACCCAAAGACTTTACAGATTGCACTATATGTCGCACGTGATCCAATTTCATGTCCTACAACAATGACGGCTGTGGAAATCGTTTCGTGGGGCAAATGCAGACATGACAGCTCCTTTTCAAATTCTTGGGACCAATTATGCCTTGAACCTGCCCACCCAAGAGTGTTTGAATCTGTTTTCTCTGAAGGTTCTGTATGAAAATCCTGTGTGATGTATCTGATGTATCTGATGAGGAAAAATTGAAACACTGCCCTTGTTTTTGGTCTCAAGTGAAGGAAGGCGATTCAAGTAAATTCCTGTTTGATCTGAGCTTGTCACTGCAGGGTAAAACTTTAGGCAGTTATTTTCCACCATACATCCGCTCAATGTCATCTTGGTAGTGAGTCTTGAGCTCTTTTCTTTTCAGTTTGAAGGCATCTGTGACCAGGCCAGTCTCGGGCGTCCAAGGCTCAGCACTCAGGCGAATTTTCATTGGAATTTCAAACTTCTCCAATTTGGCTGCAAGTCAGACAAGCATATTCAGTGTTTTCTGGCTATTTGCAAATTTAGAAAACCTAATTACATAAACATTATTTATGTAATAAATTATGTAAATAATTTTGCTACAAAAAAATATTTCTATTGACTTTAAATGGAAATTGCGATTATATTTGTAAAACATTCAAAATGTATATGCAAATATAAAGTAACAGTTAAATGCCATGAGGGACATGGTTCAATTAATCAAATAACTGCTTGTCAGAAAAGCCTTCTACTATGTCATAAATATATAGCACTACAAAGATAGTAGTTCATCCTACAATAAGACTGTTTAAACTGGGAATGGAGTACAGGTCTTTAGAGTAGTGATGTTTAGAGAAGGGATAAACAAAATAAAACATTGAGTCTTAGTAATTCCTTCCAGTGCAAGCATGGATTCTTAAAACATAATTTAGTAGCAGACTTCTTAATCATAAAGTACTGAAAATATTCTGATTTAAAATCAAACTTGAAAATGGAAACGTTTCAAAGTATTTAGTCAAAGTTATTTGGAAAATGTGCTTGAAAGGCAGCTTACTTATTTAAAAGCCTTTTTATTACGTAACATTCATGGTTTTACATTCCAGCCACTACATTCAAATTACTGGTTCTACTGTAAAGTGACTGGATAAGCCCTGTGCAGAGGCTGAAAAGACATGAAGTACTATATCTCACTTTCCCTTTAGCTCTGATTAATCCATTTTAAAACTTCAGAATTCGCATTATCAGAATGTGCTCGTAGGTGGCATTTGAAGTTGTTTAAAGTGGCTTGTGAATTAAATTAATGTGTAATGTCAATATAACAGAGAACCAGCTTTAGAATTAAAAGTTGCTCCTTGAGATTTGCACAAGTTTGTGTTAAAATGAACGATTGCTGCATGAAAAATAAATTCCAGGGAAATAAGACTCTGCACGGAGTAGTTGTCAGGGCTCTGGACTGGAAGGTTGTGGGGTCACTTTCTTAAATTTAGATGCTGCATATTGCTAATGGTGGAGGGGATCCCCATTACCTGTAAAGTGCTTTGAGTTTAGTGTGGAGAAAAGCGCTATATAAGTGTAAGCAACTATTATTATTATTATTATTATTATTAAATAAGGAACTCTGTTGCGCTTTATTCAAACTAGTTTAAAAGGCTTTGGAAAGAAGCAACAATCAAATAAGTTAATAATAATATAAAATGGTAGCTTGGAGAATCATTTTTGGTTGAACTGGGAAATCAGAGTAAAGAACTGATTCCAACAGTTAATCAAAGACTTTAAGAGTTGTGTCCTGAAGACGAGATCACTGACTCTGCGTAACGTCTAACTACAGTACCAATGCTTTCCAATATGCAACTCAGTGAGTGGTTTCTTACCTCCGCTAGCAGCTTCAGCCATAACTCTTAAGACCTCCTTTTCCATCTCTGAGTTATTGCAAATCTCCTCCCATGTTCCTCCTACTTTCTTATGTTCTGCAAGTGCCATTAGCTGCTTCTGATTGGGTACCACAAAGCCAATCACATAGGACTGATCGCTACGATGAAAAGTGGAAGAAACTCAGGACATTTACTAAAGTACATTACGCAATAAACATGTCAAAGAGAACCTTTATCCTTTAAACTTTATTTTGCTAAACCAAGTGTATATCAAACCTTTTGCTGAGTCATTCAAGATACATTCAAGCTAAACAGGTCACACCAACCTGACACTGACATTTTTGACTCTTAAATGCATTTTCAGCAAAGCTGTGACAACACAGAAAACCATTAAAGTATCTATAAAACTTACAAGTCAATAAGCAAGTGGGAAACACTTAAGTAACATTTTAGAATACAACTGTCTTACATCCCTTCCTATAATGAGACAAAAGTGCAAACTTCTGTTGATAAAGTGTCTGCAGTCTTGTATGTAGGCATTAAATTGGCAGGGTAGTTTACCTGTTGGCATATGCACAAATGTTATCTATTAATGGGCAGTTCTTCAAAACAGCTTCTACTTTTCCAAGAGAGACGTATTCTCCTGCTTGAAGTTTTACCAAGTCCTTCTTTCGGTCTGTGAAAGAAGTAAGAGACTAATTTAATCATACAGTTTATTTAGGAACTTCTGTCTCATAAAAGACAAAATTAATGGGTAAAAAAAAACAGAAAAACACACATTTAACTTCATAACTTCAGGGGTTAAAAAATATCTTTACAGTTACAGCAATCATTTTCTGATGGGTCTTTAATAAAGCAGACAGGGGGTGGCTTTTGTGCTACTTCAAAAGCCAATCATGAGCAGTGTGCCAAGGAAAAAGAACTGAAAGAATAAAACTGTTTAGTTTACAGTGGGAGAAGTTCAAGAATAAAGCAGGATAAAGCAATGTGATGTTTTTCGATTTTATGGCTCTACCCCAGATGTAATAAAAAAATCACATAAATGACAATTCTAAGTTGAATAAATATGAACAAAACCATAAGGTTTAATTACGGTGTAAAAGACCAGACATTCATAAATTATTTACTGACCAATAATTTTAAGGCATCCATCTGGGTGAAATTCTCCTATGTCTCCCGTGCAAAACCATCGTTGTCCTTTTTCATCCACAAAAAAATCATCTTTATTTTTGGCTTCATTCTTATAGTATCCCATTGTGACATTAGGTCCACCAACGAGAATCTCCCCTCTTGGGTTTGGTTTGTCAGTGCAATAATAGCCCCCTAAGAAAGGAAAAGGTGAGATTCAACATTCTATAGTAATTAATAGGAGGATTCTTTAATTACCACTGAAAACAGCATTTGGGTATTAAAATCAATAAAACTTTACATTTTCGCAGTGCAGGTAGGCAGTACTGTGTTGTTAAAAGATTTCAGAACAGAGTCACAGGACTTCATTGGTTTTTTAAAGACTTCAGATCTTAAATTTATTTTAAGAAACATGATCGATTTTCTTGTATTTGTGTATGAGCTCTTGGATAGATGTTTCTTGATGCTTTTAAGGACTTTTCCTTCCAATAAAATAAACTGTTGATCATAAATATAACAAAAAATGAAAAACTCAAAAAGATATCTAAACACAGTTCTGCAACACAAGCAATAAAATCATAAATGTAGACAAAAATGGCTTTAACTTTAAATAAAAGGATTATTGGAGTTTTCATGGTACATCTGACAGTATACAACAGCAGCATACACCAGTTGAAGTATTACATGTTAGAAAAGTTTCTGCAGCCCAAAACCTACTTGGATCCTGCATGAAGTTCTGAAAATTCCTCTTTTGTTACTATTTAAAAGGCCAAGCAGATTTAGTGAATATTTATATAATTGCACAGCCACTGAATATTTTTAAGCCAACAGCTGATGTCAAGTTCTGATTTTATTGGGAAGCCTACAGTTATGTTTAAAAAAAGCAGGTGGACTATAACATTGCTGATATGTACTTATCAAATAAACAGTACAGAAACCTTGAAAGCCTCAGTTTTTTCAGCAAGAATGTAGCAGAACCTCTTTTTAGGGAGGTGCACACAAATAAACTAAATGAAAGATTTTTGTTTGACAAAAGCTACAGTCATATATCCCCTTACATGATTAGTAACGCTTCAAATAAACATGATTTGTCTTTCAATATCTGTTGAAAACTACTCATTTTGTCAGTTTTCTTGGAACAACAAACACTTGTCCTGTTTCCGCAAACAATTAAAAAAAAGTACTGTTTCTGTTTCTGCTTCCATTTTTGTTGTGCCCGACATAAGGGGCAGTTAATTATTAAAAGCTTAAATCAAAGTCAAAGATTATCAAACTGCACTGCCAGATGAGTGAAAAACTAAAGAACAAGTAAAAACATTCATCCACTGAATGAGAAGAACACCTGAAACAACAAAAAACACCTAATATTTAATTTGGCTTAGCTTCTAAAGACCCATATTTTATATTTTCATCCTATGAATCCTAAAGGGAAAATGTGGTGCAAAAGGATATATAAATGCAGTTGTATGACAAGTGGATGCTTCAAAACATCTCCACATATAACATACTGGCAATCTTAGAAATAAAAGGATATAAGAAGAGGAGGCACTTGAAATGTCACATACATCAGCAGACACACTAAAATATCTCGGTTTTAACACTATAATAAATAATGCTGGTCGACCAGTAGGTGTCACTCTATCCTCTGGACCGGAATTTCCATTCCAGTGTAACAGTATGGTGACTGAGGACAGTGTACTGCAGAAGGTGACGTTCTTCTCATAAAGCACTAAACTGACGTCCTGAAAACGTGGTCAGTCTAAAGACCCTGGTTGAGAGTAGGGTTATTAACCCTGCTGCCCTGGCTGAATTCCACTCTGGGCCTGAACATTCCTAGCTAAAGTTCTGCACTTGATCTGCTGTGTTACAGGTCTGCTGGTCGGCTGCCATTCTTCACATTATCCAGGTGGAAGCTGTATGTATAAACCACTTCAGGATCCTTTTGGGATGAAACTAGCCATGTGAATGCAATTCTTATTGTAAATTAAACATGGAAGCACTGTTTTTCTCCGTAATTCTGTAAAGTAAAACTTCTTAACAGCATCTGTCGTTCTGACACGAGATCACATTTTGGTGTATTTATGACGAAGACGAGATTCATATTGTACAATCAGATGTGTATATCTGCTATTAATAGGCTATTTATTAAACTATTTTCTTAGCACTCCTCTTAACTACACATTAATATATATATTGTACCTATCCTGCTAGTTAAAGGTAGATATACAGAATTTAACAATCACGGACAAATGACCCGAGATAAATTTTATGAATGAAGAATTCTGCCAGCCACTAATTTATGAGACCATGCCTCCAAGTCGAAAGTATTTCAATACAGACCTTTTCCCCAATCCACAAAGTGTGGAGAGTGTGGTTGTTTTTTTTAGATTGAGAGTGTTGTATTATGGAGCTACTGTGGTTCAAACAAGTATCATACAATGACATGATACATTCTGAACTAAAGCTTGGCAGAGTTTGCACTGATTTTGCCTTTAAAAGTCATACAGCACTGTACAGCTTACCCTCTTCCCAGCTCTTTAGTTTGATTTCAGAGCACACCAGTGGAGCTCCTACACGGCCTGTACTGTAGTCCCACACTGCAAAAAAATTACATAGAATAACAGTTACCTGGCATTGTACCAGCAAAACCAGCCAAAACATATTCAACTTTCAGTTTTCCAAGGAAACCAAACTTCAACATATTTACAAATCCTCCGAGATAAGAGTGGAAATGTAATACAAAATAAATCCGCTATGAAAAAGGAGATGTTACACAACACACTTTTTTAGAATGTCACTTTAAAATGTTACAGCAACAGCAGTTTGACGGTACCCCTATAAATACGATTATAAAAGTGAAACTCAAATATACAGACGTTAACCGAAAATGTATGTTGTCATCCAAAAAACAAATGAGATTATTATTAGGGGGAACGTATTCATTGTGTCTTTTTTTGTGCCTGACAATCAGTTCACAGGAACAAGACCCCGTACTGTCTGGGTCACAAAGCGCCGTTAGGCTGGACCTTCTGCAACCTGATCTGTATCGCTACACAGATGACCAGCACCGAGACTTATTATGACACTCCTCTCCTTCCACAGCGAGCTCACTTTCACTGATCGTGCCCGCGCCGCAGGTCTCCGTGAGCCCGTAGCCCTGTCCCACCGGGCAGCAGAAGCAGATGTTCATGAACCGCTGGGTGGCGGCGGACAGGGGGGCGCCCCCAGAAAGGAGAACTCGGGTCCTGCCCCCCAGCAAGGACCTCACTTTTCGGAAGACAAAACTGCAACACGAAGGAATTCAAAATGAGCAACAACGGGCGAAACTCGATTTCAATTTGAGTCATGGCGGCCGGATTCCCTTTTTGTTCATTCGAAGGTTTTATTCAGTGCAGATTACCTGTCACAGAGCGGAGTGCTGTAGCCTTTGGAAATCTGCTCCATTTTATAATTGTAGGCCAAGACAAACAGAGTTCGCTGTACGCTATTCATCTCCTCTACTTTTCTCATAACATTTTTGTAGATGCGGTCCATGATTTCCTAGAAGGCGAGGGAAAACCTATTACGACACATATCTCAGGAAATCATAGTGAAGGGCAGTGAAGGGGAAAGTGGGATAACATCTCTTTCCTGTCATTTCCCAATATAACAGTACTAGCTGTTGGCAAACAACACAATGTAATTATCTATTTTGTACATCTAAAAAAAAAAATACAAACAGAAAGGATGTAAACATCATAGTGGATTCGTTTGCAAAACATCTCTTATGAGCCATCAGTAAAACGCTAATATAATAAATGGAATTTTACAATGTATCACAAGACTTTATTCTAGCGTTTTTCAGAAAAGGGTCCCAATTAAAGCATATACCTTCTTGCGATTGTTAATAGGAAACAGATTTTAAGACGTATAGGATATGTAGTTTTCGGGAAAGAGCATAACCCATGGAAAATGTGACTGTCCATTTTCCCTTGAAACACTTGCATGGCTTTTAAGTTGAAACTGAGATCCTGTGTGAGAGAATTATAACTATATCACTGAATGATAAACCAGCGCAATCCAGATTCCCCTGAAGGCACTTTTTTTTGTTTTGTTTTAACAATGCTAGTTCTGTAATTGACCTGGTGCATTTTTAGGAACATCTGTTGAACACTTTTTTTAAAAACAAATTCTAAATTCACACGAACACCACAAAATACAACTGAATCTTCTTGCATTAATATATTACAATGGGGGTTGTTAACATTATAAAGGAGGGAGTGTGCTTATCCGCATAGCACGCTAACAGAATGCTTCTTCAAACCACAGAAAGTATTCTCACGTTAAATGACATCAGCGTATTATTGAACCAATTAAGAGTTCTGAAGAACTTTCTCAACAGGGGATTCAAAATCATTTGTGTTCATTAGAAATCTGGATTCCCACTACGAACAAAGATGACTCACAAAACTAGTCAGGACAAAACTGGGTAGAAGAAATTCAACTGCAAATATTAACATTAGATGAGCTTACTGGCACAGCTGCCATCAGCGTTGGCTTCAGTACACTGGTGTCTCCTTTGCTTCCTTTCTTGATTTTTGTAGACTACATTCGGAAAAAGTAAAAAAAAAAAAAAATCACTGATGGAAAACCGTGCAGACCGATAATCTGCAAAACTCTACCAACATACGAGGGTTCAAAACCCAAAACCAACAAAATTAAATGGCACATACTGCTTAATTTTACACTCCTAAAGATTCTTAGGGGGCTATTCGCAAAATTGTTGTTAGAACAAACTTTTGCCATCTCTTGTGTCTTTTGCAAATTCAAATTCAAAGGGTTTACTACCCTGGTAGGTGTGCTACCATGGAGAAATAGCTTTTAGCTACATGGAAATAGCATAAAACCATTCACTATACTGGTGACAAAGATGTGGGCTTGCAAATGTTTTCACGATTGATGTGCTGGTATCTGATGCAACACTGATTGAAGAGAACTAATTCAACATATATACGTGATGTTTAGACTGAAAGACTGGAATTAAATCTGGGAGCAATTTTCATTTCTGTTGGTAATGTAAGTACAAACCATTCGAATGAACTAGTTGAGGCTGTCAGGAGAAGGGGAATTTATTATATCATTCAATTCAGCTTTGTCAGCCTATCACTATCATCTATAAAAATGATTTATCCTTCAGTTCAACAAATAAACAGCTTTGAATCTTTGTCTGCAGCTGGGAAGAGAAAATGAGCAAAGCCTTGTAAAATTGTGTAGTTCAGGGCCAACATTTCCTTGCTACTGGATCATAATCGTGAAGAGGGATTATATTTGGGGATGAGCCTATTGCAAAACATTATATAAAAAATGGTATTTCTGTTTCTTTTGTGTTGGCAATTGCAGTTCGTTCATTAAGTGATCCTGCATTTACCACTTTCTCATATTATTGAATAGTTATTGTAATATTGCACATAACCACAACTTATGTTAACACCACCTCTCATAACGAGACTCAAAGTGTTATGTTTTTCAATGCTTATTTTCAAAATAAATGTCAAGTTCTCCTGTGCAGGTTATGCTGTAGTTTAACTTTTCCCCAAGTTTCTCTCTTAGAATACTACTGTATGTTACTAGTTACTAAGTGAGGAATTTCAGCTTTGTATCTCTGTCATATTAATTTGAACCCCACAAGCTACAACAATAGCACACTCATAGACTTAGCTCTATTGGTTGCTATAACACTAGCTTCTAATTTTTCATCTCTTAACTTCACAGAACGACATGAATGATGGTAATTAATATTGAATGAGATAAAAAAGCCATCGGTGTTCTAATGGGGTGTTATGACCATACCATCTATTTTTATATTTATTTTCTAAGTTGCTTAGAATCTTAATTTTTTGCAATGCTATGGGAAGGATGGGGAGAGAGAGAGAGGATTTTCAAACAATTTAATTCACAATTTAAGTGAATATTGCACTCCTAATCAGAAACATTTAAGTCTATCCAAAGAAAACATACATGTAACAGTCCTCATTAATTAAAGCAGTTCTTATCTTGACAAATGTGTTGTTGCAAATTTTTTAACGAGAGAGTATGCCCCATCTGTCTGGAATACAAGAACCATCATAAACACTGCCAAAAAGATCTTACTGTACCAAAATATGTAAAAGCAGATATACAAAGCAAAACACTGTTAATGACTGTCTCATTTACCTGATCTGCTAACGTCTGTGGGGATGAATACCCAATTCGACAGCCATGGGACACACAGACCAGCTCAGCACTGAGTTCCAACACATGGGCCAGTGGAAGGTACCCAATGTACGTGTCATTCTCACTGGAAAATTAAAATAAATCATAACGACCGGATACATTATTCAACAACTCCTTACACAAAATAAAGAAATGCCACAGCGCCACGGTGTTCTTTCAGTACAACTGCCTGGCTTTAAAAGCAAAAGCGGCCCAGGGAGCCATAAAGAGCAGACAGCTGGAAAACAACGTCTTTCTTCTCTCAGCGTTTTAAAAAGGAGCAAGCCTTCAAGAAAGGAAGAAAAAGTCCAGAGGAGGTTTCTAGGAATACTGTGACGACGCTTATCTAGAAGCCCATGGTGCGCTCAGTATAAACACATGGATTTGCTGGCATTGACAGGAAGTAAACACATACAAGCCATACCCAAGGTCAGGGATTCTTTCAGCCATCCCCGTTATCCCAGCAATCAGATTGCTGTGGGAGATCATCACCCCCTTCGGAATCCCTGTGGATCCACTCGTGTACATGATGACGGCAATGTCAGAGGGGGCAGGCTGGCAGCGCGGCTTCGACACTTCCACAGCGACGGGAGGGGAAAAAAAAACAGCCGACTTCATACAGAGTGAAAGACGTAAATATACATATTGCTGTTCTAAAAAATAAACAAAACTTTGCATTGGTTTTAGTCCATAAAAGTGGAACTCCAGTTTTACACCTTTCATCGCACACTGATCGTAATATTTCTATGGCTTCTATGAACCTGTTTTTTCTTATAAAGCAACAGACTCTTGGCTCGTTCTCAACAGTATACTAAAAGGCTATTGACAGTTCTTGAAGAAGGAACATTATCGATTTGGCAGTCTGCATTCATTCCTTGACAAATTATACCTTTTTAAGAAAGGTTAAATGCTTTTTAATAACACATATTTCAAAGCAGGAGAAGTAGACAGCTCCTTTACACATGCCCTGTAAGCAACTGGCCCTGAGCCCAAGCGATACTACCATAATACACTGGCACTTTTCCTTACAGCTACTTTCACATCTGAAATTCACTGCTAATCATCTCATGTATGTCACAGCTGTTGCATTGTGAAATAATTGTTCAAAATTAGGCAAATAAATTGAATATCCCAAAGCATAAGTATGGGGAAAATGTGATCATTGTTAGTCATTCTTTGACAGTTACCTGCTATATGGGAAAGAAAAACAGATCAACAAAAAAGCAAAAGAAAACGCACAGAAGAAATTGGATCATAATAAAATTGCATGTCATCGCCCCATTTCAAATGGGACTTGAGAAACACTGAGAGGGCACAAGTCATGTGAACGTTCACTGCAGTGTTTGTAAACACAATGCTTAATAATACCAGCTCAAGCTGTTTCAGATCCCAGCAACGCAGCCCTTAAACTGTAGTGTCCAAGCAGATCAGCTGGAGAAGTGTTCTTAAGCCCTTGCTTTCAACTCCTAATCAGTCACAGATGTGCTTGATCACCCTCCTTCTTCCTTATTCACATGACCTAACGAGCAGGCCAGAGGAGTTTCAAACCAGGGCCTCTAAATGGATTCTTCTCAGTAACACAAGAGGGACTCACTAAGGTACTAGTTACATTTATATTTGATCAGGATTTTAGGGATTCCTTTTGAAAATGACATGTTGATGGTAATGTTAATAGTAATCAGTCTGAACAATGTTCTTACTGTTCTCCTCTTTGGATCCCAAAGCTTGCACTTCTGCCATATTGTGAATGGTTATACCTCGGGGGTAATCTATCCACGTACTTGATTTATCATCAACAATAATAATGTGTTGAAGCCTTGGAACCTCAAGTAAGATTGCCTGCAAGAAAAAATAAATAAATAGGTCAAAACCTCATCAACAATTTCATCTTAATAAATATGAAGGACAATATTTCTTGGGTCCATATCATAGGAAATTTTTTAAATAGTTTTATTTGTCCTTTTAAGTTGGGTCTGAATGAATGCTTCATGCCAATTAATTACATGCCTGTTACAAGAAGTAAAGTGAAACACACAGATGTTCTGAAACTGGGGTCAGCCATGTAACCGAGGGAAATACCCTCTCGTACTCTTGACCAGAAAGTGACTCACTCCATGCATGTGGTCAGCCAAGATGCTAGGGGATTCTTATTTTATTTCTTAATGAAAGAGATGAATTGATGACCTCCAAATCTAGAGTCCAGCATTAGTCTAGATGTACACGAGCTGACAGCTTCATCTTCTACGGTGACAGTAGTTGACATGCGAAATGAAACATTCTTTGGATGATCACTTCAGGGAACTGTGTGATCTAAAATGTGCATTAGTTATCCACTAAATGTCTTTGCTGAGCAATGGGGGATGAAGTCCTGAGATATGATAATTGGCTTGATGTGTTGTTTTGTGTGGGAATTCTCTTTAAGGAAGGAAGCAATTATACTTCAGTGTAATGGAGTCCCTTGTGCACAGAGTATCAGATTGAAAGTCCACACAGTCCTTAGAGATTAGTTTGTATGGGTTAATAGAGTGGTGTTTGCCTTTATGTAACCTCCCCTAGACCTTGGCTCTGTCATATTATAACTACAATCAAGAACTTACTACAGGTCTGAATCACAGATAGTCCCTACAGATTCTATACTCTGTCTGCTCTTTCAGGCTTGTCAGTGTAAGACACAAAAACACATAAATTTACCAGAAGAATGAATAGAATGAATAGGCTTTGTTCTTTAATTCATAAGATGCAATATAGTTAATTTTGGAGCTATAAAACAATTGTTACAAGAGTGTTAGCTTCAAGAATGATCATCAAGAACAAATTCACATTAAACAAGCAAATAAGCACTGTAATATTGCATACATATATATTAGACACAACGAAAGCACTGCAATGAGAAGTAAGCATATACAGTTACAATCACAAATAGTAAAAGTACACATCTTCAAACAGGAAACAATGTGCTAGCATTAAAGGCATTCTAGTTTATTGCTAGTTTCATTCATTTCATAGCTTCACAGAGATCACCAAGAAACATCCTAGGTCCGTGCAATTCTTAAAGTCTCAAAACATCCGCAAGGACAGTACTACCTACCTTCAATCTGCTTTGAAGGAGGTCCTTACTGGTGATGATATGGGTGACTTCTGTTTCATTTAACCCATGAACAATAGCAGGCCCTCCAAGCGTGGCATACAAGGTGACAACTGGAATAAAGACAGACAGGTGAAGACCAAAGCCCAGGACAATGAACATCTGAGCTACGGGCACAGAGAATAACACAAGCCTGTTTCTTTCAACACATTTTCCTGCTGCAAATACACACGCATGGGCGGATAACAGGGGAGCACATTTTGGAACATTTTTTTCCCCAATGGCGATGTGCATTAAAATATTTTTAATGTATAAAATCTGACCTATTCTAACTAAACTAAAAGGTAGAATGCAACCCTACTTTTCCCTCCCACAGGAAAATGCTTCTAACGTCAAGCACCTAACTTTGGCAAGTATTGCTGGGCAGTTTAAGTTGTGGTACACACAAAATCACATCCCAGTTTTCCCACTTCAGGGGAGTCTGATGGAGCTGTCCATGTCAGAGTGGAGCTGATTGCGTCATACAGCCCATGGTAACACAACACAGCTGGCTGTGGCCCGACCTACTGTACAGTGCTGAACCCAAATGGGGAAAATCCAGATGCTGCTCCACATCTCAGTTTACAGAAGAACACAAAAGAAAATCTCTGTGGAAGATTTCTGAGGTGCTCTGAATCTATACATGAAGAATTTATAGTTTTGCATGTCATCAGCTCTGCTTTTTCCCTAACCTTGTTCCCGAACGATAATGTGAGCAGGATCAGTTATATTTTTATAAACACAGCGTGGCAATGCTGTTTTTAATCTTTGCAGGACTCCTCCGACACATTACCAGTGCGAGAATCCAAATATTTTTGACAACTGTCTGCGCAAGGCTGCAGATAATTTCAGCTTCTTGATAGATGTGTTTTTCTTTAAGCAAAATTAAACCTGTCTTTCACAAATAACTTTTTTCATAACTGCTACTTGGGATTTAAAAATGCCAGAAACAAATGTATCATATCATTAAACAAACAACATATCTTACATGTCATTCTGAGTTAGGATTTCTAGAATATTCTGCATTTTTATTTCAGGATATTCATTCAGACAAGAAAAAAAGAACTTCTAAAACCAGAGAATCAAACGTTTATCTTCTATCGGTTAACAAAAATGGATGTATAAAGAATGAGTAGACAAGTTATATTGTATAAACCAAGATTCCAAAGTATACTAGGCTACAGAACAAACTGTCCTACAAACAAATCCTTTGTGGATTTGTTTTATGTGCTCTAGTCTAGACCCAACAAAGGTCTCTGCAGCAATAAAAAATAACAGATGTCTGTTTTTTCCCCACTTCCCAAAAATCTAAAAATGAAACAGTATAAACTTTATTCTTGATGCTTTAATTACACCTGAAACTAGATTTTTATCTGTAAAAACTAAATCAGTTCATGTACTTTACTTTAGCATTATTTAAGCAACATCTCATAATCCATCTTTATTTTCCCAAGCTATCTGCTCAAGACATAATGTTTTAAGTGTTTATTTGCCTCGTGGTCCAATTGGACTGTTTGAAACCCTGCTGTGTCTAAAGCAAAAGTTAACTTTATTCATCTGGAAGCACTATTCCAGATTGAGGGACAGGAACTGTAAAACAAAAACATTAATAACCTGTCACGACATCTGAAAAATGATCACATGTAACACCTGACAGAGATGACACACATGCTATCTCTCATCATCATAACACAGGTAAAGACTGGATACAGAACTGATAAATGTGCAATATAAAAAATGATGCAATGCAGCCAAAGTGAATGCCTCCTCATCCAATGTTTTTCAAAAGGAAACCAGAAACATGTGACTAATCCAGGGCAATGAGCACCACTGACATTAAGCAGGGGTATTTTGTGTACCATGGGATGTATTAAGATGGATGGCCCAGGCAGACATGCAGAAATCACTTTCGAGGTAAGTTTTTAGCAGCACCAACGAACCCCAACAACCAAGCAAAAAAAAAACAATAGCAAGGTGGCCAAGCTGTACTTTGTCAACAATTTCACAATGTTCTTTAGAAAAACACAACCCTTAGGCTCTGGTACCATGACCAGTAATTAAAAAAACATGAAGTGGTTCCATGACCTGCCTCTAAGGAATAGAAGGCACAGGCCCTAAGCTGCCGCACCACAGATGTCTCAGCGTACTGCTGATTCCAGTTTGGTGGGAGCGGAGCAGGGGGTGGCCACTTCGCTAGTTCCCACGAGCTCTTACGGCCCAGTCCAGTGACCTCTGCATCATAAACAATATTTCAAAACCCGCGTTGCTCCCCCTCCAGCCAGACAGGCCGGAACCCTGGAGTCAATCTGCACCACGGGTTTCCTCTAGGACAGGCGGGTTTTTTTGCTCAAGGAAAACGAGGTGAATTTAACTGGATCATGTCTGTGGTCACGTGGATACACGACTGAGAGAAAATAAGGACTTGTGATTTTTGGACTATTAGGCAATAAATATAAGACTCTTTCCCAATTCCTTGAATTTATACCACCATATGACATTTGCTGCTTGTATTTTTTCTTTTGATGCTCTATACCATGTACATTGATGGAGAAAATGATCTCCTGCAGCAGCGTTCCCATGGAACAAAGCAGACTAAAAAGCCTACCTTATTATCCAAAAGGTTTTGTTTAAAACTGGGATTAGAAATACCCATGAACTGGCGCCATTCTTTTTTTATTGAAGCATGGAAATTCTTTGGAATAATTCTACAAGACACTTATTTTAATCTCAACGAACGCCTAAATCAACACACCTTCTTTTAATGGAGAGAAACAGGATCTTCATAAGTGCACTGAAAAAAAACCCAACTTCACAGTCACAGACAGCAGTACTAGAAATCTATTTTAGAAATACATTAAGACTAGAATAAAAGATCTCGTGTTGTGATAGTTGTAAATGAGAACAGGCACGGCTATTGTTATATAGCAAAGTCATTAAATGAAACCCATAAACACACTGTCACCATTATGGAGTGGACAATAACGAAGACCAGGATTGGAAAAAGAGAACATCCTTGTCAAACGGAACTGCACAGTGTCTTGGGATAACGGTCTTCCCAATGGACTTCTAATTCTTTCAGCAGCCGGGATTCATAACCGTGTCCCGGCGAAGGTACTCGGCTTCAGCTCCGCAGGCAGCGCTGGTGTCACGCGGGCTCGGAGAGGACGCACTGACGTCACCGAGACAGCGAGTCATGAACGCCAGCCATCGATGGAGACACTTCACACTCTCTCAGGCGAGGCGGACCAGAGTACGTGTGCAAGCGCAAGCTCGCAGCCTTGCGAGAGCCAGCCGCCGGCCCGTGAGGGACAGACGTGCTTACTAGGCACTTGGAGATGCAGTCATGGAGCTTGGCAGGGTGTCAGCACACTGGGAAGAGCGCCGCAGTTTCACAAGAGTGCGGACAGTGAAGAAGCTCTGGCTCATAAGTGCTTCACCTCAGACGTGAGCCAGCGTTCCCAAACTTTCCAGACTCATTTCCAGTAATAGGTGCTAGCAGCAATAACATTAGATCACTCACAATGTGGCGATTTCCAACAGCCTTTCCAACAGATTTTGATTCAGATTCTGCTTCTATTATGGTAGGTGGTATAATAAATAGTTCATTACATAGAAAATAAATCAAGTGTTTTAAAGAAATAAAAGAATGTCTTTTTGTTGCCAAGGAATATACAAATAGAATAACTCTCCACGCTTCAGTTCCTATATGCAACAATACTGAATGCAACTTGCTGTATTTGAGAACAACTTTATTACTCATTAATACTTAGAAACCACACATCAACTGACAAATTCAAATTAAAACCACCCCTTAAGGTTGGTACAGCAACAGGAAGGTCATAAAATGAATTACTTAGCTTTATGCCTTCTAAGAATTTAAATTAAAACGTCACTATGTGATAAATGCATGGCAACCTCAAATAAACAGCTTTAAAGCATGCAGAAAACAAGAATGACATCTGATGTGAAGCAAATAAAGGGCTTCTGCCTTTTGCTCAAAAATGTCATAAAATTACTTTTTTTTTATCTGCATCCATGCATTGGAAATCAAATTAGACTCTATCAAAAGATAAGGCATTATTAGTGTGACCTGTTTGTATTCAGCTTTTATAATGCATTTTAATGTATAATTCAAGCCTGAGTCGAGTCAGTTCTTTCGGTTTTTATTTCAATTAAGGAGCCAAAATCCTTCCCATTTTTTTTCAATCTGGTGGTTTGCTCTTTATATTTGATTGACATCCTGATGTCAGGGGAGATCCTAGTTCATTCATCCTGCATGTTTCGATTATTCTTTATCATTCTTTACACAAAGGGCTTAAAACCGGTAATCGCCTGTTGTTGTTGTTTTACACTTTTGCAATGCTTTTTGGTCGTGTGTACTCGGGCTACGTGCAGGCAGCAGGACTACGTGGGTCTTCTGCACACATGGGTCTCATAACTGAGGATCAGCGAGTCCACACTGATCGGGATTTTCCTCACGGAGGAATGTAGCAAATTATAACCAAAATCCCTGTTACCATGAAGACCGGGGAGAAGAACATGGGTGGGAAATAGGGTGTGGAACAAAGTCGACTTCTATCAGAACTGATATAAAAGAAGAACATTAAGACTGGCTTTGGGACTAATGTGTGCACTTCCACAGGAACGGTCCTAAAATCTCCTTTGGTACAGACAGCCGTGGGTGCGGACAAAGGAAGGACTCTGGACAGAGAACCAATCCCATAGCACACGTGTTAATTAAATAAAGGGAGACTACAGTAGAAATGAAAAAGAAAAGGCATCAAACCTATTTATATTTCTCATTCGGTCAGCTGTTTTACTCTGACTGCATGAAAAATATTATCCGTAAAGATCCTTCCTCTCTCCGAAGTGAAAGATGGAGACCCTGATCTTCATTCCTTTTCAGTGAATAAACTGGCTGTTAAACAATATGCTGGTGCCACCTATCGTAGCACTAGATAGCAGTTGCGTTTAAACCGAGGAAAGAAGGCACTTTCTTTCCCCCATAAAGGGTCATGGGAGTATGGAACAAGCTGCCCACGTTGTCAAAGCCGATATCCAGTCCCTTAAAGAGCCCAGAGTGAGACCTTCACATGGAAGCAAAGGGGAGGGATAGCTCAAACGCCTCCTTTTGTCTGTGACCCTCATGTTCTTAAATAGCAAAAAGTGTTTATGGGTAAGTGTGTATATTAAATGTTTGTTTTGTGTTAGCTTTCTTACATACATTTGGCATTATTATGTCTCATTGATATTACAGTGGCTGTGTTAGAAATGCAAATAGTGTCCAGACAGGGGTGGATCTTACAGGATAGACGCTGAACCCTTCTGAACTCAAGTCACTCTTAGCTGTTAATGTTGCACATAACGAGACCACTTAATACAAGGGGAGTTTTTTCAAAGGCTTTTTGCAGTTTCTGCTCCTGGTTGTTTTAGTGTTTGTCTCAACAAAATCCCACGATCTTTTAACTGCATGTTGCCCACTGGAGAAAGATTCTAAATCTGCTTCAGGTCTGGGAGATCAACGTCATGCTTGCATTCCTGGGTTTACCGATTCTAAAATGACCAAACACAATTTCATGATAGAATAAAGTGCAAATCAATCTTTTGCGAGTTACCTATATGCAACGCATACTATAAAGCAGATTCTGAGAGTGTGCACTGAATCAAACAACACATCCTGAAACAGTCATCTAATCTAAGCCAACTGATATAACCGAAGGTGCTTTTCGAATCAAGATAGCAGGTTTATGAAATCGGATTAATGTCTAATTAGATCAATCTTAATGAAAGAAAGCCAATCAATCGGACTTCCTCAATTTCAGTCTGCTGGTCTCCTGTGATGGACTACGTGAAGATCTGATGTTGACAGAAGCAAACTGCCTCTTGACAAGTCAGCCAAGTTCATGTGTGTTTATGCTAGGATTAAGGACATTCAGCAGTGGGCTAGAAAGTGCAATAAAGCACGTCTCAATGAAAAAAAATATATATTTTGCCTTCTGTCAAAAAAAGATGAACAGGACACTTGCATAACAACTTTGTCACACTGCTTCAGTTGCCAGAAGAACATGCTGACCTTCTTCTCCATAGCATTTTTTCCTCTCTCACAAATGTGCTCATATTTTTAAAGCCCACAAGAGACAAGTGTATGCCTATACTGTTTCTAGACATTTGAGATGCTTATGCAGATTTACATTTTGGCTAGATACTGAAGACTGTAACTCAGATTGACAGGATGAGTGGACCTTCCAGAGGAAATGGTATACTACTGTATAAATGTACCCTGTATAGTATACAGTGTTGCGATCAGTCAACGTATATCACTGATGATGTCAGGGATCATCAGTGAAATCCTACAGTAAACACCTTCTAAGGCTGAGTAAGGTGGCTCTGCAATAATTTAGATGTAACAAGAGCCCTATGAAGATATAATTCATGTTTTTTTTAAACAGTACATATTAGCAACAAATGCACCCGAGATGATTACCTCGGCAAAAAAAATTGTAAACCTAAACTGCCTGGGAAAATGCTCTTTAAGTGAATCCCGCCCCCTACTACAGAATTAAGAGGAAATGAGATAGGCGTACAGATTAATGTCAGAAAGAGTGATTTTTCACTGAGCATTCCAGACTGGCGTGAGGCTACTGTACTTCCCTTACACACTTCCTGGTTTTAAGACACTATTTTCTGCCAAACAGAAATTGAAGCAAAAAAAAAAACCTCAACAGGAAATATCACAAAGCATATTAAAAGTGACTAATGAAATAAATATTTTTAACTCTTCGGACTCCGTACTTTTCTATGGGACATATAGTGACACTTTTTTTTAAAGAAAACCAGAAACAAACATCTGGATTCATTATTAGAAGCCATTTCACATAAAAGGGAACACTCAATATTAATATAATATTTGTATTATAACCATAAGTGTGTTGTATGTTTTTAAAAATATGATATTCCGCTTTAAAAGAAGACCGCTTCAGTCATTCTTAACATATTAACTTGGCTATGCACACACCAAATCTACAGCACTTACTATTTGATTTGATGTTTCTCCATAATATTTTACTGAAGTATGCCTAAGGCATGCAAATTAAGAACATTAAGTAACCAACTAATTCAACTATACTATATATAAAACAAAACATACCGATCCATAGGCTGTTTTAAGCACACAGGGTTTGCAGGCAAACAGAATACATTCAGTGGCCATCAAAAGTATTAACTCCCTTGGCCCTTTTCACAATTTATTGTGTTACAATATGGGATCATCATGTATTTATTTCATGTAATTTAAGAGGATCCATAGAATTTTGTTTTCACTTTGACATTATAGAGTGTTCTGTGTTTATCAATGGCAAAAAAATCGTTATGATTCTGTATTGTAACACAATAAAATGTGAAGACGTCCGGGGGGTTGGGAGGGGTAAAAAAGCTTTGATAGCCGCTGTAGATAATGACTTGTGTTTCAGTTTTTAACTGCCAGTGCTTACTATATTCCATCTCACTTTCAGAATGTAAAATGAAACTGGAAATCGTTGTGCTTAAAGGCAGGGAAGTAAATATAATTGCTAAAAAAAGAGGTTCCAAACATTTCCACTTGCGCCGAGACTCGTACAGTGCCAGCAGCTCTGTCTGTGTCACTTCGGCGTGATCGAAAGCACTTACGGGGAAAGTTGTACATGAAGCAGGCCTGTGCGGTTATCAGCCACTCCGCTCTCGTCTCGCAGAAAATGGCGATGGTGGACTTTGGCTTCTGACCCAAGGCGGCTAGACCACTACCAAACCGGGCGGCTGCAAGATGGGTCTCCTTGTAGGACAGCCACCTATACTCGCCAAGAATGACCTAGCAGGAGAAACAGCCCAGAATAACAAATAATATCACATATCTTATACGTTATAATTACAGGGTTCCCACTCACTTTTACCATCAAAAATCCAAAACTTTTCCATGACTTTTCCATAACTTCTTTTCCTTCATAATTTACATCTTGCACGTCCTTGGCCTTCATCTTTTTGGAGCCATAGCTTGTATTTTTCATCTGCTAACCAGAGGTCCTGCAAAAACACATTTACCCAGCATTTTGACATGGGCGCTAGCCTCACTATAAAATCCCCGCGAGAGGGTCTGACACGACATTATAATGTGTCATGTTATCAATTGCAGCCTCTTTTTAAAAGTTTGCTAACTTATGAACAAAATTACATGATACAGCCATGATCATTTTGGGTCAATTAGAAAAAAAAAAACAGCCATGACTTTTCCAAAACTTAATGGAAATTTGATCATTTTTCAAAACTTTTCCATGTCTGGAAAATGAAATTTCATTTCCCATCACTTTTCCAGGACTTCCATGACTGTGGGAACCCTGTAATTAAATAGCATTAACAGCAGCCATGTTAAACCAAGTCAATGCAATGCTAGTCTGTAAACACTGTACACACAATACTCCTCAAAAAGCCTTTAAGAGCTTTTAGCTACTTGGAAACCTTAAATGTTTATTTTTCTGGACCTTTTTGGAGCTTTTAGTTTAGATTTTTAGCTACTTTTTCACATCAAGATACATTTTAAAGGGAAAACACATAAACTAAAAAGAAAATTAAGTATCCTAATTTGTTCTGTGATGAAATGAGCTACTCAATATGATTATGCTGTTATGAATATTCTGTTCTCCATATCCCACATATTTTTCCAATTTCCTAAGTAATTCAGTTGTGTGTGAGTGCCCTCTAGTTTCTTTGCAAAATTACTACAGTATAATTCTAATGGTGCGTTTAAAAGCATGACTGCATTACCTTCAGGGATGAACACAGCAAAGCAGAAACATTATTACAAAACCAGACCTCATACACTACAGATTTAAACCAAACCCAAATCTAATTTATAAGCAAACTGAAAATCTCAACTCACTGGCACGACTGTGATGTTTAGAGAAGTTTGTCAGCCTTGTGAATTTGATCTGTGCCGTAAGGATGCGCCTCCAGAAAACACAGAATCTTGGAAACAAGGCAATTTATTTTTTTATTTTTAGAAACATTATCCTGGTAGTAACGGGAAGAAATCTGTGATGGGCCTGGAACCAGTTCCTTGGTTTAGGTGCATCTTTTTGGTTTAGTAAAATCTGCTGACGTTACTTAGCTAAAGCATCATGTTCTCTGTATGCAGACACCCCAGATTTTTTGCATTTCGTAAAGACTAATAGATAACCAAGAAGGTAAACTGGGGCCAAGCAAAATTCGGGGAAAGGTTAAACTAAAGGAATTAAAATATAATGGGATCAGCATTCCAATTAGTGGTATTTAAATGTGTTGCAAGTCAAAATCACAGTTGGAGCAGCTCAGTACAGTCCTCGTTACTGGATAAGCCACTAATCGAGAGAAAAAAACTTTCCAAGTTTCAAAATTACGCAAGAATGGAAAAAGATGGGAACCACTAAACATAGAGGAGGTATGGAGTAACAGGCAAAAATGTTCTGACCTAATCATTTTTCAACCAGACTGTTCATCCAAATACCACGTGTTCTTGTCTGCAATTCATTCTTGTACTGTAAACTGTACAAGTAGAAAGTGTAGCAATACAGTGCATCATCATAAAAACACAGAAGCCTATTTGTGTATGCAACCAACATTAGAAATAGCAGACATACAGATGCTTCCTTCAGAGATCACGAGGAACATTCCCTACATATATGTAAGGATTTCTGAGTTTTCAAAGTCTTCAGAAAATACTGCAAGTATGCACAACTTCCTTCACACAAACAGGTGAGCTGATGTAAAGCAGAAAAGGTTTAGTGCATCTAGTGCATGATATGTAAACTAAGTTACAAAGGGAAACCTAGTGCAAAAATGGTTGATCAAGCAACGCACCGGGTCACAACTTTAACTGCGTTGCAGCACTTTGCTTCTGTACTTACCTGTGCTTTAAATCATCATGATCATGGCTCGGACCAGGACACAGCAATCATGTGCTGAAGCACTTACAGAAATGCATCGAAGATCGCCCCCACATTTACCCGAGAATATCCCACTGCTTCTTACAGTGGCAGCAGGACAGAGAAAACCGATGCATCCAGGTAAAAGAGCAGTTCTGAAGCTTACCTTTTTAAACACTTTCCCATTTGGCTGGACCTCATCTTCCTCACTAAGCAACTCGCGAGTTCCCAAGCAGTGATTGGTGGAGAACTTGTTTTTGGCATATTCAAACACTTTGTCCAGAGTGTCACAGCCAGGGTACAGGGAAGAGGCCAGGCAGCTCATACTGTTCACTGAGCGGTAGGGTCCTCCGGGCTGGTTATTCACAGGTCTTGCTTTGACTCTCTTTGCTCGTTCCAGATTCTGGCTGGCCCCAGAGAGAAGGTACCATGGTAAAAACGTTATAACGGAGTAAACCCATATGATGGAGCGCAATACTTGTAAAAGCAGAGGATTGATGTCTTCCTTTAGTTTCATTTTCGGAACGGATGAAAACTTTAAAAATTCCCCAGGCACAACGAATCGCTACAGCTTTCACAGCGCTGGATCAGCAGGAACTGTCTTGATCTGGAAGGCAAAGAGGAAATCTTGATGAACACCAAACAAAACATTAAATACTTAAGTACAAAATTTCCTGCTGCAGAACAGCTGACTTTTATGCACTATCTGGCACAGATATTTTTTTACAATTAAATCTTCAAATGTACATTTCAGAAAAAAATGATTGATCACTTAATAAATGTCTTTGGAAAGCTACATATAACATCGAGGGATGGTAAGCCATCTTTCTTTCAGATAGTCGCGCGCCACTCAAGTTGTTATTGTTTTAGAACTTGATTTGAACACTCACAATAAACATTTGTGAGGCATGAGCACCACTTCACATGCGATTCATTAAAAAAAAACCCAGCAACACTCCCAAAACAAAACTTTTCAAACCTTGTCCAATTGGTAAATGTCAATGAACAAGCTGTAAATATTCTTTTCATAAATATTTCAACAATTAAACTGGTTGCGTGGGGAAAAAAAACCTAGAAGAATAAACTGGTTATTCTGCCCCCCCAAAAAAACTTATGACAAAAACCACATACTATATATACGTAAGAAAAAAATGTAGAAATCAAGTACTAATATGAACACATCCAAAATAATCTACAGTTTTCGAGACAAGCCAGTTTTGATGTACATGATCTTAAATGATCTGGAATTAAAAGTGATAGTTACCGTTAATAAATCAATCGCTTACTGTTCAACACGAAAATGTTTAAAAATGTAGCCGATGTGAAGCTCGTCATTGAAAAGGTGCCAGAAGCTAATGTCAGGTAGACTTTCTTTCCGTGTGTCGGTCTGCGTCCTTTAAGCACACTGGAGTAATGACTTGTGGAAGCTATGCCAAGAAGTAAAGAGCAAAGCCTCACACAGGATTTTGTGAGAAATATAAATCCTTAATTAGGTAAAAGGTTCCTGAGAGAAAAAACACTTGCCTTACAAAAAGGTGACACACACTTCCAGGTTCTGTTCATACAGAAACAGTGCTGAATGATTAATATGATTGTCTGTAAAGATGCTCGCTGATTTATAAGCAGCCATTACAGAAAAGATCCACTTTCCCATCAATTCAGTATCATTCCTGAAGCAAATGGTCTGGAAAATGAAAGGATACAGTGTCTCCTGTCCCCGACTGTGCTTTATTTATGTCTCTTTTTTGTATACGAGTCTAAGTAGTGGTTATTTACAGGACAGGTGTATGCAGAGTAAAATGTTGCAAAATATTTGCCAGAAAATATGGCTGTACAGAGCTATTCACATACTGCAAGGTAACGAAAAATTTGATGATGCCTCTATTGAGTGTGACCGGAGTACAAAGAGATAAAATTACACTTAAAAGAGACTAAGCGTTATTAGAAACCACATCATACTTTTTTCCCCCCCAAAGACTGTGAATTATTTATACACAAGTGGTAAGATCTCATAATTGTGGCAACGGGTCTCAGCATTAAGTCCTACACAATACAAGAAAAAAGTCTGGGACAGAACAATGTTATAGTCTTTAATGAAAATTACACATTTTCCACTTGACTGTATACATTCCAGTTGTAAAGGAACAGAAAAGCCTTAAATAAAGGTTTTAGGAAAAGCTAGCAATGCTATATCATTCCTTGAGCAAGACCAAGTTTAAAAGGACTGTATTAATCTCTAAAAGGCTCTAAGGTAGTACTCAACTTTAGACTTTTCTAAACCATGGAGCCCATCACTAAGGTAGGAAATGCCAATACTGTTTCACCTATGATTACTTTATTACATTTCAGAGCTGCATATCTTCAGACCAAAGCTGGACCTCCAATTCTAAAAGAATAAGGGTGACTTGTATAAAGTAGGAAAAGGCCTCCTGATTAATAAAAAACATGGTGACCTACAGTATATTGTTCTTATGCAGGACAGAGGTGGGCAATATAACCTTAACAACAGCATTTATCCAAGCAATTTCTTCTGTTGCGTGTTCCTCGTGGCTTTAGAGAGCTTGACCGAAAATCTGAGGAGCTGGGAATAAACTGTAAAGCAGACAACGGTGATTCACCACCTATCGACTTTTTGGGAGAGCTGGAACTGCACCCATTAAAAAACGTAGGGTGCGGTACTCTTGTGACCTGTCCATGGTGCTGAGCTGTAGTCAAGATCACACAATCATGTGTGGCAGCAGATACAAGATTCTCATTTTTTGTTGCACGTCTTGCTTTTGGCAAAGTCCGCTATCTGGTTTGCCCGCTGGTTGAGTGAACCCAGAACACATTGTGAGTGCCTCTACACTAGCTACGCTTCTCCCACCACAGTCCATAACTTGCTGCTTACCTCTGTAACAGTAACTGTACTCACAGAGATATTAAGTAACAGGCAAGAGCTGATGAGTATTCAAAGCTTGATGTAGATTATATTTTTACATCTTACCGACACAACTAAGGCAACAGAGGCTCAAAACTGTAGCACTCTACTGTCTATTGTAAAAACCGATGTGTAACCGAGATCGGCAGTCTAACCAGGCCTCATCCGTTTCAAAACCTCGCTCAACCATTTTATGGCATTTAAGCAGGCAAAACTGTACAGAGTTATGAGAACAGATCCGAACTTTGCTTTACCAAAGAGGATTTAGGCCTACATAACACTTAAATAAGCTGTGTGGTATACTGTGCCAGCTTACATCACAGCACTGCTAGTTGTTTCCATCCACCTTAAACAACAAAATGCTCCAAATGGAAAAAAAGAGAGTAACTCTTGGGCAAAGTTCACCCAATACACTCACCACCCAAAAATACTGCAAGTCCATTTTATAATTATACTGTTAGACACTGTCTTTCGTATGAACCAATGACTTGGCTCTGTATTTAAAGTAAGACTGACAATCACTTGAGAGATAACAGCTTATGGTGGAACAGGATATAATACTAAGATCAAGGTTTTTAAAATCTCAGAATCTCATGTAATAAAGTGTAAAGGTTTATCAGATAATTATCTAGTAACGTCCGCTAAATGTAAAACTGTCTTTCCAACCCATTTAAGTGATGATGAAATACATTTAAAATAGTTTCTGGATCACTCTGATTAAATATTGATATGCATCAGGACTAGGAGTTGGAAAATTACACTTTATAAATTCTTAATAAACCAGCTGTTAATACATGTATGAAGTACTACAGATGAAACCAGCCACTTTTGGGGGGCAAATAACCCTAAGGTTAGGGGTATGGCTCAAGCTTCTGTTGGGATAAGGAATGTTACAATTACATTTACAGTAGATATTGGTTATTATCCTATTATGTCACCCTATTAAGAACATTCCATTTATAAACAACCTTTACAACTCCTCATCGACAGCAGTACCATACATTTAGCCTTTAATAAAATCTGCTTTCTGTTCTAACAGATAAATCTGTTCATCCATTTTGTTCAATATAACAACTGTTGTACTATTAAACATTTACTAGATTTGTTTCACTGCAGTGGTACAGGAGGTCTGATGGCAAATGCAAAACGTTTCAGTAATTGACTTGTTTGATGTTTAAAACAGAGGTGAAAGCAACCCGGTACAGTCCGGGCACCATGATGTTCAAAAAGAAAAAGGCAAAAGGTGCCGCCTGTACATACTTTTACCATTATCATGTTCCATTTCAGCTCATCAATGACTAGATTCTAGAGAAACTGCTTTCACGCCCTCGGCCTCTTGTGTTTTCTGTGTTTTCTATTACAGGCATTGTGTCGGCTGGATCAGTGGTACTGCCAGCAAGTTCAGGGTCTATCAGGGACCGCAAGGTATTAGGGTCCAGTGTGGTCAGTGAAATCGGGGGGGCTTTACAGAAGTCCACCATGTGATCACCATGTAGCCAATATGGGATTCTCCCTCTGAGTTGGCTCACACCACAGGATGCTGTTCTGCATGCCGCTCTGCTGCAGATACAGTCTACCCCACTTAAATGCGCTTTGTTTGGTGTTCGGCTCTTTAAAACGCCATGGGAGAAAACTCCCTTTAAACTTCCTTCATGACGACATTACTGGCAAGCAGGAAGAAATAATAATACCCTAGAGGTAATTCACATGCGTGCGTGTAAATGAAATGATGAATCTACTTCACAGCACAGAGATGTAAATATTTTTAGTACAAAACACAAGCACACAGTGAGTGGACAAAATAACAGAAACACCTAACAATATTTTAATATCAAGGACCTAATAAGGAGCAAGGACACCCGTTGCCTTCAGAACAGCTTCAATCCTTCTTGGAAGTCCTGAACTATGTGAAGCGGGATATTGCACCATTCTTCAAGAAGAAAAGCCTCCAGTTCTTTGAGGGATGAAGGAGGTGGAAATCTATTGTGCACTCTGTGCTGCAGAACTTACCATAAAGGTTCAATGATGTTCAGATCTGGTGACTGGGGAGGCCATGGAAGGCATCTGACCTCATCCTCGTGTTCATGAAACCACTTTTGAATTTGTTAAACAGTGCGTATGGGGGCATTATCATCCTGGAATATGGGAACATCATGAGGGAACTGTGTCTGCACCATAGGGTGCTCCTGGTCCTGTAAAATGGCCTCATATTCCTTGACCGTTATACGACGATGCAGAGCAATCATCGGACCTAATGACTCCCAGGAAATGGCTGCCCATACCGTTACAGATCCCCCACCATGTTTTAACAGCTGGCAACAGACATTGTGGGTTGAAGGCATCCTCTGGCTTTCTCCAAACGTAAACCTGTCCCGATGTAGGAAACGGGGTGAACGAGACTCATCAGACAATATTGCTTTTCTCCATTGCTCAGGGGTGCTGGTTTTGTGCTCCTTACACCAGGTTATGCGTCTTTGTGCATTGGCCTTGGATACAAGCGGTTTCTAAATAGCAGCCCTGCCATAAATCCCAGCTTTGTGAAGCTCAGGACGTACAGCTTTTGTTGAGACTCAGTCACACAGGTGCCGATTCAATTCTGTGGTAGTTTTTGAGGCTGTACTTTTATGGCATTTAGCAACTATCCTGTGAAGTGTCCGTCTATCCCTATCGGTGAGCTTTGACTTTCAACCGCTGTTCCTCTTCGCCAATGCAGGTTGTCCATGTTTGGCATACGCTGTTATTATTTTTGAGACTGTTCCCCTTGACACATTAAATAATTTTGCAGTTTTTGTGACTGATGCACCTGCAGTTCAGGCACTGATATTTTGCTTCTTTGGGACTCCGTTAGTTGCCTCATGTTGCTTTGAAAACTCACATATCAAAGTGCTAATTGTCAGACCTCTTTTATAGCTGACAGATACTGCTAATTGGCAATCAACCTAGTATGACTCACCTTTGCAGCTGCATTTGTAGTTGTGATTTAGTTACTTCAAAGTTAAACTCTTTTTTCATGTGGTGTTTCCGTTATTTTGTCCACCCCCTGTACTTCTCTGTACCATAACCTAGGGGTTTTCCCAGAATTTCTGAAGTGCTGAAAATGGAAAAACTTCATATTGCTATAATGTACACAAGTCTTTGCAGTCTTAGCTCCAACAGGGTGGACTTTCGACATTTCATGTTTTAATCAGGTCCCTCCCTTAATAAATGACACTGTGGAAGGAGAAAAGTAGTGATTAGTCTGGATTAGGTAACAGCGACAGGTATTTTAATTTTATTAACATGTGACGACAGAACATCCTGCAGAGAACCTTCTGGATAATTTTGACAGACTAGTTCTGTTTGTTCTTTCATTTTTGAGTGAAACCCAGTCTCTAAGGCTCTTCCATGGACTGTACAGTAGGCTACTACAGTTAATGGAAAGAGGCCTGCTGGAAGGATTTACAGGATTTTGATTGATGGGAACTTCCAGAGCAACAGCTTCACAGCGAATCCAGTGGATCTGCAAGGTGTGAAGTGTGCCGAAAGAAGCCCATGTATTTGCTGGTTGAGTGCCCTCACGACAATGACTCGAAAGGAATGAGTCCACTGTTCACATGTGCAAACTGAAAATCACTACACTGAGCAGCAGAGCCTCTGTGTCTTTACCTGTGCAAACTGCAAATGAACTGACCTTTCACTTCAACAACAACCAAACATACAGTTTAAGCGCGAGGAAAGGGGTGGAATGTGATGAAAGAGCTATGCATGTATAGATCACTAATGCGAGTAGCACACTGATTTCTGAAGGAAAAAAAAGGCCTTCTGTAAATCTGGCTCATTAAAATAGCTTTTTTCACTTCCCTATAAAAACATGGAACCAAGCTTAAGTTACAACTTACGAGCACTGAAAGAAGTCAATTTGTTTTTATATTGAGTTATTTTAAATACATTTTAGCAGACAGGCTTTTATTAGATACCTTCTGGCTTTGATCATTTCTATTCTGGGCACTGCATAATACTATGGCTCGTACTTTTATAATAAAAAGTGTGATTATATTACCAGTTCATGGTTACTCTTGGTCTTATCTGTATGAAGTTGTCACAAAGAATGTAAGCTGTTTCATTGTTGTGTTTTTTCTTTTCGGTTCAGAACTAGTAAGACAGCTTGGTCTTTCATCCAAACCACAACATTTTACCAGGCACCATTTTCCTGTTGGCTATTTACTCAATCCTGGTCCTGGAGGCCAGGAAGTAAGAGTATGTAAATATCCCAACTTAACTGAAAACCTGAAGACACAACCTGAAACATCAGGTTCCTAACACTCTAACTGACCCATTACATACCCTACCAGCTCGCTACCTGATGTTCAACAGTGCCTGGATGTGAATGATTATGAACTCACTTTATCCCCCACATGAAACATACTGTTTTAATCACAAGGTTACAGCCTATACAAGGTAACTGGACAAGACTTGGTCACCATTTTAGACCTAAATCTAGGGCCTGGAGTGCTCTTTGACTAATTTTCGATCCTGTGTTTCAGTCTTCCAACATCAAGAAGTCAATATAGTATCCTGTCGAGCCAGCAAGCCTGTGTGGCTTATTAAGCAATCATCCCAATCCGAAACAGAACCTTCTCAATTACTCAACAAATTAAAAATATTAGCATGCAGATTAACAGAGTCAATGGATACTATTGACAATGCACGTCTGTTTTATCCAGGAGTATTACAAACAATACTGTGATCAATTATTTTAGGAATGTGTATATAGTTAGCAATAGTTTGGCCGTTTGAAGAAATGAAAAATAACTAAAATCAGAAAATGAGTGTAGCAACATAACATACATGAAAACCATGCAAACCAAAAACCAAGAAAAGGCAGTTCACAAACATGTAAATTCCACTTAGTTCAGTAAAAGAAACTTTTTTGTTGGTTTACCTGTTGTTCTTTCATAACTTGACTCTCTTCATTGGGGCAAGATAAGTAATAACAGCTAAATATTGTTTCGCTTTTCATGTTAAGCTGGGAACTAATTTTTCATTTCATTCAGAAATTCATTCAAACACAATCACTACCATTCTGAATAGTGTTTGCATTTGCCCACTTACAATTTACATTTATGTTCAATACCTGTAATAGAATCTAATCCACACCCAAAATCCACACTAGCTTTGAGTCAAATATGTTAACTGCTTTGAAAAAATGTTCAGTTGTTTGTATGAAACAGGTTTTCAGGTATTAATTGTTATGGGATGAAGTAGGCGCCCATTTTTTCAATCTAATTCTCTGAAGGTTTTAACACACAGTTTGTCTATTGTTCTATCTGCCTTGTGTATTTACTGCTGAAATACTCAGTATGTGATTATTATTATATACTTCGTGGTCTTTTTACAACTCTCAGACCATGGTATTAGATCTTGCAGTGTCATGCCAAGTGCTAGTGACAGTGTCACACCATCAGGGTGTGGTTTCCAAACACTGAACATTCTTGAGGGCCTTCAACATCCAAGTCTTTGGTGAAATGTACACGTTTTCATTAAAGCCTGGGTAAAAAACTAATGTATTTAAATGTTATTCTGCAGCAGCGAACCAAGTGCCCCATTGTGGCTACATGGTTCAAGAGGCAGCTTTAAGGGTTGAATATATCCTTTCACTGAACACTTGCTTTCTCACAGCTGCAACAAGCTTCTCTGCTCTGAGGAAATTATTTGTCCATACATTACTTATAAAGGGCTGCTATAAGGGTAAACCATGTCAAATGCACTGCATTTAGCAACCAGCCTTGAAGAATGTCATTGTGTGCTTTGATCATGTAACCAGCATTATCTGAGACTGATCCAGTCATGTTTTTAATATCAACAATTCAAACATGTTTTGTGCAACCAATGAATAGACATAATACAATATAATATTATACAATAATAGGCACATAATCAGTATCTGCCACAGTAACTGTCAATTCCTGGTACTTGATTGTCTTTGCAAGACATGCAGTGCATGCAAAACAGAGACTTTTACTGTTGTATTTACTCATTCACTACATTTAACAATAACATTTTGATCAGTACAAACCAGCAGTCTGTAGTGACTACTCCTTTCTCAGCTGGCTCACTCTAGGAACTGCCCCACCACTTATTGTACGCATGTTGAGCAAATGGCACATCTCTGAACGGTTCACTTTAACTAAGGGAATAAAAGTAAAGAACAATACCTCTGTCAAACTGTAAGTTATAGCATGCCTTTGTTCCAATATGTCTTCTGTATGTTTTTACACAGGACTCCCACTCACTGCTGTCTTCGCCTTTTGCTTTGTGTTTTTTATTTTCAATATTGTTGTATTGTTATCATTTGAGTGTAACCTAATGATAAATAGCAGCTTTTAAAAAAAATACTTCACATAGGTTGAATCTATTCTTGCACTTATAAATGCAAGTAAATTACTTTTGACCCAGTTTACATATTCATATGTTTATAATTTTCTTTGCCCCTTTCCTTTAACTGCATCAATTGTTTTGCTCACCAAAATTAATCATAATAATCACAATTCCTGTGCTGACTAATGACTAAAGAGATCAGAGTGTCTGGAAGAGAACAACTGGACTACAACTTAAAAGCACCAAAGGTCAAGAAAACCTCCCCGACCCTATCTATAGTTCTTATTCACCTTCAGTACAGACAGCAGATATTAAATTTAGTCACTATATTATGTGAAGTTATTATATCACAGGAGATATTAGTGAAAGCCAGTCAAAGGGTATTTTTTCGCTATGCAAAAAGCTTTACATAATTGTAAAGCTGTTTGCATAATGATAAGTTATTAAATCATCACTTTAGTATGTTTTCAGTACATGTATACAGATGCATGGAGTACCAGTGCCCCATCAGTTCTGTGGCAAGCATGTGCAGAAATGCAGCATAAGGCATTTAAGGAATTAGTGTGGACTATGCTTCAGTTGATCCCTGTACTTCTCCTGTGAGCTTGAGTTACACCTGGAAAACAGAAACTACCGCAGGAGGAGAGGGACTGACTCAGTAGAAACGAATGAGATGCCCATCAAAAAACACAAAGCCAAGAAACTGACCTTGATTAAGGGGTGATGAGGCAAATCATTGCATTATGAACACATGCTGTCCTCACGAGATCAATGTTGATACAACACTGCGGTTAAAACTTATTTTGATTCAAACTGCTTCCCTGCTTCACAAAACCTGTTCCTCTGATCTCACTTGGTGGATGTCCAGGCCATTCAGCATCACTGAGGTGGCATAGACATGTGAACACAACCGGGAAAACCTGTTGTAATTTATTCTTGACAAAAAATGATATTCGGTACTGTGTGCTATGAAACAATGTCATCGATACTGATAAGGCTCAGCGTGGGCCTCAATACAGAAGATAAAAGCCACGACAAACCGGACACACACACACAAAAACAATGCTGAATAGATATAAACATGCCGTTTGTTTAGAAAAGGAGCATCCTTATACAGTTCATCACATCCGATAAGGACCAGTGCGAACAAAAAACAACAGCACAACAGCCAATAAATACTAAGAGTGAATTCCAAGGTGAAGGGTGTTTCACCCGGTGGTACCTACATTAATCATATTTTAGCTTCTTCCCAAAACATGACCTAAAGGCGTGGCAGCCAGGTGGGGTTGCCAATTTAATAATGTGAATGAAAAAGACGGATGCAGACGGCTTTCGGATGTCTGAGAAATGTTGAATGGCTTGGCTACACACTTTGAGCCCTTCGTGATGTGGATATTGCACTCTTATGAACAGACACAGCGGAACGCTGTCGTCCAATATCAAGTAAACACAGCATCTGTGAGATAAGAAAATAGGTTCTTCCACGTTTTAGCCCCGTCCATTCATATCAATCCAATTACACAACATCGCAGCACATCTGCAACACTTAGTTCGCACCCCCAACCACAATGAGAAAATATTCCAGACGAAAAATCAACTCACCTGGCTCTGTAAGACGCTGAAACACACACCCTATTATGCCCCTTAAACGTATATACAATTCTAAAACATTTAAAATACATAAAATTGAACGGATGTTACGATTTAATTGTGCTATCTGCCTCCTGACACTGGCCTATGATCTGCCCGGAAGTGACTGGAACGTCGTTGAGTTATTATTACGCGTCGGCTCACGCTGCTCTCTGATTGGACAGCGGGAGGTGGCGCGCGTCGGGGGCCGGTCTGTGACGTCCCGAGCGGAGCAGCGGGGTTACTCGCGGTTATTGTGACTTGAGGAAGGCTGGGACTGCAACGCGGCAACTGCCACAAGGAAAAAGAGAGAAGCGGCCAGCGCTGCGTGCTAGGCAATGCGGCACATCCCTCCTAACTGAAGTCACAATCAGCGGGACAGGGCTTGTGGGACAATGCCTGTGGAAAAACAGAGAGGAGCTCATGGATTGCCTTTTTGGTTCAGTAAAGAAGTGAAGGAGGCAGCTGCAACCCCCTTGTCAGCTCAATACAATAAGAGCACCACAGCTACCCGGGTTGTAAAACTCTGGCTCTTGCATTATAAAAGGGACCATGGCAGACTGCCACCCCTCTACGACACAGTAACAAACCCACGAGGGTTCTTTCAAACACTGCAAGCTCTGTGAGTTGGACGAGCAGGTGGACTCCATCAAGTGCAAAGCATTTTATTAATATTAAACAGTTTTGAACGTTTCAGCTGGGGCCTGGCCAGATTCATAATTTTCCAACAAAGCTCATCGTAGACACATATGAGCCCTGCTATCCCTTTGCATGAAGCTGAAGGAGATCCTGTCTACACATAGCGATGTGTAAAATGCCTCCCCAGCAAACTCTAGCCAGCTACCCTCTTTACTGTCCTGCAGTTACACAGGGCCCCATACTGGAAGCTAAATGAAGGCCTTATATTACCGAACAGGGGTGAGACTGGATGAGCATGAGCCCATAAAAACAGACTAATCATCTCACTGTTGCAAGAAACCCGCCTCTAGGACAGGTGCTTCCAGGCTCGTGGCTACAGCCTACACGATCTGTGTAAAACAGGGTAAAGACTGAATACTGCTCCGCTGCCATGGCCTGACAACCCCAGAAGCAGCTCAGAGAGGGAGCTCCTTGTGGGAGCAGAGGGCTCACAGAAGGTGGATCAGGCTGTGGGCAATGGAAGCTGTCAGGGTGGAGGAGGAGGAGGAGGAGGAAGAGGTGTGCCTGAAGGGGCACAGTCAGGAAGAGCTGCTTCTCTACCCCTGCAGCAGGATTGTGGGAAGGCAGGGGCAAGGCTGACGCAAGTTTCACTCTGAAAACGGGAATAAAGAGGATGAGTGCTTCACTCTCCTTTTCCGACGTCTTCGAGTTACGGATGGAGATCAGTGAGGAAGATGTGCAATCCTCTCTTGCACAACGGGAGCGAAACCTGCATTTGAACTCTGAACGGAATGGCAAATGGTCGGTGCTGGAACCGCTGTAGGTCAGTAAGCTGAAGCTCAGTAAGGTGACAGATTAACACGCTAATTCAAAATAAAATAAAGACGCTCACAGTTTCGTTTCAAAGTTGTAACATTAAGAATTTAATCTTTTTTTTTAAAACAATGTGCTATAGATTTTATGAATGTCTCTTCATGTCCACACAAAAATACATGAAGACCACATGTTTCTTTAGTGGTGCAGGTACAAGAACAATGTGTCCCCACTAGCCCATGGAGTCTGACTTCCATTATTGTAAAATAATATCCCTGGTAATATTTTGAAATAGGTACTACGAAAAAAAATTAAAAATTCAGTCTCTCGAGTGCAGCAGACAAAAAGACAACACAGTTTTCTACTATTTATTTTTACACAGAAAGCTCTTTCCAGCTGATCCTACGTAAAGTACAACACTCAAGAAGACTATGCAAAAAGTGGGCAGATAGTACTTAACGTGTGTGAGGTCACAGCATGGGATTTGTGTTTATCAGGCATTCCTAGAGCAGCATGAAGTTTTAGTTTCATGTCCTTTAGAAAACCATTCTGTAACAGTTACTAGTGCAACCATTAGGCAGGCAAGGCCTTCCTTGTTTTTCCAGAGATCAAGTCCTAGTTTATGTCATAAACAAACTCAGAAAAATGAGACGGATTAGCCCAGTAACAGCACAATAGAATTTAAAGTGACCTAAATTTTACCCGAATCTCACGTGACATTAAAGTCTGCCGTGTTCTATTTTTAACAGTTGTGTGCTTCTCTGGAAAAGAAAATCATCTGAGAGAGAAACCTGATACCCACCAACTTTAACTCTTAAACTGCCAAGAGTTCAAAGAATTGTCCCTCTCCATGTCATAATTCCTAACCTGTAAGATTCACATTCAACTCCATATGTTGCTTCAGAACTATTAATTTCTGTATTTATACATACACACTTGTATAACCAAAATTAAAATACACTGACGATATTGATAAGGATGAGCTTAATGACAACTTAGCATACTCCACTTTCCTCAAGCAAAACTGCAACACTGCTGACGTTACTGTAGTTGAAACATTGAATTTCTTGGTTTCTCTGGACAGGTAATGGTCTCCTCTGCGAACACATATGAAAGGATTTAGTTAGACTCTCACCTCCCAAGTATAATCATATTCTCAACCCCTTTTAACTCTTAGAATAATTGCTACTCCCAACTGTTTAACCCATTGTGTGTTTGTAGGTAACACACGTACTGTATATGACAATTTCTCAGGAACAAATGAGAGTTTGCTTATAAAAGATAGAGGAACATGCAGTATTTTATAAAACTTTTATTAATCCCATACAGTCTAAAATAATGTCTCTGTATTTAAGCCTGTACTCAAGTGAAGATCAGATGATCACGCTGGGGTATTCCATACTGGGCCTTATGTTGTTCAAACAGCTGGGTCAGCTCCTCCAGGTACTTGCTGTGCAGCTTGTCCACCTCTTCAGCTGAAGGGTTCGCATTTTGTTCCACTTCAATGGGCTTCCCTACTGCAAGTGGAAGGACAACGACAAGGGGGCAATGAGTTCAGGTCTCCTGCCCTCAATGACAACAATTCTGCAGGCTTGATAGATCACTGTCCATCATCATCCCCTGATGACAAGGAGAGAATCCTAAACCCTTCCTCTGAAGGCAATGATTAGTACAGTCATAAAGATGAAAGATTTAAAATAAGATGAAATTCCATCATAAATCATAAATTAAACCTGAACAAGACACTTATTTAATGTGCTTTAATTTCAACATTTCATAAATTAACATTGAATAATATTTGTAATGACAGTTTTATATTTTTAAAAGGAGAATAATAAAAGGACAATGTTTCCAACTGAATTATTTTCCTACTGGGCGAGGTTATCTTCCCGTAAATGTCAAAGTAAGGTTTAGGAGATTAACACGCAGCGTTTAAAGCGAATTGCTTTGGCCCTGTAAGATTAGATTTATTCCACAGCATGTATCTGAATTTTTTATTCTTTGGCAACTTGCAGAGTTTTTGTGTAGCGTTCCAAGTTTCTCATTTGTTCATTATATAACAAACACAAACTGATTAAAAAGCAAGAGTTTTGAAAGTCCAGTGATAAAGAATCTTGTGGTTAAGAAAAATATTTAAAAAAAAAAGATAAATCACATCTATACACTTTTCCCCCCATTAAGCAAACATGACAAAAACACTGTGAAAAGTGCAGTAAAGGCAGAACTTTAGTAGGTCATTACCACAAATTGGTGTTTCAAGGTTCAGTTTTAATTTAGTATTTTGGTGGATGAAGTGAGTAAAAACAAAAGGGTTTAAGGCAAAATTAACAGCGACATCCCTCAAATAAAAGTGTAAATCACCTCTTTAAAAGTGAAATCACTCATGTTGCCCATTTGTGGTTTAACTTCATGCATTAACATGTATGTACCCTTAATGGAATTAGAAAAACACAGTCATCCTTACACTTACCTATAGTGTAGATGGGTTTTCTGTAGGGCATGAAACCAAAGCTGTACTGAAACACCCCTCGGGCATGAAAGATTGGCAAACTGAACCCCATCATCTTCCGTAGCCTTTCCTGGATAGTCCTCACTATTGATCCCTTAGGATTCTTCAGTTGGTTAAAGAGCTCATTCTCTCCAAAGGAAAACACTGGGACCAAGTGTGCTCTAAGACATGTAAAGAACATTTACTTTCAACAAGACATTACCGATAAGATGAGCAGATACCGTTTCCTTTAAAGATCACATCCTTTGGAATACACAGGCAACCCACAGCAGGGCTCTTACAGAGAAAACTACATTTCAAACAAAAGGCTTATTGATTTTGTTTGAAAACGTTTGCTCACTCCACAACCCTATAGAAATCTACATACATTTTAAAACCCTCTTCTCATATGTATATATATTTCAATTATTAAAAATACAATTCTTGCAGACTTTTACTTGAGCATTTAGGAAGGAATGTGTCACATCTACGCATAAAAGAAGATGGGTGAACCACTGCCTTTCCCCAGTACATCTAAATCTGCTGGCTTTTACAGTTAGAGATAAAATAAGGCACCAATTTCTGTGTCACAGACCAACAAATAGCTTGAAGTTCCCACTGATGCCTACAGTATAATAACAATTGTCTGGTTAATTATTTTGAAGGATGGGATGGTTTAGCTTAATTTCACAAAATCCTTTATTTACACTTTGCTCATAAGTCTGTGAAACCACCCGTATTTGTGGTGTTGTTATAACATCCCAATTAAAGTCTATTTATATGATGTCCAACTTCAGTCTTAAAAAAAAACTTCCAGCTACTTAAATGCAGCATATCTGCCTGCCTGTTGTTTATGCTCAGAATGCACAATCAGATGCTACAATCCTTAGCTGAACACCAATTGTCCAGAATAGACAAATGTGCCATATAGAATACTGTGAATAGTTTGCTGATGCGTGCACATATAAAAGGTATCACTTCATCACATATCACTTTGAAGATATAATAAGTTGTATGCCAACAACTTAAAAGCTACTACATAAAATGTCCTAACAAAAAACTGATAAAGAAAATCACAACTGAAACAATACAATTTGAATTTAAACCTTGAAACATGTGGAAGGTGTTTAATGATGGGACTCAGTCCTCAGGGTGGAACATAAGCCAGTGAGTTGGTCCGACTCCCCTCATACAAAAAAGTCGGGGCATAGAGGACACAGCTGACATCTGCAGCAATTTGTGTGTATAGAATCACTGCTGACAAAAAAAAAAACTCTGTAATATCTGGGAATTTCCTTAATGATTTAATTATCTTCCTTGGCTGTATAACTGTAACATTGCCAGCAGCCATATCACTCTGCAACTCACAGCTGGCCGCCCCACTGAAGCTCAGCAGGTGTGAGCCTGGTCAGTACCTGGATGAGAGACCTCCTGGGAAAAACTAAGGTTGCTGCTGGAAGAGGTGTTAGTGGGGCCAGCAGGGGGCGCTCACCCTGTGGTCCATGTGGGTCCTAATACCCCAGTATAGTGACGGGGACACTATACTGTAAACAGGCACCGTCCTTCGGATGAGATGTAAAACCGAGGTCCGGACTCTCTGTGGTCATTAAATATCCCAGGATGTTTCTTGAAAAGAGTAGGGGTGTAACCCTGGTGTCCTGGCCAAATTTCCCATTGGCCTTTACCAATCATAGCCTCCTAATAATCCCCATCTCTGAATTGGCTTCATCACTCTGTCCTCCTCCCCACTGATAGCTGATATGTGGGGAGCGTTCTGGCGCTCAGCTGTCCATCATCCAGGTGGGGCTGCAGACTGGTGGTGGAGGGAATCCCCATTACCTGTAAAGCGCTTTGAGTGGAGTGGAGTATCCAGAAAAAGCATTATGTAAGTGTGAGGAATTATTATTATCATAACTGGCAGCCCAGCTGCGTTTGAGCTCTGCGTGCATATCCGCCATGAACTGGGGTCCTTCAGGCTGAGAGCCTTGTGGGTCACTCACCCGCACTTGAGAGCGATCCTGATGAAGCCCTTCCTGTGGAGCGCTTCCAAAATCAGACTGCCAGGCCTCGCATCCAAGGCCTCCGCGGCTCCGCCGATCACGATGACAGAGACACTGCCTCCTCCTTCTCGACCCAGCACGTGTGCAACGGCTCTCTTGGAGCAGGAAACCACACCTGCACACGTACAGGTGGGCCACAAGGTCACTCACTGCACAGACACAACTTCCTCAAATCACCTTGAGCACGCTGCTTGGCAACAACAGAAGGCATGTTCTGAACATATAAACCGCTGTGTAGCTGAACAAAACAGTTGTGAACAGCGTGATGGCTCACTTTTTATAAGGACTGATCTCAGTGAGATTTCTAGCTTTTCAGGTAGATTTAGGTTAGGATTGTAACTGGTGTGTGTCCAACAGCCCAGGGTGAAACTTATACTTTGTTTATCCATACTGTGTCCTATTTTGCAACCATGATTTAAATATTACAACAGACTGATATATTTCACAAATGTCTGTTGAGAAACAGTACTGTCCTCACAGCTGATATTTAGTCTCAGAAACAGCAACTGTTTTCTGTATGACGCAAAGTACAAGAACAATAGATACTCCTACAATACCAACAAAAGCGCCGCAACACATATTTGCATGCATTTGTACCACTGGTTCAGCAATCAGCTTTATTACGGCTCTTTGAGAGGTGCTATTTGAGAACTGCCAGACCTGCTTGCCGTCTTGAATAGTTTAAACACTTTACCCTCCATTACATGTTGCCATTCTTAGAAATAAGTATGACCTCTATGCGATAATCACATACACTAGCTATGTTTTTAACCTCAGTGTCCTGTTAGTTCTAACATCCAGATACAATCACCATTCCTTTTATTTAAAAAGATATCCACGAGGACATCTGTTTGAATCATATCAATATATCAATATCAAATCACATCAATATTGCTGTAGCACTCAATTCAATTCCTATTTCTGTTGTTATTTCACTTTTCAAAGCAGAAAGGAAACATATTACACCACTTTTTAAGTAAGCGCGATAGAATAACGTTCCACTGGTCCTGGAAATGATATCTGAAGACACAAAACACGTTGTGTCCAGGCGCTCACAGTTCATGGACCAAAGCATTTCAAAGCCGGAGAGGTTCCTGCTGCTGTGTCTCACCTGCAGACATGATGTACTCTCGAAAGAAAGGGAAACGGAACCAGAAGGGAAGTACATGGAGGTATGGAGTCAGGCCAGGGAAGAGCTCCCTGAATCCTGTGTGCTCCGTGCAGAAATTCCCAAAGGCCCCAGCCACCAGAATGCCATGAGGATGAAATCCAAACAGGTAGTTTTTCCCAGGGTCCAGGTCACAGGTTTTTATAAGCTTTAGATTCAAACATCACAGAAATAAAAAAAAAAGAAAGAAAGCTCTGATGGTTTATGGTTTAATGTCTGGCAGGAAACTAAAAATTCCTGAAAACTGTCAGCCTACGGCAGGAATTCTGTGCACTGAGCCATTTCAACACAAACTCTATAATGCATAATTACACATATACCATTCTTTCCTTTGTTTCCAGAATTATTTCTGACTGATTCAAAAATCAAATGTGCAGGAAGGAAGTATAAACACTATAATTTGCCTTTTAGAGACTGACAAACAAGTTTCTTGTAACTTGTCAGAGCAGAGGCTTATGGGTAAGGAAGATGGAAACTCTTGATTGCTCAAAGCCCCGTTACTTTATATTGCTTTTGCTTCTCGACTTACATGGATGGGGAAGTAGTCTCTGAAATATTTCCAAATCCTCCAGTTTCTGACCCATGCGGATCTCCTGCCTCCGCACTGCGGCGTGTCCCAATCCAGGTACAGCCACAGCCCATAGAGGGCAGCACAATGCCAGTAGCCGCTGAGGACACTCAGGACGTACAGGACCATACAGCACTGAGCTGAAGAAGAAAGGGCAAAAGACACTGGTTTAATCACGTGATCAAAAAGCGCTTCGACGTGTTTAATGAAAACCTTTGCTAACTTCATTACTCCGATCACAAACGCTCTTCTGATTCAAGCATACGACATGTAGGCGTCGTTTGATTTTAAATGTCTAGAACAATCATTTATCTAAGCTGAAGTATTACGTATGCAATTCGTTGACGGGTTTTTAATTTTTAAAGAAGAGTATTGTATTTAAATGAACAAGTAATAGGTTTATTCCATGCTGAAAAAAAGAAGAAAGGGAACACAACGTTTCGGCCGTGGAGCCTCCTTCAGGTGTGTTCTTCTTCTTCTCACCTGAAGAAGGCTCCACGGCCGAAACGTTGTGTTCCCTTTCTTCTTTTTTTCAGCATGGAATAAACCTATTACTTGTTCCTTTGCAGCCTACGCAGCTACCCACCTGAACTACTATTGTATTTAAATGTTTACCTATACAGAAAATTCCTTTCTGTACTGAATTCTGTTTCGGAGTAGTGACTGCCTTTCACGCCTCATTATTTCTATCACTACTACATTTTAATATTGCCTCATAGAAAGTATGAAAAAAAACTACAATAATTAACATTAAATGCGCTACAAACACCATTAAAATACATACAACTCTCCTGTAAGTTACTTCATTAAGAAATAGGCTCATCATATTTCCAAAAATAAATACAGAACTTTTACACTCAAGCTGCACCGGTTCTGTTGGAAGTTAGGGGATGATAAAAATCACTACAGGTGCTGTACCGAGGAAGAGGAAAGAGAAGACCCATTGCAAGACAGCGGCAGTCTCCAGTCTCCTGTTCAAAGGAATACGTAGGGGAGCAAACTCAATCATCACCATGTCCAAAAACAAAGTCCACAAAGTCCACAGAGCAGAACCACGAAGAAGAAATGTTTAACAGACGCAGGCTCCCTTTCAATACGGCCGATTCACTTTTTTCCCCGCTTCTCTTTCATTGCGTGTCCATTATAACCAGCCTTCGGGAACGCTAGGTCATCCTAGTTCACTTTTTGCCAGGACAACATAGCTTTCATAGCAAGCATATCCAACATCAGTGCCATAGTTCCTGTGCTTAGCGTGTCATTTTCTCCATCGAGAGGAACACTGCTATAAAAGGTTTCTTCAACAAGGTGACCAGGACGGGAGCAATATTTTATCTGGTAGTCGCATAAGGAGATAGGACAACCACGTGCAGCTTTCTCAAGGCTGAGAGACTTCCCCAGCTGTAAAGGGACCTGTGTGACGTCATTCACCACTTGTAGCTTATCAATGGTTCTGATTTAATTTACGTGCAAAAGTTTTTGATGCTTTACAATTATTTATTTCGAAGGGACGATTAATATCGACCGCAAAAGTAGGACTGTTTGGTAATGTCTGATTTTTTTTTTTTATCGTGACGACAACGTTACTCTTAACTAGTCCCGTTCAGGAGTCCACAGCGATGACGTTCAATGTACTGTTCATAAGAGAGAGTACATTAGGCGGCCATGTGTAAAATCCATGCGCTGGCAGAGAGCCGGCTATCGTGTCGAGGGCCGTACTAAAGCAAGTCTGAATCTGGCGCGGTTTAGAAAACACGATTGCTCTTAAGTGAAATGCGCCTGATTGACAGCAATGATTATAAACGTAGCTGTGCCCGCTGATTAAAAGTTTGGTTATCGTTGCCAAAACTATGCACATACCAAATACCACATTATTATGGAGGCGAGTGTAGTATAAAAACTAATTTAGGGTATGACGGTATCTAATTTTTCCATTATTTACAGCCGCTGTCCCTACATTACGATAAAGCATCTTTGCTTTTGCTGGTCAATATTGTAATACAACACGCTAATGTTTTTTGTTCAGCGGAGCGACATCTTTTGGGAACTTCGGGTACATTACAATAAAATCCTCTTTATCATTGTAATGCTGCATATTGTACACCCAGCTTAGGCAACACGGCTAGTGTTTTTAAGCTTTTGATTTTATATCATGTAGGATTAGTAACAGCTATTATTGTTAAGACAGACAGTAATACAACATTCCGGCCGTCTTACAGAAGTAGTCTTGGTTTATGTGACACAACCACATTCGACGTAGTAGGAATTTAGCAATCCAGCAATAGGAATTACGTTAATTCTGCAAAAGGACCCGAATCATCTTGTCTCACCTTGTGCCTAAATTGACATATTCAATATATCACATTCGACTTAAATGTTTCATTATTCTGGAGTTAGCTCTTATGATGTTGAATAAGATTATATGGTTAAACAAAAATGAGCGATAACTCTTTCAAGTAAAGTGTGACACAATAATTAATATTTTTCAGGCTTTTTCTTAGCCAGCCTACCCGGTATCACTGGGTCCCTAAGCAGAGGAAGAGAGGAAAAAAAGGGATAGCAGTGACCATGCCGACTGTCAGCGTTAAAAGAAATCTTCTTTTTGAGGCTTTGGGGAGAGATTACAGTGAGTATTTTTTTTAGATTAAATAGTGTACTGGATGTAATTTTAAAAAATTACGATATTTTGCAGTTCAACAGTAGTCCAAAAGACCGTCAGATCTTAAGTAGCTCTATCCTGCACCCAGCTGACAGACCTCTGGGGGCTGGATGAACGAGAATGACATTTCGGTCTGCTTCTCTGCCTTTTTTTAATCGATCGCTTTATCGTCATGTCGCTTCCTTCTTTATTATTCACCAGAACCTTATTTATTGTAGTTGTCCACAGACAAGGGATTTAAGAGTTGCACTACTCTCCTGCCGCTGGGTGGAGTACAGCATCTGATGGTTTCATTGTGATTGCATCAGCTGTGCTGCTTATGTGTCTTTTATCATAATAAAAAAATAATATAATTACTTTTCCAGTGCGAGTTAATATACACCTACACATCAAGTTTACGTGTTCCTGTACGATATTGCATTTTCAGCGGTATACCTACAATTCAAAATAAGACCATCGCACGTTTTATTGCTGTGCTCTTTAATTTCATTGCGGTAAATGCCATTATTGTTTAAATAGTTCATTATTAGTAAAACTGATCATTTGACATGATTTGACAGCAGTATCGCCGCCTTCTAGCCTGAGCTCATGAGATCCCGTAAGCTAAGCAAAGGGGGTTCTGATCAGTGCTGGAATGGAAGGTGTCTAAAGCAAGCTTGGTTGCTTCTGTAAGTGGTGTTGGTGGACCAGTAGGTGTCAGTCTTCTCTCTGGACCAGAAGGTCCAACACTGTCTTGTAGGAGGTGTTGTCCTTCAGGGGGAAGTAGATCCCTTCCTATACATAAAGATCTTTGGAATGAAAGTGCAAGTGAATGCAATGAATTATTGTTATTACAGTTACTATTTCAATTAATTTAACTTGTCTCCAGTATAAATATATAGATGTGTGTATGTTTTTGTGCATTCCTCATAAGTAGGTCTTATTTTTAAGCAGTAGTTGAAAAGTATTTAAAAAATAAGTATAGTCTTACATTCGAGATACTCAAGTTGCATTTTGATATGTAACTTTCTGTTTCTTGAAGCCTTTTATTCTTGTATTATAAGTCTGTTGAACAGCATCATCACCCTCGTATTTAATAACATTAAGATTTGATTGTTCTTTTTTTCACGTTTTTTTAAAGTTATATATTATTATTTTTTTAAGTTTAGTGCATTGCACTGGTTGTTCCTTCATGGTGTGTAATCTGTTTCGTTTGCCTTTAGCCGATGAAGAATTTGATGAGCTCTGCTTTGAGTTTGGACTGGAACTTGATGAAATTGTAAGTGGTCTTTTACCATATTCCTGCTTTTGTGGTCCTCTGCCATCGTGGTTCGCTCGTTTGTTTTGTCATTCTTCTCTCACAACGTGTTCACCCTGTAGAGTTAGTGTTTTGGGGGCAAAGACTTCAAACACTGGCTCCGGCCAATAACATTTCTGGGAAATGCATAACTGTCTTCCAGACTTCGGAGAAGGATATCATCAGCAAAGAGCAGGGAAATGTGAAAGCAGAGGGAGCCTCCGATGTCATTCTCTACAAAATCGATGTTCCCGCCAACCGTTACGACCTGCTGTGTTTGGAGGGGCTGGTCCGTGGACTCCAGGTTTTTAAGGAAAGGTAACTCCACACACTCCACTGTGCTCCCCAGAAAGCTCTCGCAGGATTCCCACTTACTGTTTGTTTCTCGGGATGGCAACAGCTGTGGCCGAGTTTTAGAATATAACAAAAGTGTGAAGCTCTGAATTTAGCTGAATGTATTGCTTAATCTAAAGCGCTCTTCCCATTTCCCCTTCAGGACAGAAGCTCCCAGGTACCAGCGAGTAAGCCCCTCTGGGGAGCCCCAGAGGCTGCTCATCACAGAGGAGGTAAGCTGTGAACAAAGCCCGAGGAATGTTACTCTTTACAGCAGGTTCTCTGAATTTCCCCCAGATTCCCAGCTCTCTTAAAAATTCGTTGGCAAAACATCTTCTTTAAAGACAAACGGCTGACAGATCAGTCCGCAAGGCTCACCAGTAGTTTGAAGCTCCGGACGTTGTCTGCCCTCTGCTTTTCTTCAGCGTCTGGCAGTAAAGTTTTAAAGACGAGGTTTTGAGCTCAACGCACTGATCACGTCCACCCCTGTCTGCAGTTCCACATGTACAGAGAAATAATGTGGGAGGAGAGCAGGCCAGCATCCAGCCGATGAGTAGAAAGCCTCAGTGGTATTTCATGTGTCTAAGCACAAAGAAATATCCGATGATCATTTCCCAAGGGAATGAAAGTGCTGGAGGTGGGGAAGGGGCTCAGAATTTCAGGTGGTTCGGTTTGCATGTGGTAAGTTTGCCGGACTGCCCGCCGATCGGTTCTGCGACAGCAAGCTCAGTGTAGCGAGCGCCCGGAGAGAGAAGGCGCCGGGTTCACGTGTACTGCTCCCTTTCAGACGGCTCAGGTGCGCCCCCATGCAGTGGCGGCCGTTCTGCGCAACATCACCTTCACCCAGGAGCGTTACGAGAGCTTCATCGAGCTGCAGGAGAAGCTGCACCAGAACGTGTGCAGGTGGGCGGAACCCGGGCTTTTCTTCTCGCAGATAAGCGTGGATCAACGAGGAAGCTTTCTGAAACTCGCTCGCCCAAAAAAAAAATGTGCCTTAAAAATGGCGAAAGCACGAAATAAGACGTTAAAGCGCAGAACGAAATGTCAGCACTTCCAGTAAAGTAGAAGGGCTTCTGTCAAAGTGGTACTTTGCATTCTGATGAGCACAAGCATATATCATTTCAGTGATACTTTTTAGAGGTTTTTGCAACACACACCCCTATGTTGGCTTCTGAGAAAAGAAAAGATTCTTAATTGTTGTTGCTTAATATCATTCTCTTTATCTCTTCAAGTATTTTTGTATTAGGCTCAGCAGTGAAGGAGCTTCCTCATGTCAGACAATCTGAGCTATGGTGCACATGTGATATTCTGGCACTTGTTGTAGTGCTTTTTTTTTCTGTCTTGAGGTGAGTTCTTTGCAAGAATAACCAAGTGTCTCATGCATGTGTGTGCATAACTAGGAAGAGAACCTTGGTGGCAATAGGCACTCATGACCTGGACACCATAACTGGGCCATTTACATATACAGCCAAGCCTCCAGGAGAGATCAAGTTCAAGCCCTTGAACCAGACCAGAGAGTACAGCGCTCCAGAGCTCATGAGCCTTTATAAGGTAAGACCTGAGAGAGATATTGCCACATTTAGCAGGGTATTCAAACATCTGAGTTACATTTGACAAAAACTGTAAATTGAAAATTTACCAAAAGTTTTCTCCTGACAAATATTTTAAAACTGTTTTTTTTTCTCGATGAAGGTGAATTGTTTATTTAAAAAAATACAAGATAAAGTGAGATTAATATTAATTAAGGACTTCTGTATTTGTAGGAGAGCCTTTTCTGTAAGTAGCATAGTACAGCTAAAATGCTAAATTCAACATGAACTGAAATATTTTGCGTGTTTTGCTTCCAACTGAGCAAAGTTCTGACCAGAATGTGGAAATGAAGCTAAACAGAAAACCGCTGTTTGGATAGCTTGTTATTCTCTTTGAGCTAAAGCCAAACCAAACCGCTATTTCAGGACCATCCTGTACAACAATGTGCTGTTGAACATGGATATGAGGCAGAGTCTTTTAAATGTAATACTAACATTTTTAATTGTTTTAGACTGATGGCCATCTGCGGCACTACCTTCACATAATTGAAGACAAGCCAGTCTACCCCATTATTTATGACAGTAATGGTATAGTCCTGTCCATGCCCCCTATCATTAATGGTAAGTGTGCACATGCTATCTACAGCTCTGCTTACATAGACTTAGCCCCTTAAAATATAAGAGAGTAGAGCAAACCCGACTGTCCAGATCCGATGTTTATTCTTATAGCCCTGTTATGACCGAAAATGGAAAGAATATGCCAAATGCATTGTCATATTAAAGCATTTTGAAGGGTTCTGTTTTTTTTCCTTTTCATTGTTGTTAAAGATGCAATAATACTTTTGTTGACATTAAAATGACAGCTTGAAATTTTTCTTCTTGATTACAGGAGACCATTCAAAGATCTCTGTCAACACCAAAAATGTTTTTATTGAGTGCACTGCTACAGATCTTACCAAGGCAAGTGTATCTGAGTCTGAATGATCCCAATGCTCATTTCATTTGTTTTTTGTTACAAATCCGGTAGTAAGGTTTTTGTCTCTCTGCAGGCAAAAATTGTTCTGGACATGCTGGTTACCATGTTTAGTGAATATTGTGAGCAGCCTTTTACGTGAGTACATAATAATGACCTGAAATGAAACTTAAAGCTTGTGTTTTAATGCCTATCTGCTAATTCCTGCTTTATTTGCAGTGTTGAGGCTGCAGAGGTTGTCTATCCTGATGGGAATACCTGTATTTATCCAGTAAGTAAATGGACTCTTTCTGCCTGTGTAGGTTGCTTTTCTGTGCAGTGGTGTAGTATTTTGCACACATATTCTGAAGGAAAGCTTACCCACTTAATACAATCGAAACCCAAGAAAAAACCTTTTCAGATTGATGTTATGTTTCTTTAAAAAACTTTGGATTTTGCATCATCAGAAATTCCTCTTTGGTACTGACGTGGAGTGAAAACTACTTAATAAAAAGAACTTTTGTGCTTGTGTTCCAAGGAGCTGGCATACAGGAAAGAGACTCTGACTGGAGATTATATCAATAATAAAGTTGGCATCAAGTAAGTTGTGGAATTCTGGCGTCGGATTGCTCTGATTTTCGACAGCCATCTCTTGATTTAATGAAAAATAATCTGAAAAGTGATTCATCTCCTGGAATGAAAACGCTGGTACTTTGTCTCCAGTGGCAAAGACCATGACATAAATTGCAGAGACCAGAACAAACATATTTTCTGCTTAGGTACAGCACACACAAGTTACTTTACTTTAAAATGTATGTATTATCTTGCTCTGCTGAACTGTCCTCCATTCCAAACTTGTTACGTCAGTGAGACCCCAGAGAACATTGCCAAGCTGTTGACCCGGATGTACTTGAAGTCAGAGGTCGTAGGGGAAGGGGGCGAGATAGAGGTGGAAGTCCCGCCCACCAGATCTGACATCATCCATGCGTGCGACATTGTGGAGGATGCAGCTATTGCTTACGGCTTTAACAACATCCGCCGGACCACACCTCGGACCTACACAGTGGCCAACCAGGTAATTAATTAATTAAGGAAAGGAAGAACAGACGGAGGTGGGTCTGTGGAAATGAGCGCTGGTTTGAAGCTCGAGTTCTGACTGAATCCTCCTCTTGTCTGCAGCTCCCGCTGAACAAGCTAACAGAGCTGCTCAGGCAGGATTTGGCTGCTGCTGGATTCACAGAGGCCCTCACCTTTGCCTTGGTAAGTGTCAAGCAGCTCTCTGGGTCAATTTCTGTTCAACAACTCTGTGTGTCACCTGGTGAAGCCCATTAACAAAGCCTGGATTCCAAATGGAGCTGGAGCGATTTTCTGTTTTTTCTTTCTGTCTGTTCCAAATGAAAAGATAAAGATTATTGCTCTTTTTAAATGAGGTAGGAGACCCTGTTTAAATTAAGTGTTCTGCTAGTATAGAGGTCCATTGAAAACATTGTTTCTTCTTCTTCCTAGTGCTCGAAGGAAGACATAGCTGACAAGCTGGGCAAAGATATTTCTGTCACAAAAGCAGTGCACATTGCAAACCCTAAAACAGCTGAATTTCAGGTGAGAAATCATTTGGATATTATGATAATTTTATTCAACTTTATTTACTTATAAAAATACTTTATTTTGGTATATAAAGCATAATGCCAAAATGTAAGTCCCCCAAACACAAACAATATGATTTGACAGTGCTCAGCTGATCTGCCTACAAAAGGTATATTACCTGTCAAGAATGTCAAAAACCGATTCAAACATGAGTTTTAGGATTAAAATGAAATTGCACTCAGCGACAATAACTTTTTCCTTCCACCAGGTGGCGCGCACCACCCTTCTCTCTGGGCTTCTGAAGACCGTTGCAGCCAATAGGAAAATGCCTCTTCCCCTGAAGCTCTTCGAAATCTCTGATGTGGTGCTGAAGGATGACACACGAGGTCCGTGACTAATTATAGTCATACAAGCAAACCACAACCTGTTGAGGAAAAAATAGAGTATTCCGCTACGGTTTTTTTTTAATGTTATGACTCATTTTTAAGAGTTTTTTTTTAAATCGTCATTTGCTGTTGCTTCTTATTCAGAGCTTTTGTTATAGTTCATATTGTTAATTTTGACGTTCAGCTCAGTTAAAACTCCAGTAGCCTCTTCACAACAGCCTATACAATTCCCCATCCAGCACACTCCATCAGTTTAATAAAAGACACCGCCCCCAGCAATTTTTAAACCCCATTTGCTGGTACTGAAAACAGGATTGGATCACGTAACACAATGAGTGGCTTAAGGAACAAGAGGTGAGGGAGCTGCTTGCTTTACCTTATTTTTCATTTTTCACCTCCACTTGTCCTGCCACAGATGTGGGTGCAAGGAACAACCGACGCCTGTGTGCCGTGTTCTACAACAAGAGTCCTGGGTTCGAGGTCATCCACGGGCTGCTGGACAGGATCATGCAGCTTCTGGAGGTGAAACCAGGCAGAGAGGAAGGGTACTACATCCAGGCTGCAGAGGGTAGGTGCCCTGTTTCAATACCCTGAAACTGTGACTGTTCCAGTAGTCCATCACGCACTGCATCAAGCATGTGGTGATACGCCATCGCAGTCCGCTAATACACAATGTTTAGGGGATCTTTGCAAATTTCTCTTCTGCATTTAAAAATACACAGATATGCGTAAAGTGCACGAAACATTCAGTTCATTAGATGTTACTGCTTTCTGAGATGGCAAAATTGAAATTGATCTCTTCTTAGCGAATGCGTGTTAGATTACGTACTTGCTGTCATCGTTGAGGTACTTTGTGATAGAGGATACATGTCTTTGAAACTTAATTGGGATTTTCCTCTTTAGTTATTCGGCATTGACTCTTGGGTACTTGCAGGGCAGAAAGGAGATCCTCTTGCGCTTCTGCACTTGTGCAGTAAAGATTCATCTTTCCAAGGTCATGGACGTTGACAGGCCACTGGCTTTCTGCATGCGTTACTTGGAGGAGTCCATTAATACAATCGATAGTGCCGCTTCGCTCTGAGGTGGAATTTCCTGCAGTCCTGATCTGGATGTGGTCCCAGTGAGTGCACCAGTCGCAGCGGCTGAGGCTGCCTCCAGGGGTCAATGTGTCTTTACTTCATCTCTTTTGACATCTGACAGTTTTCACTGTCTCACAGGCGTGATGGTATGAATTATCTGTTCAACATTTTTTTGCCAAATAAAAAGAGAGAAAAACAAACCCCTTTCCATCTGCAATCAAAGGTTTAGGGCTTATACCTGAATACCAGTTCTTTGTGTGATCTCTGGCAATGATTCTTGCCTAATGCAGATGTCTCATGTGAAATTAATGGACCTGGCAAAGTGTTAATGTTCATTAGGGGCATTAGAACGCTAGAGTCAGATGACTGCAGTGGGGTGAGCTTCTCACTTGTGATCCGAAAAATATTCATTGGTCAAGGATGCACTTTCAAAGCTGTTTTTTTTTTTTTTTTAAATTCTAATCAACTTATTGCTGTAGTTATTTTGTGTTGACACTACCTTGGCTTTGGTTATTTTATCTCAGTAGCATTTATTGAAAATATGTATTTGTTTTGCTATGACTCATAATAGTCCATCGTGTTCACTGAATTTTGCTTGTAAACGACATGCATTTCTGTTCTATATTTATATACAGTATACAGTATGTGACCGTTTTATAGGGGGACTGTTCTCACGCCCACATTTACAGACCAGAATCATGGGAGATGAACAAGCTTTTGTCTTTTTAATCTGCTCTCACCAAGTGCGACCCTTCTTTCGAAGTTTACTTTGAGTAGTTGCTTAAATGTGTGAATATCGTACTGTAGGCTCGCTATGACAAATTACAGCCAAGAGGACGAACCGATGAAGACAAGGTCAGTCATTCAGAGGAACGTGAACGTGTCAGAGGTAGACTAGAAATAAAAAAATTTAGGAGGGTATTGGTATTTTAGGGGAAAGGCTTGTGAATAGCGTGTCTGTAGTTGAGGTTTGAAAACTGAAGCAGCTAACTGAACAGTAACTGGCAAAGTTTCAGGGTCCTCTCCGGCTCGGGCAAGGTTTGGAATATTGTATATTTAAAACCTTAACTACACGATCAACAGATGTTAGCAAAGCTACTGCAGAGGATAAAAGACACCCTTTCCTTAGCCCAGCGCAATGTTGTAATGCATTAAAGAAGAAGCATATCAACCAATAATTGATTTTCCAGCCAGTGCCATTAAAAATGGAGAATCTGGATATTCCGTAATGGGTCAGACCGTGATGCTGCAATTTGAGTTGTTGGCAAATTGAGGAGCTCCAGTTCCAGGAACATCCAAAGTGGGAATCCTCTTCAGTCCTGCAAAACAGGGAGTGCTGCATCCCAGCTTGACAGTCAAAGGGAAAAGCAGAAGAGCACATCCAGGCGTGCTGACAAACTGTTGTAGAGACTACTTTGTTCTGTGCTCTCCAGGACGTTGCTGTGTTTTCAATCAAAAACTCATTGGATCCTGATTCTGACATCCACTCGTTTTTTCTCATAACTGGTGTTGTCTTGTTTAGAAAACGAGAAGAGGCATGTTGTTGGGCATCTAAAGTCATATAGTGTAAAGAGATCCACTCGAGGCGTTCGTTTTGCCAGTTAAACCTTTCTCTCTCTACCCTCGGCACCGCATTCCAACAGGACCTAAAATCTGTGCCCCCCTCACTATCCACAGCCACGTCGCCTCTGATCCGAAAGTATCACTGTTCGAGCGGCATCTGGTTCTATACTCTGCATCATGTTTTGATTTCATGTTGACTTGTTTGTGTTTATTAAAAGAAGAGTGGAAATTCCTTGAGGTGACTAGTTTGCCTCTAATTAAATTAGCCCTTTGACTGCTGTAGTTCTGAGTCTGTCTGTGGATTCTAGGAGTCTTCATTTGGCCTTACACTCCTAGTCCCGAGGCTAGTGGTGGAAAAGGCTTGAGCCAGTGACTATTCGAGCCAGTGGCAAAACAACACAAAGGCACCTTTGTGGCAGAGTTCAGCTCCAGCCCTACAGTTCACAGCTAAAGCATTTTTATTGATTTTTACATTTTAACATTATGGATTTCAAGTTGTTGTTTTTTTTTGTGAAATGGAGTTTTAATTGCATGAAGATGCATGGGAGCACATTTCTGGGCTGAAATAACAGCACTGAAGTTACTAATGTGTGTCCCCAGTTTTGGCAGTCGGCTGTGTCGAGTGTAACATGTTTCAGTTGTTTCCTAAGATGCAGTATGTTAAAATAAATATGGCCCGCTGCACGTGCTATGTTTGAATTGTTGAACCCGAAGGGCAGTAATGTATTCTTGTTAGTCTGCCAGTGCTTATGGGTAAAGAGCACAAAAGATGATTCTGCAGTGATGTGGTTGCATTTTATTTTATCCCCAATGTGGATTGATTTATCTGGTCTTTGAAAAATGGCTTTGTCATTTCCCGATGAAACAAACATGAGACACCCCCTGTTTTGGCTTAAAGTATATAATTAGCCTTTACAAAGGCTGCAGTCAAAAGGAATTTAAAAACCTATTAGTCTTGCTCATTGCTCGAGTCAGTGTCCAGTTATCTGCTTGTGTCCATTTAACTCTGGTCCATATGTTCTCAGGGCCCCTAATGTTACCTTTAAACACATTTGACCAGTCAGTCCAGTCCAAGGTCCTAACCTCCAAGGCTCATAATGTCATAATGAGACACCTGTGGGAAGCTGCAGATGCTGGAACATACGGGTGAAATTGCCATGTTCCCTAGAGCCCTTACAGTTGTGTTTAGTGTAAACTGACCTGAGCTTTGTCTCGTCAAGCCTTAAAAAAAAAAAAGAGGAGGAGAAAATGGACAACGTTGGTGGGCATCTGGAAGGAAGTGTGCAGTGGGAATTCTGTTGAAAGTGCAATATCTGAAAGTGAAGAGATCCTAACAGGCGTGACAGGCAAGATGCTATCTAGTGGTCTGTAATATCCCTTAGGATCTACGGACTGCGGCGTTGGTATCCATGTCAAATGTGGTAATTAAGGATGAGTGCCGTTTTGTCTTGTGTACATAATAAAGGGGGAAGGATATGAAGAGTCTGAAAATAATTATGGCAGTACTATAGCTTTACCTTGGCTGTCATTTTCATTCTGGTTTTGAACCAGGTATGTGTGTATTAGAATATTTTCCAATTAAAGCAATAATCAGATTTTAAAAAATGACCTGTTTAGCTTTATCAAATTAGACATGTTTAACAATTGTCAGTGGCATATTGTTAGTCTGGTTTTGCAATGCTACCAGTCAGTTAGTAGCAAAAACATATTATGGCATTGCGGTGGTTGATTAGTAAAGCATTGGAATAATTGCTTACCTGATAATTCCATTCAGTACTTGATGCTTTTTAAGTGATTTCAGTGTTATAATTTAGGGAACAGTTTACTACACTGCCTACATTTTAGATTCTTTTTCCAAATCATTAAAATGTAAAGCCTGCAATTTTGCATTTCAGGCAACGTTACATTACATATTCGACAACAGTATGAGTCAGGTGGGACTATTTGTCAGAAGATCTCTGCTGCACCACTTCGGTAAAATACAAAGAAAACACTGGAGGCTGAATGAGGTTATCGGTAGAATGAGAGGGAAGAACAAGGTCAGGAAGAAGCGATCAACATTACTTGTGTTCCAGTTGTAAATAAAGGAGAAACGCTGAATAGTTCAATTAAGTTGAGCTTAAAAGGAAACAGTCACAGTACAGTTTTTGTGTTTCTGACTATTAAACCAGATCAAGTTTAAAGGGAGCATCCCATGATCAGATTGAACTCTGTAAACATTAAGCCCAAAGGGTATGCAAGCAGATTTGGCTACATTTAATAGGCTACTGTAACAGTGCTATCTTTCGCATCGACTCAGAAGACAAAGGGAGAATATTTTTCAGCTCCGGAGGGAATGAATTGCTAACAGGCAAACGGATTGATAGAATTTTTCTTTACACGATAGGCGAGTGATTAGAAACTAAGCAGTGCAGTCACTCACATTGAACTTTTGTAGATACATTCTTCAACTTGCAAAAGCATTGTTTTATTTTTATTTATAAGATCTATTTGGCTTGCAGCTCTTCTGTTGATGAAAGAACAGGAAACAGAAGATGTAATGCTTGATTTGCTGTGGAGCTATATGAAGAGCATCATTTGCTTAATCAGTTTTCTAACCAACATTAAGGAAACCTCCAAAAGCCTTATAAAAACTATTTCCCTGTCCTGTAATTTCTGGCTGTTGTATCCCAAGAGGAGTACATTTACTGTGGGATTCATCTGGACGTACTAGCTGCTATTTTACAGTGCTGTGCTTCAAATCTGGAACTGCGTTATAAAAGGTACCTATGTTTCAGTTCAGTTCAGTTTATTGTCATATGCACAGGTGCAATGAAATGCTTATTTGGATGTTTGCTCCGTTACAAGGAGATTAAGGAAACACCAAAAACATTAACGCAGAACAGCAGCAGCAACAACAAATTAAATAACATACAACTTAAAAAAAAACATCAGTGAGAGCCAGTGGTAGGGGCTCAGTAATCTGACAGCTTGTGAGAAGAAAGTGCTCTGTAAGTGTAAGGATTATTATAATGGTAGGACAAAAAAAATAATGCAAGTCAGGGAGAATGCAGATCGTGCTCTGATGTATTTTAAAAATTCTCTCACAGTGCTGTTTTATGAGCCTTCCAGTTGAGTGACAACCTTAGTCATTAGAATATTCTAGTTTCTATCAAGTAAATAGGATTAAAAGTAATCCTGCATGCAGACATAAAAATAAAAAAAAAACACTTGTTCATTTATAAACATATCACTGAGTTGCATTTAATCTGTCTAGCCAGATGCATAGTGGGCACATAACTGCTGAAGTGAATTTTATATCTGACAGTTTAATGGTTATTTTAATCTTCTTTTTATCCAAATATGAGAGGAAACATGCCATTTCTTGTGTGCAACACTTCTTAAATTTAGAAAAACTTGTATTGATGGGAGATCTATATTGATTGCAAAGGAACAAGTAATAGGTTTATTCCATGCTAAAAAAAAGAAGAAAGAGAACACAACGTTTCGGCCGTGGAGCCTTCTTCAGGTGTTGACACACCTGAAGAAGGCTCCACGGCCGAAACGTTGTGTTCTCTTTCTTCTTTTTTTCAGCATGGAATAAACCTATTACTTGTTCCTTTGCAGCCTACGCATGCTGACGCAGCTACCCACCTGATCTATATTGATTATTTACTGGTTCTTGGTTTTTGTGTATTGAGGTAGTGTCTAAGTGCACATATGTCAATGGGTCTGTCAGTCGTTTTCATGCCATAACTTCTATCTTGCCTGCTTGCTTGGAATTGCGTCAGAAGGATGTGGAAGGAAGAGATTTCACATCTTAAAGAAAGTGATTATTGAGTCCCCCCAACACATCAAGTCTTTGACGTTTAATTAGGCTGCAAACGTGCTAAACAGAGCCCAGTGAAGTGGATTACTGAACAAAGGGTTCCTTCATTGTCATCAAAGAGAGGCTCTGGGTTCATCACGGAGGCTATTTCAGGTTTTGGGAGGGCACTTTCAAAGGTACTATTTAACTTGTTCAAGCCCTGGAGTCTCATAGAAATTAAAAGTCTGACCCAGACAGTCTATTGCCTGTGTAGTTTGCCTGGAGTCTTTGTTTTTTATCAGTCTGGCATTATTTATTACCAGATAACCTAGTGAGCATCCGTTCACATCCATAGGCGTTGCCCTCCCACATCACAGAAGGCGAATCACACAAGTCTTTTTGTTTTGCCTTTGAAAAAAGCTATGAAACGTCCCTCTTCATTACGTTTGTTTTGTGTTTTTGTGTTTGAAATGTTTTTTTTTAAAGAAAGCAGAACTTCACTACGGTCTTGAGCGCATCTTTTCAATTTAAGACTTGGGCCGCTGTAGGATCTCTCAGCAGGCCGGGATGATTCGACTTTGCGAACGTTCTCCTTTCCGGTGATGGATAACCGGGAGATGTGCTTTGTTTTGGGATCAGATTCCACCTTTTTCCCCGGTCGCTGTGCGGAGATCTTCGCCCGAGGCCGGAATGTTGGAAGACTGGGCGTCCTGCACCCGGACATCATCACCAGGTTTGAGCTGACAATGCCTTGCTCAGCTCTGGACCTCGACGTCGAGCCCTTCCTGTGAGGCAGCAAACCCTCTGCCCCCCTCATCTCGGCTCCAGGATCATCAGCTGACAGCGCCTTGGTCTCTTCTTATAAATATTTCACAGGCCTGCAGGAGTACTGTGTCTAGTGCAGCGATTACAGCCACCCAGCCACTTTCTGAAACCCAATAGGTTACTGCACAGTGCAAAGCAGCAGCCAGTTGAGTGCTGCAGGATGAAAATGTCTCATCTAAGCATATCCCAGGGCTGGAAATATCACTTTGTTCCTTTCCCCTTGGAATGTTGCTAGCCCTTATCATATGAAACCACGTGGCTCAAATATAAATTGAATAAAGTATTCTAGCCTTCGCATATCTCGGTCGGCATCTGTTTTGTCAAATTGACAGTTGCACACATATCGCAGTCATCTTTATTAATGGGTAAGTTGCTGCACCTGTTTCTAGTTTGTGCTGTAAAACTAGGCTTGTATTAGAAGCAGTGTTGGAGAATATCACACATGTTTTGAGCCATTCACATGGACCTGTGGAAATGGAATAAAAGGAATTCCCCATGTTACGCAGACTTGGAGAATTAATGCATAATGACTATATTTGCATAATGTCAGCAGAATTATACCAATGACCTTTCGCTAATGCAGGTTAAAATACATAAAAAGCTATGGTATTGGACTGTCTTTTGCAAGAGATGAACCTATGTGGATTTATGTCGTTTTGTTTCTTAACTGATTGTTAAAAGTGTGGTGTAAAAATCTGGCCACGCGTAGAGTTGGAGAGCCCTCTTATTTGCTGAAAGCCAGCAAAATGGCTCCTCAGCATCTTAAGCCTGAAAGAATAAGGGGAGAAGACGGTGTCACACTAACTAGCTGAAATACCTTGAATCCACTGTGACTGTCAACCATGAGCACTGTGCTCCCTGGCACAATTAATTATGAGAATATTATTAGAAATAATTATGGCCACACTGTGATGCGTAGCAGCCGTAGTGGAGTCAGCCTCAGTGAGTAGCTGAGCAGGCTTCTCATTTTCCCCCACTATTAAGGGGGAACTTTAGGGAAGCCACACTGTGAAAACGAGGACCGTGGGATTAACATCATTCCTCTTTCAAAAAGTGCTGTGAGGTTTTTAATCAAGTAGCAAGGACTTCAGACCCCCTGTCAGCATACTGGGGCAGTGGTTTCACAATTCTGGCCCAGAAAGGGCAGTATCCCCCATTGGTCGATCAATGCCATTGGCAGTAGCAGAAGTTAGGTATTCCTTTATAGGTCTCTCATCCCATTATAGAAAAGGCCCCACCAGAGTTGAAAAAACAATGTTGTTTTCTCACCCTCACATACTGTGTATGTGTCTATGTGGCCCCAGTTTCCCCAGTTAACTTCTACAGAGCTAAGTTCCTTTTGAAATAAAACCTTTTTCCTGTGAAATAACATTTCATATATGAGGATGTGCAACAGATTTTCCTTAGAAGTTTTTCTATGGCTCTTTTAATTTTTGTCCTTTTTTCATTAAGAGCTTTCTTGGGGGAAAAAAAATAATCTTTCTGAACCTGGAACGTATTGGATGAGTTATTTCTTTGACAGGCTAAAAGAGCCAGAGTACCATACAAGGCACTAACAGTTAATAAATACAGCGTGAGCATAATTATCCTTACAAACACAATAAGGAGAGCAGAAACGACTGCATTCAGTCTTCATGTAGAGAATTACTTTATTATTACTGGAAAAAATAGCAAAAAACAATGTATTAGGATTGATGTGGCACAAACATTTGTTACTTGAAAATATCAAAATTTTAAATTACAAGCTAATAGCAGTGCAATGGATACATATTTTTCATGGACAATTAAAGGTAAAATGAGCACATTTTCCACAATGCTGAATCTCCGTGGCGGTGATCATAATAGTTCATATTTTCAAGTATTTTGTAATATACACAAAAAAATCCCTATTATAATAAATATAATACCTTCAAGTCTAATAGAGAACAACTGAAATACTTGCTTGTACTGAACACCTGGAGGCTTGCCTGAGATCATTGTACATCCCTGTGATCCTGCACTACAGCAGGGTGTAGATCACCCTAGTAAGGTGTTTCTGTAGATGACATGTAACCTCTTTTCATACTTAATTATATTTAATCAAATATATATTTTCATATTTATCCACTCGCATTCATTACAACAAGTGCATTATATCAAAATATTAGAACATAAGCACAAAACGTATATTTTAATGATGTGCAATATTAAAACCTGAGATATAAACATATTAAATTGTGGCTATTCATAGCCTTTCTGACCAAGAAGTAGTCTGCTCAGACCGATAACAGAAATTAAGGTAAGTTAAACATAATCGTCCTCCACCTATTACCCAAAGTTTATTGCATTAAATGTATCTGTAAAACCAAAGGAAGGCAAAACTCACAGAAACTGTGTGGTATAAAATTGCTTCTTTCAAATATTTTTCAGCTCATTTTAAAATAACCCTAGGAAGATGAAAGCTTTATGGACTAGGACAGTATTAGTGAAGCCAATGGCAAAATAGGTCACAAACTTGCTTGGCACTTCAATTTCTACCCTCTGCCTGGCCTCTGCATCTTTGGTTGACACCTTCAACCAAAAACAAAGCACGCGGAGGCTGAGGCTTTTCACAACCTGCCGGGTGATCACAAGAGACAGAATTCCAACCAGGAAACGGGCGAAGCTGTACACAGCCATATCAAGTGTTGGAGCTGGGATAGGGATTGGAAAGCCTCCTTCTGGCTCATATGTTTCCCCCAGCTGGTAGTTGGCCCAGTAGCCCACAGAGCAGCCTGCGCCAGCCCCGAGGATGATGGTGGTGTCCCCCCTGGTGGTGCTGTAGTGGTCTAGCCGAGGGTAGAAGTAAGACAGGAGGAAAGGAAGCACAACTGCAACGATGGGGGAGAGGGGGCTGGTCAGCTGCAGGTGGTCAAAGGTATCCCAGAGGGGGAAGGTCACTGTCATCAGAACAGCACTGATTAACGCTCCGCAGACCACATCCTGAAAAACAGATATCAGCTGCTTTCATCGAATCGGCAGATTCCTGGTAAAAATCACCATCGATCGATGAATCAATGCAAAAGGTGAAGCTATTTCCTGAGTCATGAATGACATGCGATCACCCCCCAAAAGAAGCTTTAGGTAGGATCGACATTATCAGCGAGAAATGTGTAAAATAAGTAATAAAATGCTAGTTTTGATTGTCACAGTCTCCAATTAGAAGTGAATTTTATGTGACAATCAAGACAGAAAAGCTGAAAAAACAGAGCTTTCTGAACGAGCATGTGTGACTCACCAGTACTGTGTGCATGCCAGTATAGAGTCTGCTGAGACACACCAGAGTGGACAGAAGGCTAGCTGCCATCAGTCCAAGCTCAAATGGATACTGATAATGAGAGAAGAGATTATACTTTAACACTGATGTTCATTGGCCATGTGTGCATTAGCATACTAATACATTAAAACCTTTGCATCTAATTTTTTGCTATTAGAATTACTGTCCATCATGATCTATAAGCTCATCTTATTCACTTAAAATGTAGCAAACAGTCTACCCATTGTTGAAAATAAGGATGTTCAAAATATACAACCCTCTTCGTGATCATAACTAACAAAAATATGAGAAATATATTGTCAAATGAAAAATGTCTGCCAGACACACAATTCCATACTATACTGACTACCTTCCTTAAGCAACTTCAAACTGCTTTTGTTTCTCAAGACTGGCAAAACAGGAGCTATGAGCAGTATGGTGTTAATTCTTAAGCTTCAAATCACGTTTTATTTTAAAATATCCTTTGTTTCAGAGGGTACATGTGAAAGCTTTAATACACTCTGAGATGAAGGTAATGACTGTGGTGAATAACCAAAGAAAGAAGGTTTAATTCTCAGACATATCATCTCTAGATAATTTTACTAATTTTAGACTCTGGAGCTATAGTCATAAGCAATTTCCCATTGTGTGGAACCTGGTGGCTAAAATTGCTTATAGATAGCAGCGGAATAAAAGGATACATGTTTTATTAAGAAAAAATCTACTTAAAGTAGCATCCACATTCTTGCACTGACAAAAAGAATACTGTCCCCTCATTGCTTTAATTCAAGTCAGTCTTCCTAAACCTCATATGCCTAATTCCTGGAAAATGCTCTTTTAAATGCTATTTAAAAGTGAAATAGCACACGATCTAACGCTCAAAGGGTCTAAGAACACAACAAAAATGATACACTGTTCAAAAGCAGGTTCATCTCTTTATAAAGAATAGTGTACTATCCATTTAATCATCAACTCATCACCCTAGTTTTGAATTTCACTTGAGTTTCAGTGTACAGTAAATGGCTGCAGACATGATGGGTGTTAAATGCTTTGGGTCACACAGGACTGCCAAGTTTTTGCTGAATTCACTTGTATTTCCAAAAGAAATCATTGGCCTATCTTGGAGCAAGTCATGGATTATCTCCCATGGGAATACAGACTTCATCATCTCTCCACCTGTTCTACAAAACCAACATCAATACCTGCGCTGTGGGCTGTCTCTGTGCTACAAAAGAAAATGCAGACCACATAGTTACAGTGTGCCACCGCCCAGCGATCCCAAAAGCTCCATCATATTTCTACAGGAAATATGGGCTAAACTGGGGGCAGCTTTAATTAGCTGAGTGTTTAATGGCAAATGGACATAAAAGCTCAACTTTATAGTCTCAGTGAGGGCGTCTAGACAGCCAACACCAGCAGGAGCACCATGGTAAAGTACAATCCTTATTCACAAGTGGGGCTGAGGAAAAGATGCACTTGTGTGGCTGTCTGCTTCTCTCCAAGCAGGGATGCAGACAAGGTTTGTAGCAAAGAGGTGTCTTTCAATAATTAATTCACCACTATTTGCCTCTACTCTTCTCTCCATTAAGAACTAGGAACACTAAAATTATGTTTTGCACTCATCCTACCGACTCCTAATTGTTGTACCTCAGAGACCACTCCTGCATTGTTGTTTTTAATCTCTTATTAAAAATAATATGTTTATACAATATCAACTAATACCCAGTCTGCCCTTTAACTTATTATCTGCCCACACCATACTCCTTTGTGGTTGGATTTTTATAGACCAAGTGTTTAAAAGTGAGCCTGTATATATATTCTTTTACTCCCAATGCTGCTGAATGGAATGCTATTCATGCACCCTAATGAACAGAATTGAATCAAAGAGATGCACAGCTGAAAGCACAATTATTCTTCAAGTAAGGATGACTCTGTGCGTGGCAGACTGAATGAGTATTCTGACCTTTCACCTCTGGGACCTTTACTTAAATCAAGCCTTCAGAAACGCATAATACAGGGAAACTTGCAAAAAGAGTCCCAGCTACCACGACTACAACAGTACTTAAAGGACCAATATTAAAACAGAGAGGAAGAAACAGAAAACCTCCATCAATACAGTCTGTACAATGTATTTCTAAAGCTAATGTGCTGAAGACACTTAATCAAGACTGGAGTGGTGATTTTCTGCTGTTTACTAAGAGCCAGCTGCTACTATTCATGTTATAATTATGCTTTACAAGTTTTAACTGCTGATTTGGAGAGCTTATATAGTTTCCTCCTGAAACTAAAATAAAAAGATAATTCATTATGCCTTCCGTGACAAAAAAAAAGAATATTTATGAATGTATGTCTTCAATTGACTGTTAAATCACATTAGGCTTTAATGAGTTTAATATTTAGAGATAATATTTTGACAATTATAAGAGAATGCCATTTTATGTCTTATAAAGACATAGGATTTGCACATTGTATACATCCTAGCCAGTGCACATCAGTTAATGCTGTGCTTTGCTTTTATCAAGACATTTTAGAGAGAGAGACTCAACATAAAAAAGGTGAACGAGATTAGGAGTGATATGTAGCATCATGGTGTTTAAGATTATCAAAGGATATTTAAAAAAGCTCAGTTTTAGACCCTAATCAAAAAGATGAATATCAGTTCACTTAGAGGAAGGATAACCTTTAAAACCAGTGTGCTGCTCTAGTGGACCAGTAGGTGGTGATCTCTGACTAGAATTTTCAAAACAATGCTTTGGTATGGTGATCAGAGACTTTCCAGTGCTTTTGGAAGTATTGGCCTGTGGATGAGATGTTTACCACAAGTCCTGACCATTCGGTCTTTAAAGACCCCACAGCCCATGTTGAAAGTGTGGTGGTGTTAACACTGCTGCCCTGGTATCTAGCCTGCCTAAAATTTCCCCTTAATTTTTTGTTGAGGAAATTTTTCTCTTCTCTAGCCAATCTCCCTTATAGTAGGGCTGCTGGTGCATAATGAATCACTAGGTGTTGTGCGATGACATAGAAGATTTTCCAATTCCTTGGGCAGAATCTACTGTATATATGCAAGGAATTATTAACCTCTTTAATGACCTACTGCGTGATGGGGATGTTCATGCTTAAAGGGCGGTGCTGGTTCGTATCCCGTGGCCGACAGAGGAATCCTACTCCATCGGGCCCCTGAGCAAGGCCCTTAACCCCAACTGCTCCAGGGGTCCCAGCCAGGGGCTGACCCTGCGCTCTGACCCCCAAGCTCCTCTCCCTGTCTGTGTGTTTAATGTTTAATGAGCAAGTTGGGTATGCAAAAAAAGACAAATTCCTAATACAAGAACTTGTATATGGCCAATAAAGTCATCTTGTAAAGCAGGAAAAAGTTTTACCAGATGACTTGTGTGTTTCATTCCGTAATGGTGTTGAACACCGAGAGTATCAGAGGTGAACTATCTTCTAAGAAAAAAAACAGTGAGAGTAACACAAGTTTTAAATGCCAATGCAACTGAAAACTTGTCCAATTTTTATGAATGTTAAGAGGATGTACTGGACGTTGAAAAACATTTATCATAGACAAGACACACACAAAGGAAGTGTCGAATTACTCGAACTCTTTGTTTTAGTCAGATCTGCAGGAGCATCACTGTCTGGCCCACAGCTGCCTTGGGAATCAATTTCTACTGAAGTGGCGTCACCAGCGAAAGCATGAAATGCAGTATTCCTGGAATTCTCTGTAATGCAGATCGATACAAGCTTCAAACGGAAAAAATCAATTCACCTCTTGAAATGTCTTTGTTAATTAATATTTTAGGCTAATTTAAGACATTTGTCATCTAACATATAAAGGTGATTTCTCTGTCAGCACAGCTCCCCTCTGGGAATTAAAGAAGATATTGGTGCTATGTAGTTTCTGGCTATATCATCGTCATCATCAATAATAATAATAATAATAATAATGTTGTTATTGTTAATAGTCTACACAGAATGCCTCCATCTGACAATCAATACTTTTTATTTACTTTATATTTGGACCCCTGTCCTTCCCAAATTATAGTATCTCTTTTCCAGTTTCATCTCACTCACTAACACCCAGAGTACTATATTAAAACGGGGCCTGAGGAATCCTTTTCATCTCCTCTCTTTCATTCCATTTCCTCCTTGTGTGACAAAAACCCAAACCCAATAACACCTTCAAACCACATCTGCACAGGAAAAGATAGAATCATAAAATCATCAAATGTCCAAGAAGAAAGCATTATTCTGTAGGATGCTTTCATGGTTCCTTTGTGATTAAACTAACTTTTTTTCTCCCCACACAACACAGTGCACGTTTATGAGTTAATCTGTGATATTTATCAACCGAGATAAAAAAAACTGGGGATTGTAAAGTTTTATAAGCTATAGAAATTTTAGACAGTGAGATGATCATAGGGGTCACACAGTGTTCTCTAGAGCTACAGCGGTAGTTCTTTAGAATATAATCACACTCTAAATGCCAGTTCTCCTGGAGACTTCAATACCAGTTCTCCTAGCTTTTCACAGAGCAGCAGCGCTACTGAAGTCTGCTCCACAAGAAAGGGGAAGCAACCTCACAGCAGCTCCTTAAAGTAAAGCAGAGATTTTTTTCAAGCAAACCGCGCCGCCATAGCCAAGGCTGAATGTGAACAAAGGGAATTTCAGCCACAATTTCACTATCAGGTCGAAGCCCACAGCACTGTACCCAAAGAAAATAAAACTTCAACCAGAATTGGAGTTTCCTTGGCAAGGAATCTAGCAGCTGGTTCCAGTGCTGAATTCTGTTTTCACTTTAATAAAACAATAATTTGTTTAGTTTAAAAATCTATTTTTCTGTTTTGCAAGAAATAACTCAATACACTGTAGTCTTATCATTTTATCTTCTTTTTGACTAGTTGTATTTATAGACGTTGATGAATCAAACATCTAAACTAATACAACACTTTTTACCGTGCTATAATTCACAATGTTGACTGTACTGAACTAACAATGGAATAATATCATTCGCTTACACCACAGACAGCTACATACCTGAACACAAAACACATGCCAGCAGTTGTTCATGCTTCATTACATCTGCAACCACACTGTGTTTAATCAATATACTTAAAAAATAGTTTCATAAATCAACAGAACTAGATGTATATGTGAAATATGTTTAGGCATTAAGTGTAAGAATGCCTACAGATTCAGGAAATAACAAGAGTCAACAGTGTCTCTTGAGGGGACAAACAAAAAACAAAAAGCAGTGACACTTTAAGACTGATGGCCCACAGGATAACACTTTCATTGATCTGGCCTTTTGTTTCAATAACATCTAAGCAGGACCTGCACAATAGATACCCACAGAACATTTACATTTTAAGGCAGACAAAAGCTGGTATGTGTTAGTGTGAAACAGCTTGGTATGCTTTAGGGTTAAGTAGACATAATGTAAATTAATGCCTGTGCATTGCTGTTTATTAATGTCGAATTATAGTAAGGGCTGAGACAGCAACCTTCAATAATGTGATGAAGCCATGAGCAGCACCAAGTGGAAAATTATTTTGGAAGACTAGATGGAGTTTAAGTAACTCTAAGCTTATAAAGTTGTGGGAATCTCAGTAATCTCGTTTTTTTTTCCATTTCTGTTGACATTTCAGAAATCTTATTATTTCTCCTCATTTCCTGTTTAGACTGTATTCTCCAGTCTCCAATTGAATTGTGTCATCAGTACCATATTAGCCCTTACTAGGTTTAGCAATACAATACACACTCTGTAGTCTGCCTTAATTTTCATTCAAGTTCCAAACACTATCTGTGGACTGGCATCTCATCCAGGCTGAAGCCCTGCCTTATGATCCCAGAATAGGCTCCGGATTTCGCCAACTCTTACCAAGAAGAAGAGGTTTTCTGACAGTGCACGGCGGGATGGACATTATCTTTGTTATATCAAAGAGACTGATGAAAATTCAAAACAGAATGCAGGATGTTTTTGCATTCCAGCAAGACCAATTCCAAATGTTATTGTTGGCAACTCTGGCAAGTGTGTAAGCAAAACAGAAAACAGTGCAGCAGCTGCATCTCTATTAGCGGGTGATGAAAAGTTGTCCAAAGTAAACAAAGTGGTTGGTTTCAGGTGTTTAAGTTGCTTTAGATGTTTTTTCGAACACAGTGATTTATAAGGTTAAACAGTAATCATAGATGTAATAATACCTTTTAAGCGGTACATCTTAACAACATAACGTAAATTCATATTTAGAAATGCAGCAGCTGTTACAAGCCAGCACCTTACTCACATGGCTCGTACCCAGTCACAGGGTGGGAACAGAATCACCTGGGTGACACGCAAACACAGACTGCTGAATAACGTTCACACTGTATAAAATGTGAAAGTCAATAAAGCTGTAAAGCAAAGCAAGCTGTGGTGGAAAAAGAATCTTAAAAACAAACGTCAATCAAAAGGATTTTTTTAATAAAGTGTCATTAAAGTCCTTTAAAAAACAACAACAATGCAAAATCCTCAGCCTAAACATTCAATTAATAAAATGATTCCATGAATCAATAATCAACTACAAACCTAAATAAGGAAAAAATGATTTGCAATGTTACGTATGAGACTTTAAAGTAAATGGTATTTAAAAGGCTCACTGAGAGCAAAAGAACTGAAAATAAGTGTGTAGTTTCAGCACCCACCACTAACAGCCGTCTCCCCTTCACATTCTAAGCGAAATTGATGACTTTCAGCCACCATTTACTTTGCAAATAAAGTACATGAATAAATGTATGTAACTGGTTTTATCCGTTTGGGTGTGGAACCTATTGGCATGCATTCTTGTGGGAAATCAGTTTTGAATTCACTTGTTTTCGAGGCCTAAATTTTAACTACCAAACTCTCACCTAAAGGACAGAACAGCACAGTGTCCCTAGTCGCAACTCTGGGGTGCCTGGCTTCTGAAAAGTCAGTTTCGGGGGGTAAGAGGGTAGAGATGCCACCTACTGCTCCACCAACATCATGAAGAGCAGCAGCCTTGTTTTTCTTACAGGTCTGCTATCCCACGCCTTACGCAGCGTCAAAGATCTGATGAGATCAGGTGAGAAGGTGGTAACACTGATTCAAGTAAAGAGACATCACAGAGGTGCAGTGAAGTCGAAAGGCGTTTCCCCCAGCTGATGCAGCAGCTCTGTACACACCCCGTGCTGAAGGCTCCTGTGAAAGTCCTTCTTACCTGGTACCTGTCCTTGGTGCTGAGGAGGAGGGTGAAGAAGATCGAGGTGGCAGCCATTGCATGTGTTGAAGGCATCCCATACTCGGCGTCCACCCTGGTCTCCAGCTTCACGACGGGTGGGGAGTATGGACGTGGCCATTTCAGGACATCCTTGGAGACCTGGCCGATGTACATGACTACCTAGGAACACCAAACCAGTTTTCATCACTGAACATTAACAATCGAAATGTCATGTGGTTTATAGCCTTACTGCCTTGAAAAAAACTTGATACTGATGTCATTCGTATTTGGTTAAAAATACAGGCTTATGAATAATAAAATAGCCATCTTTATTTGTAGCAACATTTCTGGTCTTTCTGACTTCAGCTGTGTCTTATACTTATTGACTGCAATTAGCGATATGTTTAAAATATTCATGGGTATTAACTTGTTTTTTGTTGTCTCAATGTAAATGTTTTGTATATATGTGTTATAATAATAATAATAATAATAACATATTTGTATCACAATTTAAGAGTTGTGTGTTCGTACATGAGAGTGTCCAAGCAGAGAAGAGATTACAATATACATAAAATATTAACGGACAGCTCACACTGGGAAAAATTGTCATTAGAAACATCTAAAATGAAAAATATTTTACCGCAAATTATAATACATTCAAATAGATTAAAAAATGATCTTTGAAATATAACAAAACATTGGTGAAACATTGTTGTGTTATTAGTTTTTTACATGACTATTATATTAATGTATACTCTAATGGGGTAAACACTAATCATCCTTGTGATAAGTATGCTTTATTTCTGTTGTGTTTGCAAACCAACAGAAAAGCTTTAAAAGACAAATGTTACAGAGAAAACTGATGCATTTCCAGTTACTATAAATAAATAATAAGGGTCTGCAATGAATGAATACTGTGCAAAGTTTGCAGTTTGGCCAGGACTTGCTTTAAAACTCGGAGACCAAAGCTTTTAAAGGTATATTTTAAGCTTTCATGTTATATTTAATTAATCACTGCTCTAAATAGGGAATCGATTCCGGCTGTCACCATTTACCCTTTCTGGATAAAAGAAAATCTGAAAAAAACACTTTCCAAGCCATATACATCATTAAATCAACTATAAAATAACTACTTACTCCTGTAATATATTTTAAAGGAGCACTATCTTTCGATTTTGACAAAGCGAAAAACATCCACTTTCATCAAAGCTGTGACAACCTAAAAACACACAAATTTAAAGAAACTGCATTCCTTCATCTTTTTGGGGGTATTATACTTTTAATATTTGTTAGACGTTTTCAGAGAACACCCCCTTATTTAATATAGTTTCATCTAGTGGAATCTAATTTTCAAGTAGGAAGATTTTATAAACAGTAATACCGTCATCTAAGAACAAACTAATGTTTTTTTATGTTTATTAAAACGCATATTTAGAGTATACAAACTACAATGAAAGCCAGTGTCCATTATCCCTACTCTAGCTTTCACTGTAAATCAGTTCAAAGGAACTTAACCGAAGCAGAGTGGCTTATCAGCAGTGGTTACACTTTTGGCATTATACCCTAACAAGAAAGCTTGCATCTACCATTGCTTGATCCTGCCTTCAGCATATCTCCGACCTTTCTGTGACTGACTGTCCTCTGCTGGAAACCACATTTACAGCAAACACAGAGCTGAAAGAGACAGCTTTATTCCACTCATGTTGAAGTCACCACACAATTTCAGTTTGCTCAAAAAAGGACAGGTTAGGAGGCCATGCATCAGGATGAAGAGAATTTAGTTTCCACAGGGCAAGTGTTCATGCTGGGGGGGTTCAATTAAAAACAGATAAGTTATGAAGATTGAGTAAGACAAGACTATAGTTTAATGTCTGACAAAAACAGACTGCACCCTCAGGCTACACTAAAATAGCTGGCTCAGGAGACAACAGATCTGCCTCCAGAAGAACCAGCAGAGCTACCAGAGCCAAAGTACTAGAGGACTTCTCCATATAAACCTAAAGATGGGGGCAGAAGACACACAGAAAATCAATGACAGTAAGTCATTTAGTGCCCTTATTTAGGAGATGTCTGAAAACCTAAATGTGTTTGGGTGTGTCTGAATCCTGGAACAGGCAGTCATTTTATTTTTAAGCTTTGCATAATAGTCAGGTTCAGAACCCCCTCTTTCCATGCAGAAACAAATCTTTTAGTACTGTGTGCAAGTCCTCCTCTCACTTTGGAATGAATCACCCACAGCCATTACCATCTGCGGGGCTGTTTCTGTACAAGCCAATAACAGATTAGAAAGCAATATAATTTGAATAAAACCAATGTTTTCTTAAGATTGAGAACTCTCCATTCCTCTAACCATTTTTAATCCCAGAACATTCCAATGAGAAACAATTGGACCTTTCAAATTAAGTAAATCTATGTGGATCTGATTTCAAATGGATATATATATATAAACGCAATTTAGCAAAAGCAAAATGCCATTAAAACCAGATCACTAATGGTCTCCTTCTGCGAGCAATGAAAGTTATGGCCCAGATATTTAAGCCTACTGTATGCTTCTCTTTCTCTTAATGGACAAATTTAGCATGGAAGGGAAAAAGAGCCTCGAGACTAGACAAGTGTCACTTTCCTCCTCTCGCGGCATGTGATCCAGAGCGAGTCATCCTCTCTCCCAATCCGGCAACCGCACTGCTTTGCAGAAACAGTGACAGAGCTTGTTTGCGTTTTGCCATGCATTTAAGACATACATAGACATACCCACCTCGCATAACATCATGAATACACAAAAGGGGGTACTGTTAGTCTGCACAAAGCTTGGCTTTGTTTGAATTCCTGATTCCAAAGAGAAGCTCCGAATTCTAATAGTAACTAAGCAACCAAGAGTTTGAGATCACGATGATTAGGTCTTTACTGACTTCGTTTTTTGTTTCTTTTTCAATATTTAACCCTGGGTCTGTAGCATACTGTATGTAAACTCATAGTCTCCTTGGCATGGAGAAAAAGAACTATTTTTGAACAGTGTGTTTATCAACGAGTAATATTTTGTCACACTTCAGCCTACTTGCTATTGTTCGTGAAAACATATTTGGAAAAACTATGATAACTTGTTTTTAACTCATTTACTTGTGCACCTACAAAGCAGTGGTTAGAGCTAAAGGCAACAATGGAAATTATTAGAGGTCCAACAAGCTCCTAAGGAGACAAAATCGGATCTGAATGGTTCGTTTCTGGAATGTATTTAAAAAATCTGTACATTTTCTAGAATGTTTATCGTCCTCTGACAAGATCTGTGTTTTTAAAAAAAAGCTCGCTCTGCCTCTATCTTGAGCTTGTCAGCAATGTGTGAGGTGTTCGAAAGGCAAGAGACCACCCATGTGTTAATTGCTCCTCAAAAATTAATGAAAACTTCATAGAACTAAATTATTTTGAGGTTTCTACTGCAATTTTATCAGCTCAGTACTCCCCTTGTTTCTCGGTAAGGTCAAATATTCTTCCTGATCCTCTGAACATCTCTCATGGAACCACATAAAGATCACCCAGAGACGTTTGTTCCCAGTTTTGGTTCTCTTCCCGACCACTGTTATTCCCTTCAGTCCACAAGTAGGAAAAATAAATGTCATCCTCCCCCAAAGAACCAGAATGATTTCTCTACATTTTGAACTCCTGACCTCTGTGTCCAAGGGTTCTACTTCTAAGCAGGAAAATAAAGCTACCACACCATTTAGATTACTTAAGATCTGTATTCATTTATCATACATACTCTAAAGGAGAACCTTATGTCTAGCCTCGTAAATACCTGTGGAAAATCAAATTAGAAGTGGTGGTACTTTAAAAAATGTCTGAAACCAGTGTCGAAATCCCTTAGACATCGCAAGCAGAGAGTACGCCACAGGTTAAACTATCCTAAAAGGAGAAACAGCTTTTACAGTGATGTCGGCCCTTATATTTTCTTTTATTTGTGTTTGCTTAGGACAGTTTCAAAGGAACACTCAAACCCTTATATGCTGGAGGAAAAAAAAGAACTGTCTTGCTTAAAATATCTACAGATTGAGTTTTATGCTTCAAATGACCACAGATTAAGCGCATTGTCTCTTCTCAGCAGGGTATTTCCTATAATACTTCACCACTGATCAGATCAATGGGGGGGAATCAACAGAATCGGGCCTTAAGTCCTGACAAGTTAAAGCAAAAACACACTGAACAATCTAGTCATTTCACATAATCTGATCAGAGAAGTTGAACCACTGTGTGTTATTGCTTTCATGTTTCAGACTAAGAAAAGTGGAAAAGAATGGAAAGCACAGAAGTAAATTGTCTACACGGAGAAATGTGTCAGGAAAAAGGGTCAAAGACTAGAGTAACACCTTATGCAGTGCAGCTTGATCCAGTTAGATGTCTCTATTTACTACTTGGAAACATCTGCATGATCTAAAGATGACTGCACACACTAGCATTTTCATATTTGTCCAAACACTTCTATCTCAACATCTCTTTTGGTTTCTATTTTATTATTAGCATGATCCCACTGGCTACTGTGTTAAAAAAAAACAGGACCAGAAAAGTCAGCGACATCATAACTGGAAAATGTTGCAGACAATTACAATTACTGTTTGATTTTGTAGAAGTCATCTTGCTCTTTTTAACACTTCAGGCATGAAAATCAGTGGTCAGAGGACTGGAACTGATACATCTCACTCTAAACTGCAGCCAGCTAACACCACAAAAAAATGTCTATGCCAAATTAACATTTCCTTTTCATCTCTTCCTATTTTTCCGATATGCCTTTTTTGTAAGCTGTACATGCCAATTCTGTTGGCTTCTAGAAAAAGAATCCATCAATGGAGCAATTTGTTTTTAAGAAGCCCAGCTGTAAAAAAAAAAAACACTGACAATAACAAAATCCATTCATATGACTGTTCTTTGGTGTCACGTGTAAATTATGTGAAAGAAGTTAATCTTTTCTGAAGAGAAGTATTATACTTAAAAATGGCCATGTGATGAGATAACCAGCTTCTTGTTTGTGTAGAAGGCATTCGCCACTGACAGTAATGCTGCTGGTGACATTTTGTTTTCTAAGGCTAACAGCACAGTAACTAAGAAAAGGAAATTAAGCAGCACTCACTAGAGTCACATGAAGAAAAACAAAGGGGACCAATGCATTTTCTACTTCAACATCTTAGCCACAGGGCTCTTCCTATAATTGTTACAGTGGACTAGTTAGTTTCTGCTCTGCAGCTACTGAAAAGAAATTAAGATAAAATCATTATGAAGATAAGCGTGCAATGACATCCACTGAAAATACTTTTGCCCTCTCCTTGTGCAATTGTTGTGAGAGGGATTTCTTGAAGGCTTAGCGTCAGCAGGCTTTCCAAACAATTTTGGAACGTTAGAAACCATGGGCTTTCAATTTTGGGACTTCTTGGTTTCTTTTTAAAGCAGATACCCAGGCTAGCTCCTAATAATTGTCCACATACGTTACATCTTCAATTCACAACAGCTAGCAAATAGATTCCTACATTTGGAAAAAAAACTGCTGTGCATTTTGGACACGAGTTCCCCAGGGGCAGTTACAAGTATGGCTAATATTTCTTTGTCTTATGACAACAACAAGGCAATCAAATAATTTATCAAAGAAACTAGGCCCTGCAACTACTCTCTATTCCTGGTAAACTTCAAATCACAGGGAAATGGGGTTTTTGAAGCACTTGTAGATGACAGTTGAGTATGAGTCATCATATTCTCAAAGGGAATCATTTGAAATATCAGTAACTTTCACATCACCGTAATTTAATCAATGCTTGTCCCAAACAAAATAATCTGCCATTAGCGTATATGTGTGTACAGATGTCTACATTCCATACACTGTACATGGTTACTACAGTAAACTCTCAAAGATATCCCAAACACACTTTAAATTACATTGTCTAAATACTAGACAAATGGTAATTAGAAGATTTCTTAGAGTGTTACAAAAAATTTTGAAAAGCCCCAAATTTCCCCCAAATTGTCATTCTTTTAAGTACTGAAAACGTGCATGATTTCTTCGTTTCCAGTTATGTCGACTTTGAAGATACAGGACTACAATCTTTCTTGCGCTGTTTATCAAAGCAGCCTTCAGGAGTTAATTCACTTAAAAGTTAAGATATATCATTGAGCTTTCACAACCACCACTTCTAAGTAAGTCTTCAGTCTAAGACTGAAATCACACATGATGGATTCCCTTTGAAAATTCTAGTAAAATCAAATCATTTCTGTCCCGATTTTGAAAATATGCGCTTGAGAGTAACGACAGAAGGCATGTTTCTCCACATAAGATTGCGTGTTTAGAACAAGGTTATCATCGCAGATCCCTTGTGATCTTTCAAGAAACAGCTGGGTGAAATCCAACAAAGGAAGCAAGTCCCACCCAGTGGCCTGAGCTGATTTTGAACCTTTCTTATGCTCTTCTTTCAATTATGGATATGAAAGAAGAATTAAACTTGAATTAAAATATTACCTGGCTTGTCAACGTGCTGCTGGCAATTCTTGTGGACTAACTCGGGTTGCCAGGATATTTCATTAAAAAAAGTTTTCCAAATTGTTATTTATATTTTAAAGAATTAAACCCATTAGTCAATTTTGGACAGGGGATGATGACAAATAAATATATTCAACATTTATTTTCAGGAAACACTGACCTGTAAATAGGGAACTCATTATTAGCATGTAGATGTTTCATTAATAATTTTGATATGCTGAATTAAACTTCATAATAAAATAATGATTTTCTTCCCTTTTAAAGACTGCACTTCCATTAATAAAATTTCTGCAGGTTCTTTGTTAGTAGTCTCTAATTCTTCATATTTATAACAACCCTTTTCAAAAATGTTTTAGTAACTGTTTCAGAGATTAAAGGCAGCTGTTAAAAATGGTTAGAAAGGATATTGCAGGCTACCCTGGGTTTTCTTATCAGTTTACCAATAAACCAGGTACAAATAAGGGAATAATAATCCTTAGCTCCGTAACTTTCAATACATCTCAAACATTTATGATCGTTTCATACTGTAAATGTTCTTAAATGTCTTAAATACATTTTACTCAGAATCAAATTCTATCAAGAGCCATTTTTAACATGTTCCTCCCTTCATTTTTTAATCTGACTTTCTATACCCAATGATACTCGTTGTACAAATAATTTCAGCACATGCCTTCCACTATTAAAGCAAGGTAGGAAGGTTCATTGGCTGAAAATCATGTATATCTGAAGAAATGTAAATAGAAAAAAGCAGACGTAAGCTAAACAAACCAAAAAAAACATTCTGACAATCCAAGATAAGAACGAGCCCAAAAAACTGAAGAGGATACTTGGGCATACATATTCTTCTTCTGAAGACATACATCAAGACCTGAAATGAAACTTTAATATAAATCACATGGAGGTGTAATAGCTTCCTAAAAATGGAAATGATACCAGAACTCCTCAGGGTACATAGGCTAGCCACATGATATCAATATGCTTGTACACTCTAAAGGGACTTATTTAAAATATAACTGCAAGATAATTTTCTTGTGGAGAGCAATATTTCACCAGAAACACTTATTACTTCAGCAGAAACTTTAATGACACCGAAGATGTGTGTTGTATAGTGATATGTACTATACTGAAGAAGATCTCTGTCAGGATGATGAACTTGTTTAATTATCTTGAAGGTGCAGTTCCACTGCGAAAGAGCCTGATGCCTCTATACCGCTACAAAGCACCAGTTATATTTTCATAATGCCTCTACCCGAGGCCCACTCCTGGCCAGCTAATGTGGGCTTCACTGTTCACAGTGAAGAGTGCACAGGTGTCAATAAATGAAACGTACTTACTGCCCACATATTGACCAGTCTCCGGCACAAGAAGGGGTCAAGGTTCCAGTGGGTACAAGGCAGAAAGGAGATGTAGAAAACTTCTTGGCCAAGTGCAGCACCAACGCGAAACAAGTAATAAAGGAAATAGTTCTTCACAACATACTTTGGTCTTGAATTCTGCCAAGGAAGAAACAGATTATACACTGAAACAGGTTGAATACCAAATAAAACACATGGCAAAATGTACAGAGTGATTTTAATAGACAACCTCCACAATAAAACAATGATGCATTCCACACAATGAAGAGTGAGAATAATAGCATCAAAAACTTTTAAAAAATAGGCTTATTCACTGATTTCATATAAAAAATTGTAGCTGTGCATTTTGAACTCCTTCTTTTTGTTTGTGGAATATATGAGGAGAGTGATTTAAGGCTGTACTGTTGAGAAAAAACAAGCAGCTGAGACCCATTGACACAGGAGGAAAATTGTTCAATTGTTCACAAGAAACTCCTGACTATATGCAAGAAACACAAGGGTTTGAAATAAATCTTTCAACGGGTTACAGTTTACAATACTTAACAAACCGACATTCCCCAGCAAATGAATACTGACAGCACATGAATTATTGGAATATAATTCAGCAAGAACAAAAGTGAACACCCTATTTTAATCAACTAATGATGAGATCCTCAGCTCCATTTGTACCCTAGTGTGTATGCATATCACACGCAGTGGACAGCATGATTCCAACTGCAGTGAACGTCTGGAGGGTTCAGGGGAAGAATATGTTTCATCTGTCATGGGAACCAGGCTCAAGGAGCGCGTGTTAGGCAAATGCACGTGCTGACAAGGTTTGGAAATCCAGGAAAACTAACATCACTCATGTTAACGTGTCGGGATTACAAATGGTTTCCCGTGTTGTAAAGTGCACCTGATAACGAATGCGTGCTTCCAACTGAGAGGAGGACAGTGGGAGAGCTTGGTTCTGTCCTTGGGCAGAGCAAGAAGGTTGTGCCACACAGCAATGCGCTGGTGGCAACTTTGGATTTCCAGAATAAATGAGAGCATTCTCTTCGGAGAGTTAATTCTCCGAAAAAACAAAATGTTGCGCTCTGCCAAAAACGGGACAGATCTCGAGCAGTTTCTGGATGGAAAAAGAAAAGGGAATGCCTCTGGAGCTGTTCTCTTCAGTCCTTGATTTGAATCAACTGGACACCCATGGGAGGAAATGAAGTGTCGTCATTGAGGTCAGCATGTCACTCGCAAGAACTCACTGAAAACCCTGATTAAAGGCGTATGGGATGAAAACAGAACCTTATGTTTGCATTAAATTTGTTGACAGTGTGCTTCAGAACAGCCAAGCGGTGATTCAGTCATGTGGCAGATATGCTCAATTTTAGAGCAATCATGCACAGTATTTGCAGATGTAAAGATCTACTAGAATAGTTTCTCTTAGCTCCTCAAAAGCACAATAGCATTCAGATCTCCCCCCTATATTAAAAAGGTAAATTGAGATGGTTTTAAATCTGTGTGTGGTGCCATACTCCATTTAAAATTCTTATTTTTAATATTACAACTAACCTTTGTGACAAACATCTTTGCTAATTTGTTGGTGTTGTATGAAGTATATTGCACTCTGAATGCCCTATTCATAAACTGCACCCAAATTTACAAAGATGCTGCTGCTTAAGTTGGTGTGTGTCAATCAAAATATAGCAGACTAATGAATCTGAATTTGTCAGAAATGCTAAAACATACATCAATTGGTATATATACTAATGTTATACTTTTAGATATTGTTTCTTACAGCACAGTTACAGCAGTTCTTTCACATTAATGTGGAGACCCTATTGAAATGGGCTGCAGTTACCCTAAAGTCATTCCATAAATACAGTATGTGCTTACATTAAACAAAGACAAAATATATTTCTATTAAAACTGAAGCAATACGTTTCAGATTGTCCTTCAGCATGTTTAGGTCCACATCAAGACAAATCAGGGGGTGGTTTGCTCATAAGGTATTTTTAACAGCTTCCATCTTTCCCCAAGGAATGAATTTACACTTGCCCTACAAGTGAAAACACAAGTGTTTTTCTTGTGTGGGAGCACTGATGAAATAGTGTTACACCCCAAACTGTTCAGCATGTTCACACTAAAGAATGTATCAGCTACATCTAACCCACATTCAGAACAAATCTGTGCTTTTCTGAGTCATCCTCTTGTTGAAAACCTCCATCTTACATAACAATCCCTTTTTATGCTTCTGTGGGCTCAGTTGGTAATCACATAATTGAGTGAACAGGGTGCCCTGCCTAATTAAGGAGTGACATTAATTTGAAATTCCCCATGGGTAAAAATTGGCAACATGAGGATGATAAAGCACCGGTATCTTATGATAGATTAATATTTGGGACTTGAAGGTACAGAACCCCCCCTCCCCTCACAAAAAAAATAATAATCAAATGATACAAAATCACTAACAAGTCAGCTCATTTTTGGTTGCTGACTGCCTGACATCAGCACTGTAAAAACATATTCTGATTTCAGTCTTAGACTCAACTTCAGTCACTGAACATCAAAACACTTTGCAAAAGAAATACTGAGGAATTAGGAAGAGAAAAACATTGAATAAGCACACATCAGGAGGGTGGAGGCAGCTTCTGTCTTACAGCTAAAAAGCAGCGTGACCTGGTTTTCTGTTAACTCCAAATCACTGTCGCTGAAGAAAATGCTGCTGTAATTTTGTAACACCAGCTGTGCTTAGGAGTACACACGAAATTTAAAAAGTCTGCATTTGTGAACAAATTACTCTATTTTTACAGCCATTAAAGCACTCTTGAACAGCAAAGAGGATTTTGTACTGTTCAGCAGAAACATTAAAAGGTAGCCTTCCGCTATGTCTTTTCTTAAGAACAAGCAGCAGATTAAAACACCGGGTACTGGTTTAATTTCTGGATTTGACGCTATTTTGTTGTAAAATGTGGAAAAAAAAAGGTCCAATATATCTTACAGATTTAGATGACCCTCACTTAAGAGGCCACCGGAAACTCCAGGGGACATTCTAGCAGACTTGATATTTATAGCCTGTTTAACCTCCTTCTTATTACTGGACAAATCACTGGGAGCCTTTTACATAGTCGCGCGTATCGTAAGACACTATTCACAGCAACTTCTGGCAGGACTTTAAAGTCCAGACCGACCATAAAGGGTTAAGCGCATATACGTGTAGCAAAAAAGCCATTCCCCGCCAGAAAGCTGATAAACCTGAAGAGTTGGTTTGATTACATCATTAAAAAGTAGGGTATAGGTAGAAAGAAAGATGTCAGGTGCGCATCTTGTTTTTAGAACAGAGAAGACTGTGAGATGTTCTGTTAGAAAAGTTGAAAGAAATCCATACCTACCTTTACCAAATATCCATTGACCTGCGATGTGTAATTTGAATTCCTGTCATGGTTTTCCGAAGCGGTGCTTTCGTGCCGCAAATCTCGGTCTCTCCAGCTATTCGATCCCAAGCCATCTTTACCTGTGTTCTCTGGGGCTGCATTATGATTCGTTTTATTGTATCTGTACGGATCAGTACGAGAAATGCGCTCCCCTCCGTCAATGGCGAACAGACCGCAGCTGTTTTGAAAACTTGCAACTAAGCCTGAATCCTGCAGTCGTCTTGTGGTTTTTATCATTATGAATTTAGTGTAAACGCAATAAATCCTCTTCACCTTGGCGTTTGGAATATTTGTGTTTTAGATTCCTCCAGCCGAGTCTAACACTGAAATCTGTGCGAGGTGTGTACACAGGTAGGAGGTTAAACAGGTGTTTAGCTCCAAAGCCTGCGCGGTCCTACAGCCCTACTTTTTCACAGGTTGCCCTGGTCTTCCTGCAGTGTTTAACCAAGAAGTTGTTACCTTTTTTTTGTTTCCAGTCCAATCTGGGGATAGCTAGTGCCTTCAACTTCGACAGTGCTGAATTTCCTGAACTCAGAATTCGTTAGCACGTCTGTTGTTTCGATCCAATGAGCATATCAACCCGTTTTTTTTACGAGAAACACGGAGATAAAAATATATACACTCTCACAGTCATATTTTTGTTGTCCTGTTTTAGATGTTCATCTTATATTTCGGCTGATATTTTCCCCTTTATATTGAAGGAAAAATATACATTATTACTGTTCATACTTGTCCATTCTAGTTAAGGTAAAAATACTAATAAAAACATATTTCATTTTTTTTTATACAGCATATTGTCAGCTACTTTTAGAAACAGTTCACTGTGTAATCGCTTCATCTTTCATATACATTTCAGTTTATCGATATAATACATATTTCCATATGCGCAAAATCTAGTAATGGGTGTCCGAAACGTATATTTATCATTTGTACGTTAACATTCACGTAATTATTTGTTGGGGAAATATTAATCTCTTTTCTTTCAAGAGTGGTAATGAGGAGTTAAGCGAGTATTACTGTATGTCTTAATTACATTTCAATATGACTTTAATTCAATTAAGAAATGAATGCCGAGAAAAAACATCAGACACCTGGAACATCTGCTTACTTTCTATTTTTCAGGGGAAAACTTTCATCAAGTTTTCAGTGGAAAGGAAAATTGTCTTTTTTCATTTCTGATTTTTTACATATGTCACTATTTATGTTAAGAATGGTATCTTCGAGGTCAAGATTTTGTTTTATTTAAATAACAGATAAAATAAATAAACTTACAAAGGACATTACAGGTTTTGGTCGGCCTCTGTAATTGACATATACAGTACAGTCCATACAGTGTGTAAGTGAAATTCCATGTAGGCATGATATCTATCCACCCAAGTGAGCCCAGAGACTCAACATGACAAACTCGATAAGCAACAGACAGGATACACCCTGACCAGGGACGCCAGTTCATCACAGGGCAGAAGCAAACCCAACCACGCACACACCAGGGCCAGTTCTCCCAGAATGTGTGGTAGGCCCAGAGGAAACCAGAGCACCTAGTGAAAAGCCAGGGAGAATTTACTAACTCCGCCCAGATAGCACCCAGGAATTAGACCCATGACCCCAGTGCTGCAGGGCACCAATGCTAACCACTGCATTACTGTGCCTCCCTCTGCCTGGACCAGCATCAATGCCCAAGTATATCGACCAGGGACCCTATTCTTCAGAATGTGCCACCCCTTGGTAGAGATGTTTAATGCGGCTCCTGACAATCTGCACATTAAAGATGCAGTGATTTCTGTTTGTTAGAACAGGACTGTGAACACATGTGTCCCAACTTCCACATTGGACTAGTACAATCTGGTTTACCTGTTTCCCCTGCAATCAGTTGGTTCAGTAATTTCTCACTCCTCTGATCAATCTGCTGTGCACTGCAGAATCTGCTGGTGCAGAATCCCCCAGGTCATCACCCATGGTGAGGCTCCTCAGGGGTGTTTGGCTTGAAAGAGGATGTGCAGTGCTCCTCTGTGTAACTGTTTTGAGATCTTTGGGGGCTGAAAAGCAGTAAAAAAATGTAAGGAATTAAGATGATGACGTTGAACCGATGACTGCCCGGTACTTGCTGGCTATCAGAGTTAATGAGTGAACAAGGACGAAGCCAATATCCATTCCTACCATTCCTACTTTTCCTAACCGCTTTAAAGCGTTACATGCTCGTCGGGAGCCGAACTCTATCCCGGAAAGCAACGGGCGCAAAGCGGGATACACCCCGGGCCTGAACGCCACTCTATGGCTGGGAAGACACGGACGCAAATTACTCGCACCGGGGCCAGTGTTCCCAAAAGCTAATTAACCAACCAGAATGTCTTTAGTGGGAGGAAACTGAGTAAATTATAGGCTGAACAGTACCCCTTGTGGCGAAGCTGAACAATAGCTTCCCTTTCCTCTAGGTACCTATTGTTCTATGTTCAATCTAATATTTATTGGTTTTCTGATGTTGCTCTCCAGAGCGGCCATCGATGCGAATTTAAATCCTCCTAATTGCATTTTCTTAATTATATTCCTAAGCAGAAAGCAAAGCATAGCACATCACGGGAGATGGAAAATAACAGAAGCAAAGTAACATCTGATATCGGACTGATTTTTATTCAATTTAATAGATGATACGCAGTGTGCCGGATCAAAAAAAAAAAAGAAAAACTATTGAATTAAAGCGTAATTGAGATGCTGAAGACACTGTGACGCTGAGAGGTCACTAGATTGAGAAACAAGAGGAATATATTCAGGTACATATGTGTTTAACGGTTCTGTTTCGGTGTTGTGCATGTTTTTTTTTTACCTAAAAGGGGGACGCACTGTGCTGTTCATGTGGAGCACCTCGTGCAACATCAATAATTTAATGTGAATCACTGAAGTCTTTGTCTGATATCCTGGTCGTGGTGGTGGTAAGGAGTCTGTGATTGCTTTTGAACGCACAATAAACTGGGATCTGCACAACCCGAGGAGACGAAGCAGCAGACTTCGTGCTGTGCCTGAACTACAGGCTCGGCTCAGCCTACTCGTATAATTCCTGCATTAAATTCACCGGCATTACATCATCGGGTTTCCATCCTGAGCGTCAAAGGAGCCTCGTTTAATATTTAACGGGACTGGAGGATCAGATCAGGAAGAGGGACAGTCAGACGGCTGGACACTGCACAAGACAATCATGGGATTTAAAACAATTGGAAGTGGCACTTAAATAAAACAAAAGACCCCTATCTGCACTGGAAGAGCTTCTGGAAAGAAAAAGATGATATGGCTGAGGCGAACCCAGGAGTGATCGAGGTACAGGGTGTTGCCTCTTACGAGGAGTATGAGTGCAAAATATGCTACAATTATTTCGACCTGGATCGCCGGGCGCCTAAAATACTGGAGTGCTTGCATACATTTTGCGAAGAGTGCCTGACGACGTTGCACCTCAGGGAGGACAGACCGTGGCGTATTAGCTGTCCGATATGCCGTCACAAGACGCCAGTACCGGATTACCGGATCCAGAATTTGCCCAACAACACAAAGGTGACAGAGGCTTTCCCTCTGTATATCGAAGCGGACCCTTTGCCCCAAGACACTCTGCCCCCGCAGCCGCCGCCGCAGCACCCTGCGCTAACCCCGAGGACTGAGGAAAGCGCGGCGCAGACGGCGGCTGCAGCTCTCCCGCCCGCTACCCATACCCCAGCCCGGTACGAGAGCTGCCAGAGCTGCAAGCGGGCCGCCCTGACCACGGGCTGCGTGTGCGTCGTTTTCTCTTTCCTCTCCATGCTCGTGCTGCTCTTCATGGGTCTGATCTTTGTTCACAATTACAACAACCCCCCCTCGCCCATAGGCCCCATCTGTCTGTCCGTCGCCAGCATCTTAGCCATGTTTTCTGTGGTCGTCACGTGGGTGATCTGCTGGTTGAAGTACAGACCAGAGCAGGAAAACAACCGGTCGTCGACATCCAATTCCAACAGGAGGAATACTTAGGACCCTTTGTGTCTGTGCACATCTCATTCTGCAGAGCAGAACTTACAATATGGCATTTTATTCAATCTTAAAATAATAATATGACGCTGGATCTATAGCCCAGCCGATAATTTTATTAATGCCTCCAAATAGTTCTGATTTTGTTGACTGTGATTTTATTTTGCCGATACCTGACCTCTTGACTGCCCACAGGACGTCATTATTCCTGCTTTTATTTTCATTGTTATTTGACACTTGATCTGAAGGGCACCGTGTCTGCGTTTTATTTTTAATTCCGTGAATCACGTGTATTGTTCTTATTCTAACAATATTTTTTTTTCTAAATCTGAGGTAGAAATTCGATCATCCAGTTCTTGAACAAAACAAACAACATCCAAAGATGTGTAATGATCGCGAATCCATGCTTACTTAAAGTTATTACTCAGTGAGCATGGGCTCGAACAGGGAAAAGAGGAAAATACCCAGCAAGCAGCTGAATTGGACATAATGTGGCAATACGGGGCAAACTTGATATATGCACATACTCTCAATCTTAACATGGTTTGGTCGACTTTCTAAACTGAAATTATTTGCGATGTATTGATGCTTGCAATGATTTTTTTCTATGTATGGTACTTGGTCTAGATGTGATGAAATGTCTGCCCTTTGTATGCTGTTTTTTATCTGGGCTGAAGTAGTTGAAAGGATGCGGCTAATAGCACAAAGGCAAATATTTACACAAGCAAAAGACCTGCACTGAATCACGGCTTCAAAACCCAAGTGTTGCTGAATGTCACTACTTTTATCATACACCTCCAAGGTGTTAATTCACTATAGCACACTGATAATTCACTATAGCACACTTGGAAATGTAATCACATTGCAGTGTTCCTCACAAACGTGGGTCTGCAACAGAAGTACAGTGTATGCCTGCACTAAGTATGTTAATGAACTATGAAGGCTTTTAAGATTAAAATAGTTGGCCTTAATGGTTTTGGACTGGATTTCCTTAAAAAAAAACTTTTGTTAAAGGTTACTGGAGTGAAATGATTCTGCCACGATTTAAAATGTACATCTGGCCGGGGAATGACAAAGCAGTGTTTTGCAAGATGGGTATACAGTGTAAATCTTAAACGCATTTCTGTTGTTATTGTTTAGGGAATATACAATGTAGCTACTCACATAATTGTAAACTATGTGGTGTTTATACAAAGCCAGATTTAAATAAAAATAATGCAGCATTTATGGTTGTTCTCCATGTGACTTAAAACAGTAGTAGTAGCACCCGTTGCTTCACTGTAAATGATACTGCATCATGGTCTCTAGAGCAAGAATTTATTTCAAAGTCTTTTTACACAATTCTGTCAGTGACATTAAGCTTTTATGTTCTGTGACATGATCTGTGCTGGGTACACAGCAAAGGAGGAAAGAAGAGAGAATGTTTATGGATATGTTTTAACGTTTTTTTTGTCCTTTCTATAAATGGAGTTCTAGTAGAAATCTATTTTTGCAATCTTTTTTTATTTCACAGTATGGGCTGGATTTGTTTACTCAACTGGAATTATCTGCACAATTCTTTTGATTGTTGAATACTGTATCCAAATAAAATGAGATTTCTCGACAGGTGCTTCTGTTCTATCAATGGTGTGGATTAACTCTTATCTTCGCAAACTAGAGTCTTAGTGGTCCTTCAGAGAGATTGCTGCCTCGGCTTCACTATGATTTAATAACGGTTACCATCACTTCAAAGAAATTAGACCATCATTTTTCTTGCGAAGTAAAAAAAAAAGATTATCTGAAAATTAAAGTTATTCATATAATAAATCGTTTATCGTTTAATTGACTCATAAAGTGCAGAGATCACTTTTATGTTTTGATTTGAGGATACATTTAAATAGTTCTATGGCAGCACACAGTTTTTCTTGTTTGTTTATCCGCATTAGCTTTGACCCGAATTGTGCGTTTGACTATTTTTAAGTGACCCGCAGCTTCACACCAAGCCCCCTCTAGTGGCTGAAGAAGAGAAATTCAGTTTCTAGGCGTTGAGGCCAACACCATAAAACCGAACAGAATTATTGTCGAATTAAATGTATTACAGATTGAACAATTTGAAGACAGAAAATAGGAATATTTAGAATATTCTTACTACGTTCCTTCTACTTTCAGTAACCACTTTATCCTTAGAGGGCGACAGTGGGCCACAGCCTAACCCAGCAGGCACAGGGCACAAGGGAACACTTCAACCTGGAGGCTCTCACAGGGCCCATTTGGGGGGCAGTTTTGAGATGTAAATTAACCTCAACAGCACGTCCTACGGGCTGTGGTAAGAACCCAGTGCATCTAGAGGAAACCCAGGAGGGCAACAAGCACACAAGAGGTGTCTCAGTCTAGAATCAAACCCATGTCCCAACAGCAGTGATGCTTCAGCACTGATCAACATTTCACCACCCCCAGCACACCTGTTGTTGTAGTTCATTAAAAAAATCCACACTGGATACATAGCTGGGTGATACAAAGAATCCCAACTCCAAATATTCAGAAGTTAATTAAGCATACACGCTATTTATTAAATTTTCTTGCATCACAGATTTACTGTTGGATTGATATCACTGGTATCTGTAGTTGAGTGGAATTAGTGACATTTGATTCCTGCCTGGTGCAATACGGTATGTTCTTCAGGAAGGTATAAAGCAGTGACGTGGTATTAACAGGGGATTTCAACTCCCTACACAGAAAGTGGGATATACCCATGAGGAACGCAGAGGCTCAGAATGTTAACAGTTGCTTATGAGCTCATTTTGTGAAGGCTCTTCCAAGGGTAGATGCTCTTATTGACCAAGCTTTCTCAAGTAACCAGGGCGGAATAAGGGGAGTAGATGTGATAAAACCAAAGACCATAATTTGGCAACCTTTAATACATTAAATCTCTAAAGGCTGAGCCTAAAATTAAGTCTTACAATTTTAGAAATGCAGGCTCTGGGCTCGCTAACAGTGAATTGGAAACAGATGGATACCGAATCAGCAGAAGGAAGATGGTTATACTTCAGGCAACATAATATTCACTTCACAAAGCAAATTCATCCCCTAAATTAGTTAATACAAATCTAGGAAAGTATGGCCTAAATGGTTTGAGAGATTAAAATGTCAAAAGGAAGGCATCTCTCTACTGATCACGTAAAAAGACACAAGATAGTAACTAAATCTGGTGAACTTAATTTCACTAAGTGAACTAAATTTAACACTGTCATGTTCAAAATGTAACGCTGACTATGCCCATGTAGGAACATACATTGTGCACATTACATTTGTGATTCGAAGCTACACACAGAAAGTACACATGACAGAGATCTGAAAATGTATGTAGATTCCATTACATTCTTATCAAGACAACACGGGAAAGTCAGAAAAAGCAAACAGAATGCCTGGGTATATATCCTTAAGCACGAAATTTAAATCAAAGGATGTTATGTTTCAGCTTTACAATGCTTAGTAAGACCTCATTTACAACAGTATGCAGTTCCCCACAAAACAGATTTTATAGCCTTAGAACGGCAACAAGAATGATTCCTGGTCTCAGCAGATTCTCATACACAAACAGGTTAAAGAATCTACATTTCTTCAGGCTAGAACAAAGACAACTGAGAGTATGTTTGAACCAAATACATAAATATCCAAGGACTCTGTATCCTCTGGATCAAAACAAGGACATAGGGTCTGAACTGGAAAAAGGAATTAATTCTGATCAGAAAATAAAAACGCTCCATTGCAGAGAGTGGTGCTGTCCATAACCAGCTTCTAACGCAGCTGGTTGAGACCCAGTTGCTAGGCTCCTTCAAGAACTGTCTGGACAAACGTGTAAATTTCCTTGGCTACTAAACTACCAAATAAGCTAATTGGTCTGAAGTGCCTCCTTTCACTTACTTTCACACTACACAACTTTTCCTAGGATTTTCAGTCGTAGCCTTCATTTACATAATCCTAAGAAAATCACAGCGAGATGTAGAGAGTTGCAGTGCTTGCCCGTTACCGTCAGTTGTGTAGTGTGACTCCCGCACGACTCAGTCATAGCGCTGTTAACAGCCCCCACGACTCTCTGTGATGTGCTACGATAATATCAAACTGGTTTGATTTTCTTGCAGCGAGTCACAAGTCGCAGGGGTGGGCTCTTGTGTCTGCGACAGTCAACAGCCAATGAGCGCTCTACCGGAAGTACATCGCATACAATGCGGCTGCAAAGAAAGGAGGAAAGCGAGTGTTTTGGGCTTTGTAAATGGAAAAGAGCGCAAATGGAGCCAGCACAGATGTCCGTTCGATGTTTCATGTTTGTCGTTTCGTGTTTGTTGTTTGTTTGCTTTCATGCGGTGCGCCTCTTGTGCTCCGCGTTGATCGGCTGCCAACATGAGGCGACCTTGCGGTACTTTCGCGGTCAAATATAAGATTAGGAACCGTGATGAAAAGTCGTGAGGAAATCGTGTAATTAGTCACCCACTGCGATTCCTAGACACACTCTAAGGCAGTGAGATTCAGCACCTGCAGTCGTTAAATTTGACAAGCTTTCCGACTAGAAGTCGTATCGAGTCATGTCGGCTTTTTATGACTAGGAATCGTAGGGGGTGACTAATTACACGATTCCCTCTAATTCCTCTATGACATCTCCAACACTATTCAATACTTCAGTACTAGTCCCCAAGGTTTTATAGGTAACCATGAAATCATCCATTTCTATTCACTTGGAACAATTTAATTGTGAACAATTGCAAGAAACATGTTAAATTTACCAGATTATAAATCATTTAGATTTATAACTATACATAACTCAAATGGTCAACCCAGCTTCTTTAATTAGGTACATTACGTACTTAATTGATCAATAAATTACAAATATACATCGTCTTTAGAAACAGATGTTTTCTGGCTCTTTACGAAAAGGCCTTGAATTGGACACTCCAGGACTGGTGATGGAGATCCCTGCTCTATGAGTTCTGATATGTCAACAAACTGAGGAGAAGACATCACTCATGAGAAGAGGTCTAGTACAAAATCTGAACCAGTATTTCCCCGATAGCATAAACATTATTTAACTTTCCAAACCTCACCAATAAAAGAAGTAGGGTGTTTTATGTTCTTCAGAACATTTACTTATTTGACCATGTATCCATTTTCTCACCACTTTATCCGTTACAAGGTTGCAGGAGAGTCAGAGCCTAGCCTGGCAAGCAAGGATAAACCCTGGATGGGACACCAGCTCATTGCAAGACAGAGATGGACAAACCCTCACACACTATTATTGTTATCCAGTTGGCCCAGAAGCCAGTTAAGCTACCAGTATGTCTTTGGGCTGTGGAATGAAACTGGAGCACCTGGAGGAAACCCACACAAACACAGGGAGAACGTATAAACCCCACTCAGATAGCCCCCCAGGAATTGAACCCAGGGCCCCAGTGCTGACAGGGAACAATGCTAAACACTGTATCACCATGTTGCCCTTACTTACCTGTGGTTTATTCAAACTTTGCTTTGTCATACTTTCATTTGGAAATTCCTTAGCAATTCTGTCCATTTGGTTATAAAAATGTATTTGAAATCATTGAACACGAATGCAGTGCATGCTTTGGAATTAATATTAACACATTACTTTGCAAACAATGATTACAAACAAATATACTCAATAATGGTGTTGCAGATGCCAACTTTTAAAAACAAATGGTTTTCAAAGCAACTTTAAGCGGAACCCTTTGAATAGATGGTTTTGATGGGTGTTTTGCAAAACCCGAGTGTTGAGATCACAATGTCAGTGAAGCAATGTACTGAAACTGATAGGACCAAGTGTGGCAGCTAAAACATCAAAAACATGAAATAAAAAATATGAGATTTGACAGGTCTTAATGTTGATTATCTTTTTTTATGCAGTCATCTCAAGTCAACAGTCCGGGGCTCAGCATTCGTATAACCTCCTATGTCTCTCTGATGGTAGTGATCATCTTCCACATTGCAAGTTCTAATAAAAAGTTAATAGAAACAAAAAAGGCTTCAGTGCCTATAAATCTGAGGGTTTCTGCAATTCCTCATCTTTACAGAGATGTAGTGCTCTCTAAAACCAATGTGATCCTTTCCTCTTCTCCTTTCCTGCATAATTTGTACTTGGAGGGTTATCTCTGTTTTATCTACCAATACCAATGTTGAGGACCTTATGTATAGGAATATAGAGGAATATATATATGAAGACCTTAGCTCAGTGAAAGTCTCTTCCCCCCGTTGAGAGCTAAACCTTTTCCCAAGCAGTTTGTTTGTACAACCTCAATGCTACATATTTAGGAATTTACAAACACCAGTGTGACAACCCACAGTACATTTTGGTGAAGACATTTTTATTTTCCAAAACAAACATAAAACACTGTTCAAAAAATACAAATATATATTTCCCATCCCATATGAACCATCTTCACCACCCCCCTTAATGTCCCCTCCAAAATTCGACCAAACTCCCACTAAATTATGGCCAGACAGCTATTGGAAACTCCATGCAGCAAGACTATTTTTTAATGCAAAGTTCCAAGGAAGGAGATTGCCTGACTCTTCTAAAAGCATTGCATTGCAGTTCAGAAATAGAAAGAAAGTTTA